TTTAGCCGTAAACCTTGGTTCTTCCTGTTTCCTGCCTGCGGTTTCCCAATAAAATGGAAAAACAACTCTAGATCCAGAGAGATGATGTTTTTGGGAGAGACCTGTCAACGGGCAGCCATCGTGCCTCACTAGGCTGCTTGGTGCTTCGTTGCATGCGAGGCATCGAGAAGTAGACCTGAAGCCTTTGAGGGACTCGATCTTACCGATGTCATGCTATCGCGTGGGACAAATGAAAGAGAGCGCCAAACGCTGTCCTGCGGGTACCTTGCATGTGTGTCGGGGAAGACAGGCTCCAAACCGAAGGAGTACGAGTCTGAGGCGGAGACGATTATACGATACCGGAGCTTGATGACGACGGGTAATAGTATGTGGTTTCTGCCCTCCTTCATCAGCATGCGCGGTGCTACATGTGGCCCGGGCATGAACGAGAAGGATGCCGGTTGATGCTCAAGAACAACGAGACAAGGCACCGAAATGATGTCGATCTCGAGCTTTTCACCGCGTATCGAAGTTTGACAGGGCCTGATGAGGCTCGTTTGGGAACCTGGAGCGAACTCCACGTTGTGACGTCTCTCCTCTTACCTACGACTTTCAACATCACAGCAGCCGTCAAAGTATTGGTTTCACAACACATGAATGCTCACCGCTTGCCGCCATCCTGACATCGCATCACCCCGCGGATGTTGTGTCAGCGGCCCCCGCAGAGTCTCCCGGTTGGTTATCTTGGCCCTTTCGCCCTTTAGAGAACGGGGGGTTCCTCGCGCCGCAGCCTCAACATCCGATACATCAGCGACATTCAATCGAACGGGGAAGTCGGAATCCGATCCTGAAATTTGATATCCTACCGGACGTATGCGGCCTCACGAAATCGGGATGCAAGCTGCCTTGGCTACCCACAGTTCGACGGACTGATGCCGTCCGCTAGATCAGACGAACTGTCCAAGCCTCTACGCTAGGGGCGATCTCGGTATGCAGCGCTGATTTTCGTGAATGCTTCACCAGTCCCGACTTGGTGGAGTGTCAGACCATCATTTCATGCTGAACGTTGATGGAAGCCTGTCAGCGAGCTTCCACAGCCCTGTGACTTGGTGATGCGCAGCCTGAAGCCGGCCCACCGGACGGTCAGGGTCAGGGTCAGGGCCCCCCGGGGAGGAATTTTCTGGTGGCCTTCTAGCGCTGTGAGCGACGGAGTAGTGCCGAGCTAGCTAGCCTCCAACCTGGAAGGCTCAGCGGGGTTTGTGGTTGCTTCACATGGCACCGTGCAGCAAGATCCTAGAGCACTCACTAGATTCGCCGTGGAACTACCCTCATCTCCGAGACAACAGACAACAGACAACAACACACATGGCAGGGCGTGATGGCTTCATCGAAGCGCGCCGGCGACATGGTGTCTGTCGAGAACCTGGTCTCCCGTTGGCCTTGCGTTTCCCTCATGCAAGAAAGATCATCCCGCGCGCTGCAGCCCAAAAGGCGGCCCTCCTCTGACCAATTGGCACCAGTCTTGCCGCTCTGCTGACTTCAGACACATGCGACCAGTTCCAGGGACCCTCATGCAGCAGCTTGGTCTATGCGCCCGTCGGTCAACCTCACGATATCAAACTCCACGGCCAGGATGCGCCAAGTAGGAACTCTGCTGTGTCTTTGATGGTAAACTGACAACGGAGTACCGGACAAGGACGGTGAGAGAGTATCGGCCGCTGATGCTCAATTTCTTCGCTCTTTCGTTCGTCTGCGGTTCCCCTTCCAGGCCGCCAATAATACAAAGCAGTATGAGGAAGCATATCTGAGCCGCAGAAATCTGTCGACGGTCGGTTTGCTCAACACACAAACTGGTTTCATGCGAGTGGGCACTCTGGCGATCTGCATCCAGCGGGTATCACTCGATCTCAAGCTACAATCAGCCTCCGCAGACCGGCAACATCAGACGCCTCAGAAGCTCTCGGTGAACCATAAACCTTTGAAGAAACCAAAAGCCGATCGACCCCGAACCTCAGCTAGCTACCGTGTGGTATCATGTGGTATCATGTAATACATTCGCAGCATGGTTCGGAGAAGCAGACCGGTCAAATAACAGCAGAATAGATGGACAAAACACATGTTTGCGGGGCGTCATGGCATCGCAACCGCATCGTGTTGCCGGCAACCGGATGCGCACTGACGTTTGTCCAAACCCACCACTTCATCAGGGGACACTTTGGAGACGCTCGAATCGTTTCTGAATATCGTCATTCCCATCAAGCCATTGTCAGGTAATCTCCAGCTGGAGGAGGGACTGCTGAAAGCGATACCAGTTAATCTACGCGACCCTACCATCTACCTAGGTATGGGATAGACTCGACGGTTCAAGGTTGCGTTCGCTTCCGAGTAGCCAAGAGGTTGCAGAATCTTAACGTCTTTCTGCAGCTCTAACCAGACCGGGCCCAGATGGTAGCCAGCATTTGCCGAGAGGTCTTTCCCGCCATACTCCGTACAGTTCTCTCTTCTTCCCACTCCCCAGAGACTGGATGAATGACGGAAGTGGGATTGCGCGCATAAGTTGTGACAAAACCCGAGCAGATCATGTTCAAGACCCCCTCGCCGTTCCTGCCCCTCCTCTCCACACCCTCGTCAGCTGGCTTCCTACACAAGATTTTTGGACATCCACTTGTCCGATCAGATCCGGTTAATCATGGACCATGTCACGCTTCACTTGGAAAATATGTTGCACGGGAATGACAAATCGCATGGATGGCACCGGGCAGAGCTGTTCTTATTCCGCTGATTCCAGCCTCGACTCGACCAAAGTACTTTGACGCACAAGCTGTGATGTCGATTGCAGGACACCCGAAGTGAAACCGGTGGGCCTGGTTCTTTGCTACCACGCTATTCGAGCGGGCAGGCAGCTCGATGAGCCGACATACCGGTCGGTCGTCAGATGTAACCTTCACCACTCGCCGGGCGATGCGGCGTGGGTTGCCGTGAAAAGACTGAGCCGCTGTCAGCTAGGTAATCTCAGCTCGTGCTCATCAAATCCCGGAATCACAGAGCAACCGTACATGATATGTGCGACGACGTCTGGATAGCCAAAAAAAAACCAAAAAAACCAAAAAAAACCGTGTGTACACCGCACTCTCTGTGATCTTCCAACACAACTCGCTTGGCCTCGGACCTGACCTCCGTGCGCCGAATATTCCACAAAGGGAAGAAAGACATGGAAAAAGCTTTTCGCCATCTCCCACCAGTTGCCAGACCTCGACACATCTTGCACACAAACAGACGTAAACCTTTCAGAAACACCATCTCGCACAGGGCACGAAGGTACAGGAGAGCTCCCGTTCAGAGGCGCGCCAATCCTGGCTGGAATTGTTGGCGCTGGCCCGTCCCGCCCTCTCACAGCTCCCGCGAAACCGGAACCAAGCTCTGCCCAAAAAGCCACAAAGTTTAGTTGGATGTATGTCTGTGTGTATGATGTTCCAGTTTGTGACCGATCACTTTGTAATCTTTTGTTGTCACTCGACCGAATGGGAAGGCTAATGCTGGGTATGAACTCGTAAAACCGGGCGGACCTGGTCTGGCTTGCCGGGACTCGTCCGTGGTCTTTTGAACACCCCAAGTGGGAATGATGACACCAGGTTTCACGATCTAACAGCACAGCGCCCAAAAGAGCAGCAACACACGACATGTCTAACCCTGTTTATCCTTTTTATTCTTTCTTTCTTTCTTTCTCTATAGCCCCCCCCCAACCCCCCCCAACCCCCCCCAACCCCATTCCCAGCAATTCCTCCATGCCCTTCCCCCAGATAGTACAATCTCTCCCAAGCAGGCTGGGGTCGTTGTCTCTGAATCCACTCCTCCAGTTGTAAACCAGCAAAACTCCGGATCCGTTGTTTCTTGAACCATGGGTGCCGCCTTTTCATCTTTCCTCTCTTTGGCTCTTTTCCACCCTCGGCCGGCCTTCCCGGCCTGACCATACCTATAGTCCTCGAAAAAGTAAACACCACCCTCCCCTTGCACGACGTCCAAGCAAACGCAACCAAAGACGCTTTGTCGTGCGTCTTTGCATTGGAGGTTCACATCGAGCAGAGAAAAAGACGCCGCTTACTCAGTTGACCTCCTATCTCATGAATGCACCGGCCGGTGTGGTTCCCTACGCAACCGATCCTTTTTGCAACACATACACCCGTCCGTCTCCATTCCCAGAGCCCAAGAGGCAATGCCAGATTGCCTAATCGAGACATTAACGCTCTCCTGGTTTCCCAAGCCTTTCCCACCCCGGCTTAGGCTCAGCTGTTACTACTTTATCCCTGACAAGGCTAACAACAATGGAAAGCTGAAGGATCTTCGAAGACGCTTGTGCGCAAGAAAAAAGAAAAAAAAAGGAAGGAAAGAAAAAACACGCTAAACGGCCCTCTTTAGGCGGAACTTCGGGACTCGTCACCACCATCCTCCACTTGCTTCGTATTTACATACACCAAAATCCCCACTCTCAACCAGGAAAACAAGAAGGCAAGACAAGAAGGCAAGCCACCATGGTTGACATCACACACATCACACACACACGCACACACACACACACACTTTCACCGTTATTCGTTCCGTAGAGCATGAACCTAGTAAAAGCGTGCCAAGTTGGTGTGACTTTTGTGATCGATCAACCTAGTGCACCCACACCCCGGTCTAGTTCGCTTCAGATATAACTCCCGGGCCGTTAAGTGACAGTTTTCTCTTTGCTGGGACCGCCTGCCTAGTGGAGGGGGGTGTGAGAATGACGAGTGACTGAATCTGTGCGGTGTTGGGTGATTCGGGCCGGCCCACTGAACGACAACAGGTTACTTGACAGGCAACGACTTCCGATCCAGGGGCGCGATGAAAAAGACGAGCGGGCTGAGGATGCGATCCAGACCAATCCACACCCCCAACCCACGCACATCATGATGTACATCAGTCGAGACAACAAGCTTCCCCCTATCCTGTCCTTTCTTCCCCACCCGCCCCGTCCCCTACCCGTGCGGCGCGGTAGTTTACAGCTTGTCGTCAGCAGCAGCTTCCGGCTTTGGGTCGCTTGTCTCGAGGGTAGCGGTCATGTTACTAGCAGCGGCGGCGGCCACAGGTGTGGGTACAGGTGTAGACGCATCCGCACCCTCTTCCGCCGCTTCTTCGGCTTGTCCTTCCTTGATCTCGCCCGCCTTTGGGGTGGCGACGACAGTAGCGACAGATTCATTCGTCGGCGTGGCAGTCTCCACCTCATCAGTGGTAGCAGCAGTGGTGAGGGTGGTGCTTTCGGAAGCGGCAGCAGCGTCCCCCGTGGTTTCAGCTGTATTATCAAGAGGACCAGTAGTGGTGGCGGCGGCATGCTCAACCGTCTTCATCTCCAGGCCTTCCTTCTCGCCACCTTCAGCTCCACCGGTTGGACCAGGAGTAGCTACGTTCTCGTCACCGTTGTGCTGCTTCTCTTGGAACGTAAAGGCATCCGATAGGTTGACGGCCAAAAAGGTCTTGGGCAATTTGACTCTGAATGGACAAGCACGCGTTAGCAAATCCACAAATATAAGCCTCTGATATATGTCCAACGTGACCAACGAGATCACCAAAACCAAGGAACCAAAGGTTGGTCCTGTTTGGGTTGACCTACCGGCCCTCTGATACAGGTCCGGCATGGCATGACATGATGCGAAGGGGCTAACGGGGGGATGGGAGATGCGGAGCAAAGGAAGAGCATCCAAAGCCCAACAAACAGAATGACAAAGAAAGCAAAAAATAGGAACTTACTGATGGAACTTTGCCCTCAACGTCTCAATAACAAACATCCAGTCGGCATGAGCCGTCAGGCTTCTCCTGGGCGCGCACCCAATGCAGTGTTTGCTGTCGAGCTGCACATCCAGCGGGTCGAACACATGACAGCCGGGGCTAATGGTAATCTTGATGCTGTAGTTGAACACGGGCGTGCCCTCGGCATCAATGGGCGGGTTGGCCGGCATCTCGTACAGTTCAAAGGAGATCTGCGACAGGTAGTCCAGTTCCGGGATCGTGGCCCGCTTGATCTTAGTCTCGAGGCCGCCCTCCAGAATGCAGTTGAGCAGCGTGTATATGTGAGATTCCTTTGTGAAGTAGATGAACGACTTGGCCTCCTCGGACGCCTGCATGTCCTCGAGGTCCTGGACGATTTCCTTGAGCAAGGGGAGCGAGGTCAGAAGACCGATCTCAAGCTTCTCGCTGTCCGAGATGCCGTATTCCTGCGGGCAGATGAAATCGAAGAGAACCTTGGCCAGCTGGTACAGCTCCCGAAGGGGCTCGAATCGGGCGTCGGTTTTGGCCTTTGTCTGGCTGTTGCCGCGGTGAAGGTGAAAGTACCTCTCTGGAAGCTCAGCGTCGACATTGCTCGAGGGTCGCAGGCCGTTGAGGAACGACCTCCTACGGAAGATCCGCTTCACAGCCTTGTGGCCCTCCTTCTCAATCTTCTCACTAAGACTCGAAGCTGACCTCTCTGTTTTAGTCTCCTCTGGCAGAGGTGCCGTTCGAACACTATCCTCCGAATCCTTTCCGCTGGCGATCGCCGGCACAGAGCTGGATGCCGTTGCCGACGCGGTTGACGTCTTCCCGTTGGACGACGACGACGACGAAGATGCCGCTGGCGACGGACCTTTTCCGAAATTGGTCTTGTACTCATCTTCAAGCATGTTCTTTGGTGGCGCAAACACCCACTCGAGGAACTGGCGATTGTGGAGGGCATCAAACTTCATGGTATCATAGAGCTCCGAGATCTTGCTCGGATCAACCTTCTCGCCATCGCAGAACTCGGCGAAGAGTTTCTCCCAGCGCTCTTTGAACAGCTCCGCATCCTCACCGCAGCACCACCTCGCCTGGATGCCCGTCACCGCATTAGCCTGCGACAAGGAACCAACCGACGCAAGCGACGAGATTGACACACCAGAGGTGGAGTTCCCATCGGCGGCGCCCTTATCACCAGAAGAGGGGTTGTTGATGGCGTTCAGCGAGTTCACTGCACCACTATACAGCTTCGCGTAGTTGTGCTGCATGACCTTGCGATGGAAGTTCATCAGCTGCACCACCCTCGTCTGCACCTCGGCCGGCTCAGGCATGTTGTCTGGCCAAGCGAACTGAGGCGGCCTCTCGTTGCCCTTCCGAAGAAGCCCCTTAAGCTTCTTCTTCACCTTGTCCATCTCGTCCTTGGCCGCGTTGGAATCATCCAAAAGATCCTTACGAATGGTGATAAAATCCTCGGGCACATCCTTCTTGTTGAGGAAGCTGGCCGCCCAGATCTGAGCCGAAGTCACGACGCGACGCTCCGAGGAGCTGAAGACATGAACCTCATCGAGAACCTCGCGGTTCATGAGACCCAAGTCACTGCGCATGCTTTCGCCGAGCTCCTGCGCTTGGTAGCGAGCAGAGTGCGTGGGCTCGCCGCCCCATTTGACAATGAGCTGGAGTTTGTCGAGAACAAGGCTTTCTTCCGCGGCGGTGAACTTGGACATCGTGACGCCTGACAGAGAATCATGGCGCTTAGGCGACCTCCGGGTCTTGTACGCATCGCTGTCGGCCTTGTCACCTTCGCCCTCGGTCTCGGTCTGAAGTGGGTGGTCCTCCTCTTTCATCGTGTCGATTTCGTTCTTGTTCTCAGTCTTGCCGTCATCTTCAGCCGAAGTGTCGCTCTTCTTGTCCTTCTTCTTCTCCTTGTCCTCTGGCTTCTTCCTGAACATGGGTTTAATCTGAACCTTGGTGCCGGCCCAGCTGCCCTTCTTGATGAGCACGTTGCGGAGAGCTTTGAGCTTGTTGCGGTCTTCAACACCCTCCCTCATTGCCACATCCACGGCATCGAGGACACTGGCAAGGGCAGGCTCGCCGATGAGAAGAACCTCTTCTTGATGGCCTTTGAGAAGCTCAATGAACGGCGCAGTGTGGAAAGTGAACTTGTACTTTTGCTTTGGCGTTCGGTCCGCGTGACGAATGACGGACACGACACCCTTGAGCTTCCAACTCGGTTTGGGGGGGGGTGGAGGAGGAGGTTCTTGGTCATCTTGGACGGCGGTAACGGTTGTCGGCGTGTCAACCTGCATGACAGAAGGCGCCGCAGAAACAGTCGAGGGGGCAGTAGAAGGTACACTGTCAGCCACCGAAGACGAGAACTGACTGGCCAAGGGACTAGCAGGTATGCTCCCGTATTTCGAGTCTCCCTTGATCGTGATTGTCTGGCTGCTAACCACCTCACCTGGCACCTCCCTGGCCACAGCTGGCTTGTCCATACTTGCCCTGCTTTGCGCCTGCTGGGCAGCCACATGGGCGACCAACTCCCTCTCCTTATTCGCGTACGCCGCACGAACCGCCATGCTGGCCGCCATAGGGTCCACGTCGGAGATCGCAGGCGATGGAATGGGAGGGGTGAGTCCCTCTTTGCGAAGCTTCTCTTTGATGAAAATCTCCTTGAGAATGTTGGCGCAGTGATCGTAGTAATCATCATTATCCTTGACGAAACTCCAACCGTTGACGTCGATTACGTAGCTCTTCCCGCCGGCGCGCAAAAAGTCGAAACCGCAAACGCGCTGACCAAACGTGGTACTGATCTTGCTGGCGATCTCCTTTTCCTCGGCGCTCAACCCTGTGACGTACCGGACCTCTTTTCCGTGCGTGTTACGCCTCACCACGCCGTCCACCACTGGCGATTTTCTCGTCTCTGCGTGGCAGTATGTTGGCCCAACCGTGTAAGCTTTTACATCTTCAGCATTGTCAACTTGCATAAAGCGTTCATAGATGAAACTCTCCTCGGGATGGGTGATGCACCTCGGGACCGATAGTCCCTCGACATACTCGCTGCTCTTGTTGCCAATCTTCCGGAAAAGCTTCCTTGCGCCGCCGCCTGCGGAAGAAGGGAAATAGATGATGATGTTGTGGTCCTCACCGCTGGTTGGCTTCTCAACAAATGGCTTCTTGATCAAGGTTCCGTCAACGGACAGGATGTCACCACCATCCAGCAGCTCAACCTTGCGGGGAGCAGCTGCTCTGGCGGCCTCCGGGTCAGGATCCGTGGGCTCGAAGACAATCCCACTAATGTCCTTGATGTGCTTACACACGTCAGGTGTAAGAAGTCGGGGGCCGCCATCACGGTTGACTTCAATTCTTTGGGGAGTGGGGACATTGATTCTATCCAACAGTCTCAAGCACAGCCTTCTGTCCCAAAGAATCTTTTGCATAGGCACATCGTTGACACAGAAAGGTTTTCTGGCCTTGACATACGCGATGGCCTTGTCAAGCGGGAAGCCGTCCGAGTAGAATGAGATCAGGTAATCGCAGATGGGCCAGTTCTCAATGGACTCGTCAAGAATAACCTTGTCCCCAAATACACAGACGTCGAATTCGCGGTTCTGAATCAGGCGGTTCAAGATATTTCTACTAGGCTTGCTCCGGGCTTTCACGTCCAGCGCGCAGACGCCGATGACGCCCCAGGGAGCGGGCCTAGGTTCTTCCTTCTCTCCGCGGTGGTGATGATGGGAAACGACACGGTCTCCGCTAGGGCTGTGGCTGCTGGCCGCGGTACTACCGCTGAACCTGCGCTTGGCCCGGCTTCGCGATCGAGTAGGTTGAGGACGAGGAGTAGGGGTTGTTCCTGTTTTCTGCTGCGTATCGCCACTTGCTTGAGATTGCTGACCAGTCGTCTTCCCTATATCACCAACAGTTTGACCTCTCGCCTCCCGAGGAGCAAGCTGAAGGGCACCCTGATGGGATCCCTGACTTCCCGTGGTAACTGTGACGTTCGACATGGTCGCTTCAGGCTGGGCCGCCTTATTGGTAGCCATGATGCCAGACACTGACCGATGGCCAGGGACGCCAGAGATGCTATTGTTGTCGCTTCCGTTGGCAGAAGCAGCTGAGCTGATGACTCCGCGAGCAGAGGCAAGACTATAAATCGACCCAATGCTCACGCGGTTGCTGACGCTTGCGCCGGCCTCGGAAAAGGAAGAGCGGGCGCTGCGGTAGGCGGGTTCTGGTAGTTGGTTGTGGCGATACAGGCCTGTCTCGCTCTGAGTGCTGGGCAACAGGCGAGGGGTCTCGGATTCTTCAATGGCGGTTGCCGAAGAAGAATCTGCAAAATCTCGAGGGGAATAAGGTTGCTCGGAGGGATTGGTTGGGACACGGCGGAGGCTGGTGGCGTCTTCGCTCCAGGCGTCGGAATGGGACGAGTCTCGACGGACAGGATGACCTTGGGCTGGCAGATGGGCTTTCAACGCTTGGTGAGTAATAGCCGTGGAAGGTGGGGGCATGGAGAGATTCGTGCGGTCAACGTGGGCCTCCGCGAGAGTTGTTCCAGGATCGGCCTGCTTGCTCTTGCGGTTGGTAAGACTGGCGAGAGAAGACGAGGAGAGGTTGCGCATATGGAAGCTGGTTCGGTGCGTTCTAGTTCTCACCGGCGAGACTGGTGCTGGTGGCGGCGCGCCTGCCGGTGTGACTGCTGGCGACGTTGAGTTTGCAGCTGGCTCTGCCTGTCCTTGCTCTTTTCCCTTTTCTTGTGGCGCAAAGTATCCGTTCACCGGCTCTGTGGATTCCACCGATGATAGGCCTGCTTCGTCAAGCTTCGACTTGTCAGAGTTTGTGTCCATGGCTAGGACAGAAAATGCGGGCACCGGAACGAGTTCGAGCTTCTTCCTTTGGGTTGGCACGGCACTCTCGGTGTGTGGCTTGCTGGTTCCTGGAAGGGAACAAAAGAACGAGAGGCTTCAGGGGGATGGGAGGCTCAAAGAGACGTGTTTGTGGACGGTCTGGAAATGCTCGATACCGAAATGCTACCAGTCAGATAAGACTGACACGACGGGGATTTTTTATGGTACAAGAATGGTCAATCGATACTGACAAGATGTGGCAATAAACGGTCTAGAGCTGATTTTCTACCAAGCAATAGGAAGAAACAAAACAGAAGCAGAACGAAAAACAAGAACGCCAAACACTTTTGTTTTGTGCCAGTCCCTGCCGCAATCCGATTCCGCTCTGGGGTGCCGTCTGTTCCACGTGAAAATGAAAGAGTCTGGGGCAGTAGTGGCCCAGCCAAGCAGTGGCATCCGTAGATTCTCTTCAATGGCGAATGGCCAATGCGAATGGAAGGGGCCGAGAGAAGGGCACGAAGCTGATGGCCAGACTGCCACGACTGGGCTCTCTGGATGGGCCAACCCGGTTCCCGAATCGTGGTTGCACTGCTGCCAACCAGGGCTATTTTTTCCCTGGCGGGGCAGTTTGGAAACCTGGGAGGGGCACACAAAGCATGATGACGCCCTGGCCCGCAGAGCACGAGCCAACATGTGTCATTGGGATGGTGGGGCATCTGTCTCTAATCTTGTCTCTGTTTCCGTTTGCATTGATGGGACATGCTGTCTCAACCCTGAGGGGTATTCTCATGTTCCATCTGCAAGTGATTCCTCCCACAGTCTTTAGCAGTTTGCATCGCCAATGCCTCAGTTTTGCGATCTGTGGCCACAAGGTGTCATATTGAGTGCTGTGCGTAACGGGTAAGTGCTCGCGTGACCCGCTTTGGTTGTCATCCGCTACTCTGGTGTCATGTCGAGCTCCCATAGGCCAAGCGGTTTGGCTTGTCCTAGGAAAACAGGCGGTGAAGAAGCTTTCGGCTGGCTTGCATGAAGCCCCTGTCATGGTTCAGATTCTCGATTATGGCGTCGAAAAACTGCCATGTTCGTGTGTTAATCCGGAGCGGGGGTGCCTGCCGGCCGGCGGTGTGTCTTGGCATATGTCTTCGGCACCCTCGACCCGGCCTGGGGTCGGTGTTCGGTGGTTGTGGGGCCGATCGAAAAAGTTTGGGTGGGGTCCAAGTCCCCTTTCCCATGTGTGGCTGAAAATTTCTGGACGGGCTTGGTTCAGCGAGGCTGCTGCTGTAAGAAAACTTCCATCACCAATATTTTACTCGCGACAAAGGCCATTGGCAGCGTATACAGTGGTTTTTTGTGATAGAAAGCTCCTCGCGAGCTGCAACGCGACAACCATGCCTCACTCAGAGATCGACCACCCTTCGACGAAGCGGCAAAAGCGCGATGCGATCGTGCAAGCGCAGCCATCTTCAAAGAGGAGCGGCTCGGCCATTTTTGCGCCTTTCCGGGTACGCATTACCCAACCACAGAAAACTATGCAAATTCGAGATGGAAACAATTCTGACAGTCCTGAGTCCTGTAGACCATTGGTTTAGTTTCACCAACAAACGTTCCCTTTGCCACGATTCCCCTTGGCAAAACCACCTTCCAGATCACGACTTCTGTCGGCCGTGCCCTTCAAACATACGATCTCAAGCGCGGTCTCAATCTTGTGTTCGTCACCCGCCCTCAGACTCCCGCCGATATAACCGCCACCTGTGCTTGGAAGGAAAAGGTATATGCTGCTTGGGGAAACCCGAGCAAGGGTGAATCTCAAGGATTATGGGCCTTCCAGCGCGGCAAGAAGGCTGCTGAGCTTCAGCTCCCTATCGGCCTCGATCAACCCATCAAACAGATTGTCATTTTTGGCTCGTGGATTATCGCATGCTGTGTCACGAGGATAGAGGTCTTCAAGTCGGCTACACTGGAACACTACACTACTCTCTTTACTGCGGCGGCTAAGAGGGGCGACAATGAAATTACGGGCGGCGTCTGCAACATGCCAACCTTCTTGAACAAGATCTTTGTCGGCCGGAAGGATGGTTGGGTTGAAATTTGGAACGTCAGTACCGGCAAGCTCGTATACACGATCCTGCCGCCCGCACCCAACAGCGGGTCCGTGACTTGTCTGCAACCCTCGCCCGCTCTGTCGTTGCTCACCATCTCGTACTCTGGGGGTTCTCTGGTCATTCAAAACGTTCTCACGGACAAGAAAGTGTTGCAGATCCAGGCTGGCAGTGAAGATGCTCCCGTTACCTGCATCTCATTCCGGACTGATGGTCAGGGTGCCGGGGAGGATGGCCGGAAGGATGGTGTTATGGCTACAGCAACTGGTTTTAGTGGGGATGTGACTTTCTGGGATCTCAACAAGGGTGGAAGATCGATGGGTGTTTTGCGCAGCGCCCACAACCCCCCATCACGCAACAAGGCCGTTGGTGGCGGTATCAGCAAAATCGAGTTTCTTCCCGGTCAGCCCGTAATCATCACAAGCGGTCTCGACAACTCTCTCAAGTCTTGGATCTTTGACGAGACACCATTCTCGCCAGTACCTCGCATTTTGCACCAGCGAAGTGGACATGCGGCGCCTGTCAGCTGCCTGCAATTCTTGCCGTCTGATTTCGATGGCGCAGAGGCTGGAAACAAGTGGCTTATGAGCGGTGGGCACGATAGGAGTCTCTGGGGATGGAGTTTGCGAAGAGATGGTCAGAGTACCGAACTATCACAAGGTGCCATTCGGAAGAAGGCAAAGAAAGCCGGTATTCTTGCTGGTGGGTCTTTAATTCAAGGCCCAAGCACAACCTTGGAGGATCTAAAGGCCCCGGAAATCACATGCATCGCATCTTCACTAAACCGCGATGGTGGTATTGGTGCTATGCCCGGAAAGCAGGTCATTTGGGACAAGGCCAACAGCACAAAATACTCTAATGCCGAGCTCAGCGGAATGACGGGCTGGGAGAGTGTCGTTACCGCTCACAAGAACGACCCGTGGGCTCGCACATGGTTTTGGGGACGAAAGAGAGCTGGTCGTTGGGCATTCAAGACTGGCGACGGCATGAATGTTTCCACTGTGGCCATCAGTTCATGTGGCACTTTCGCTGTGGTCGGGTCGGAGGGAGGCAGTATCGACACTTATAACCTTCAGTCAGGTCGGCACAAGCAACGTTTCCCTTCCAGGTTGACACCGGCCCAATTGAGGCAGATCAAGATGATGCAGCTGAGAGCGCTGGACAAGGTCAACGAGCTTCAGGCACGATCAGCCCAGAGCTTCCCGCCGGGCACTGGCAAGCACACAGCGGCGGTAACAGGTCTTGTTGTTGACTCTCTCAACACAACCATTACCTCGTGCTCGCTCGACGGTAAGATCAAGTTCTGGGACTTTTCCACCGGCAACTTGATCGACGAAATCAACTGGGCGCCCATGACCAAGATAGTGACCTGCCGCTATCATCCAGGCAATGACCTTATCGCGTTTGCCTGTGACGACCACTCCATCCGGGTTGTCGATATTGGAACCAAGCAAACGATCAGAGAATTCTGGGGCTGCCGGGGAGACATCAACGACTTTTGCTTCTCCAATGACGGCAGGTGGATCATTGCTGCCTCTCAAGACTGCATCATTCGCATCTGGGATTTGCCCACAAGCCATCTTATCGACGCATTCCGCACGGAAACTCCCTGCACCGCCCTCGCCTTCTCCAACACGGGCGAGTTCCTAGCCGGCTCGTGTGAAGGCAGCCTTGGTGTTCAACTCTGGACTAACAGAACGCTCTTCAAGCACGTCCCAACCCGGCAAATCTCGGACGCCGAGATTGGCGAGGCGGCCGGCTCTCTGCCGACGGCATCCGGTGAAGGTGGCGAAGGTCTCATTGACGCTGCCTTTGAGGATGATGCCTCGGAACCAGCCGATGATGGCGTAACTGCGCCAGTAATTGACCAGCTCTCCTCCGACATGATGACCTTGTCTCTGGTCCCCAAGAGCAGATGGCAAACCCTTCTGCATATCGACTTGATCAAGCAAAGAAACAAGCCAAAGGAGGCCCCCAAGGCGCCCGAAAAGGCACCATTCTTCTTGCCATCTGTTGGCGGATCGAACTCGCTATTACCTCCTATTGAAGACGACAAGGAGGGCAAGGAGGTTGTATCGAGGATAACGCAGCTAGATGCTACGAGGCAAGAGCAGGCTTTCTCCAGCAAGCTGACTGCCTGCGGGGAAAAGGGCGATTGTAAGTTTCCCGCCGTTGTGATGATTGGATAACAAGATGGCTGACCCTGCATACAGACACCGAGTTTATCGAGCACCTCAAATCTCTTCCTCCTTCGGCGGCTGATCTTGAGCTCCGGTCCCTCTCCATGGGCAACAGTGAGGACGATTACGAAAATAACGAGTTGCTTCACTTTATCAAGGCCTTGACCAGCAGGCTGATCGCCAGAAGAGACTACGAGCTGACACAGGCGTGGATGACTGTGTTCCTGAAGCTGCACTACGACCTTGTGATGGCCAACGACTGTCTTCTCAAGGCGCTGGACGAGTGGAAAGAGCACCAAGCGCGGGAAAGAGATAGGCTGGATGACTTGATTGGGTACTGCAGCGGCGTTGTTGGATTCTTGAGGAATCCCAGGACATGAATCAAATGTTTTTGTTTCGTTTTTCTGGTAGCATGTAATGTTGGAATCGAAAGTGAAACCAGGAGAAACTTATATATCACTAACTTTGCTGGAGTATTACTCTCACTTGGTTTGTCGCTCTCTGCTCTTCTGTCATCAATATCGCTCTATCCAAACAACCGATCCAGCACCCTGTCAAAGGCGTTCCTGTCGTGACGTTAGTAAAAAGAAAGGGTCTTTCGCAACTGATATAGAAAAATACGTACTTTGGGGGGCTGGGAACATATGTCCTTTGGTACTCTTCAATTTCATCGACATTCTTTACCAAGTCGATCTCATCTGAGCGATGCAGTTTTGTCTTGTTGACAAACTTGTATCCTAGATACAAGATGGGACATACCGCAATCATTGTAAACCTGTTCTCAGTCAGCTGGGCACTCTTGTCTTGGTCCGGAATTAGACTTACGAAAATAAGAACGTTGGCACATCCCACTTTCCGGGCAGGAAAACCGTGTACCCTCCGACAAATGTCATGACGGACGTCCCGATCAGCGCATACCACGCCGCATAAGGTTGCAACATGGCCTTGTACGGCAGGTCGTCTCTCTTGAACCCCTGAGCCTTCATCCCATAGTAGAACCGCAGGTACGTCACACACATGCAGGCAAAGTTGATCAGTTGGCTCGCCGTGACCAAGTTCACAAACCATTGAAGCACCACTGCGGCATCGTTTGAGACCTGCAAGAAACTCAAGAGCGAGATTCCCAAAACTACCAAGACGGCGTACAGAGGCACTCCCTTAGTTGTGACCTTTGTAAATATCTTTGGAGCCTTCCCCTCTAGCGCCATGCCGTAAAGAGACCTTGAGGCGCAATAGACATAGCTGTTTCCCGCCGAGAAGGCCGCCGTCAGGACCATAGCATTGACAATATCCGGCAGCACCCTGATGTTCAGCCGGTTCATCGCAATAACATATGGGCTTGCAGCTGCGCCCGGTGCACCCGTCGAGAATGCTATCTTCATCTCCTCGTCAGTGTATGGCACGAGAACACCAACCGCCAAACTTCCGAGCATAAAGAATGTCGTTAGCCGGTAAAACACAGCATTGAAAGCCCTGGGCATCACCACTCTCGGGTTTTCCGCCTCCCCGGCTGCCATGCTCACATAATCCGGCCCTGCTATGGTGAACGATGCCTGGATCAAACACTGCAGAAATCCTAGAAATCTCCCCAAGTCTCCTGTGTGGTACAACTCGGCAAAGGCGCCTGGATCGCTCCAGTATCGAAACCCAAACCTGTCTCCGGTCGGGTTCCCACCGCACATTACCACCACGGTAAAGATCAAGAGGGCAATAATGAGCAGCACTTTTCCCAGCGCAGCCCAAAACTCGACCTCTCCGTACCACTGCACAGCCAGCACGTTGATCAACCCATACAAGCAGATGATAATGGCGATGATTCCTCCAGCGGGTACAATCTCAGAGCCTTTCCAATAATGCAAAATAACATTGCAGGCGACAATTTCAAACGGCACCAGCGCGGCCTCGAAGATGAAGAAATTCCACCCGCAGGCAAAACCAAAGGCTTCGTCGACATAACGGCCGGCGAGTCGGATGAATGGCGAGGAAATGGGAAGGTAGGTCACCATCTCGGCCATGCAGAGCGTCACGGCAAGGATGAAGGAGCACCATATGGTGAAGGCGAGGAAGAGGGAGGCGGGTCCACCTTGGAGGAGACCACGGCCGATCTGGACATAGAGGGCTGTGCCGATTGTCCCGCCAATTCCTATCTCTGCGTGTTAGTTACGGAAAGAAGCAAGAGCAGTGGGGTTGCCTAGGGCAAATGGTTACCTATAAGTTGAATGTGACGAGACTTGAGCTGGCGTCTCATGCTATGCTCTTCTACCTGGGACCCGGAGAGCGACGGCGATGAAAGGGGGCCCCTTTTCTTTTCGTCGGTGCCACCATTGCTGAGAGAAGATGATAAGCCCCCCTTCTCCTGATCATGGTCTCCTGGGCTGGCAATAAGGTCGATTCCCGTGGAGGACATCGCTCCGTGGTGATTTATTTCAGTTGATCTCGATGGATTTGTTTGAGTAGGAGTGAAAAGAATTCCACCACAAAGATCATTCTGGTGATGCTTTTCTTTTTGTAAGAAATATCACGGGGAACCAGTCCGGGGCAATTGGCGGTGTCTTGCAGGGAGACCGAATGTTTTGACGGAAGGAGCAATGGTACAACGGATGCAGAGATCAATGTTGTGCTGGGTCGAGTAAACGATGGTTGGTTGGGAAGGGCAAGTACGTCACTTTTTGAAGCACGTAATTCAAATTCTAAAGACGGCCCACGGTGATCAGATCCCAACGGGGAAGGAGGATCCAACGAAAATATCTGTAGATTTTAGCGACTGGAGGAGAGGACGTGGGGGAACCACCCGGATGTGTGCCGTTCGCCGGTTCGTGACACTTTCCTTGCATATCTTCCACAGCACGAGGAGAACGCAACCGGGAAGCACCCTGCTGTCGCCTGTAAAGCCGATCGGGGGTCGCCGAAGGATCTGAACTGTGGAACGTGCCAAGGCCGGTCCCGTTCCGATTCGGTATTCAACGACAGCCGTAACTGCCGTCCGAGATTTGGTCCGACTGGATTGTCCGATTCAACACTTTCAGCGGAACAATCGCACAGAAAATAAACTCAAATGCCATTTCATTCGAAATCTCTCGTACATGCGCTAACCACCGCAATGGCGGCACCCGGACAGCAGACAGGTCTGCGACGGCTGCCTAGTGGGCTTTGGGTCGGTCAAACTCAAAATGACCATGACGTCTTGATTCAAGTTGGGTAGGTACGGTGGCTGATTTGGGGCATGGTATTCGGTCCTCCTGTCTTTTTGCAGAACAAACCCACGATCTCGTCCTCGTCCCATGACATTTGTTGACTGGACCCATCGACAAAAATCCCAATCGCAGACGTCACATCGCATCGTCCAGAGAACAGGCCCGAAGGCACCCCACATTCGGGTAGGCCATCACCATGTGCCGGGGAACAAAGTCCAGAATGAGCTGTGGTCACTTCCATGTCAGCTTCCACGAACGGTGCCACCCTTGGTGCAACGAGCCTGAAGTACAGTTCATCGGGCAAAAAGACGAGCGATGCGGCCATTGTATTGCGAAGACCCAGGTGGACTCTTCAAGAGCCAGCAGGCTCCAGGATGCTTGGGATTCATATTGCAACGATGCGAAGCAGGAGGTGCTTGTGTCTCTCCGGGAAAAGATCATCTCCGCCAACCGGGAAATCAGGGCTCTCAAGGAAGAGTTCCCCGACCTGGACGGTCTATCATCTGAACTAGAACGAGTACGAAAGGAACAGTCCGAAACCATGCGGATGATCCACGCACAAATGGAACGGGCGAAGGAGGAAGGGGCCATGAAGGAACTGTTGCTCATGCAAGAAAGGAAGAGTTCTCTCCAAAGGAAGAGGGACTCCGGGCGTTGTGGGAACGGGGCCACGGGGAATCAATTGCTCGAATCTCTTGACGGGGATATTGAGCGCCTGAATGAAGAGCAAGTGATGCTGATGGAAAGGTCTCCCGAGCTTACCAGGCTCATCTGGCTGGATCGGCAACTGGTGCAGCTGGAATCCAACGAGACAACGCTGTGTTCGCACGACAGTCTAGCAAAGCTAGATGCTATCACCAGAAGCCGGGATGTTTACGTGGCCGACGAGATCAGACTGACAGAGGAACGGCTAAGCAACCTCAAGTCTATTGAGGGACGATTGAGACATCAGGCAATGCAAGAAAAGGCAGAGGTCAAGAACGCCCGATGTGAGGGTTGTGCGGCTGCTCAGAAAGAGCCTGACAGGTATGTACGGCTGTTTTCTCTTCTCCCAAAACCTTTTCTCGTAGATTTTTGACAATAGCGTGTAGTGATTTGGTTCAAGTCGAGGATACTCCCGTCGCATGTCCCGAGACGCTGTCGCTCACCACCAACACAAAACGCAGTCTTACTACCGTCGTGGCCCCCGAGACCCTATCATCTACCACGAGCAGACCAAGCATTCCACTACCTCGTTATTCATTGCCTCGTTCGTCATTGCATCGCCCGTCTAGCTATATTTCCAGGCAATCCATTAACGAACAGAACCAGCCTCGTATTCTGTATCGAATTTTCACTCTAGCCACCGATCCCGCCGAATGCAGCTCCAGATGGTCGTTGAGGGCCTCACAACATTACGGCGAGTAGCCTGCTTGCCGTATTCTTGGTTTCCTACAAAAAAGGAAAATCCAAAAAGAAGCTAACAGAAGCAAACCGTCCGTGTTTTTCTATTTCCCCCCCTGCTGTCTATTCTCCTCCTCCAAAAACTGCCTCACCTCTTTTACCCTCGTCACCTCCCCCTTCTCCTTTCCCATGGTATTCTTCTTCTGGGTATAAAACTTGACTCTATCATGCGCCAGCTTTCCAGCACGGCGTTTATCAGTTGGACAGCGCAACAGCGGAATCAGAACAATGGCGGAGAGCGTATCAAAGACTTTTTGGGGCGTCACCCCGTGGCGGGCGGCCACCTCGTCGTACGGGAAGGTTTCCTCGGCCGTTTCGGCAATGTCGATGAGCAAGTTTGGAGACGGCTTTTTGCGGAGGGGGATGGTGAATTTTGTCTTGTTGGGTGGCTGTTTTTCGGGGGCTGTGGTGGGTGCTTTCAACAATTGGGGTGGTGGTGGTGGTGGTGGTGGTGGGGGCCCTGGTGATATTTGCGTCTGCGGTTGAGAGGACGGCTGAAGAGGAGCTTGCTGAAGCCAACGCATGTGCTCTTGCTGAACTACCGTGCAATGAAGGCCGGGTGGCTTGCATGGGCTTTGATTATGAATCGGACTTTGGACAGAGGTTGAGCAACATGGGCGCCCTGGCGTCGATTGCGAGCCCGGTGGAATCAACATGTGTCGTGGTTGTTGCTCTTGTTTCGGGTTGTGAGGTCGGAATACCGGTGGACCCTGACTTTGCATTGGACGCGGATTCATCCACGGGTTTGGGCTCGAGTTCATGCTCAAGTTCATGTTTTGTTGCGGCATTGGAACAAGACTTCCCATAGAGTACATTGCAAAGGGAATAGCGTTTGGTCCGAATGCTGCTTGGTTGATCATCTGACTGGACATGTGTGTGCTGCTAGTGATGAGAGCATTGTTATCTGATGGTGAAAGCATCTGACCTGTCTCATACGCCGGGTTGTTCATTGTGATCCCCCCAAAATCGAGGCAGGGGACTTGCTCGAAACATGGCGACGATGTGGAATTGAACAAAGCGCTGGAACTGGTGAAAAGCGATGTTGGATGGCTTGTAGATGGCATTGGCTGCGACATCTGTTTGGGTGAAACTGCCACCGACATGCGTGGTACGCGACTGATTGGAGGGAAATCCGTAGGGAAGGCAAAGCTTTCAAGAACTGGGATTAATGCACTGGGTTGTTCGGGGCTCATTCTGGGGCTAGGATCCTGAGATGGGCCTGGCCCAGTGTCAGTAGTTCTAGTGACGCTGCTGGGTGGTGCAGGTTGATCGGAAGCATGGCGATGGCTAGCAGAAGCTTGATGTAACTGCGAGCTGTTTTTGGTTATTCTAGAAACTGCCGGGTCTGGCTTTTGATCGTTCAGGTGTGGGTTTTGGGCTGGCTGGTCGTTCAGGCGTGGCTTCTTGACGGGACAACAAGATATAAACTCCACTTCATCATCGTCCGCCGTCCGTTTGGCTGGGATTGCTTGAGCGGGCTTTGCTGCCACTAGCTGAGACGCTGAACCCTTCTCCTGCTGTTTCGAAGACGACATGATGGCTACTTTTTCGTCGGCAGTGGATGTGTGGGTGCGAACTGGCTTCAGGGCAAGCGCGAGTTATATGTCCAACGATTCAAAGCATCGCGTTAAAAAGCTGGCGGTGAAAAAGGAACACATGGGAGCCTGTCATTTGATCCGATAAGTACTTCACAGGAGGCATCTTTGAAGAGTTGGAATGCGGGACAAGGGGACTATTGAATGGATGCAGCTTGTTGTACATGGCTTCATGATTCAGCAGGAGAGCAAAGCTTGGGCTGTTGTGCGCATTAGGATGAGATGTAGAGTAGACCTTTCGATGATTATGCATCAAGGTTCTCAGCTGAGGCTCTATATACCTGAAGTAAAAGGTGAATGAGGGGTTCCAGTATGATATGTTCACCATGTTGGAGTCTCGTGTTTTGTCTCAGAAAGGTGCAGCTCCTGAACAAGGGGAAAGGGGGTGTTAAGATCTGAGCTACGCTACTGCAGCTGTCACAAGTCTGCGAGCAGCTGGCACCACTGCGTGGGTTCTGAGTCCCCACTCGCCTGTGGCCCAAGCTCCCAACGGCGGGGCAAGGCTGAGCTTCTGCCTTGTGAATTGCTCCCCGCATCATCTCCAACTCTCCCTAATTCTTCCACCAACAATCTTGTGTTTGTCTCCCAACGAAATCGAAGTAACTACAAAACTTGCTTCCAAATACACGCCCAAAGAAGCCATAAGCATTTTTTTCGACCCAGAAGCGACCACGAACCGAAGAAGCACCACCATGGCGAACCAGGCAGGAGGGGCCAACGAGCTGCTATCCGCCCAGAAGTCATCAGACTCCGGTCTCCAAATCATTCTTCACCCACTCCCGATCCTTGAGATTTCCGACTTTATTACCAGAGGTTACCAAAGGAACTACAAGGGCGCCGTTGTTGGTGGACTTCTTGGTCAGCAAAATGGCCGCGAGATCACTATTGAGCACAGCTTCAGCATCAAGTCGGTGAAGAAGGAGGAGGATGGTGGTGTCTACGAGCTCGATGAAGAATGGTTCAGGCAAAGGTTGGATCAAAGTATGAGAATTCACCCAGTCATTTAAGCAGTACGCGTTTTGGCAACTAACATGGCGGAAGTGAAACTTGTCCACAAATCACCACAGCTCGACCTGGTAGGCTGGTATGCTCTCGTGCCCAAGTCGGGCCCAACAGTCCTCCACCTGCCAATCCACCGCCAAATCAGCACTGTCAACGAGTCCGCCGTATTGTTAGGATTCCATCTGGAGGACATGCTTTCTCCCGCGGCTGGGGACCCGCTTCCAATCACGATATATGAGTCGAACATGGAGGCCGAAGGTGAAGATAAGGAGATGAAGGATTCTGAAAACCCAACCAACATGGTTCTCCGCTTCCGCAAACTTCCCTACGCAACTGAGACTGGAGAGGCCGAGATGATAGGCATGCAGTTCATTCGTGAGGGTGGCGCCAACGCTTCGGCAGATGATGCCCCAGTCGAAACGAAAAACATCGCTGAGCAATTTGAGCAAAAGATCGCCGTGACGGATGGCAAGGGCAAGCGTAGGGCCGTTATGACCTCTGGGTCCGTTTCGAAGAACCCAGTCAGTCCGAGTAAAGGCAAGGGGAAACAAAAGGACGAGCCCTCCTCTTCCCCACCGCAGGCCGAGCCACCCAATCCCGACATCAACCTCACCAGGTCAGAGTCAGAGTACATGGCTGCGCTCCAAGCAAAGTTCAATGCTATCAAGATGCTCAAATCACGTATCGCTTTGATCATCACCTATCTGCAACGCCTCCCTCCCACTTTCACGGAAGGAAAGCAAACCACACAGGAAGCTTCTGATGCTGCTCGTGCCTCTGGCGGCCAATACACGATTCCCTCGAATAACATACTCCGGCACATTCAGTCGCTGGTCACCAACATCGACCTTGTCACCCCTGCTGAACAGGCCGCTTTGCGAAAGGAAATGCTGCAGGAGACCAACGATGTAAAACTCATCTCTTTGATCTCTGACTTGTTGACCAGCGTCGCTGAGGTCAAGGAGGCAGGTAAAAAGTTCAGCATCCTGGAGTCATCAAAACAAACACGTGGACCGAGAGGTGGTGTTGGGTATGGCGGGCCAGTGGGAGACAAGAGCAATGACTATGAATTAACCGGTTCCTATAGCCCTATTCATTCGAGGGGACATGCTGAGTTTGGCACGACAGGGTCTGTTTCACAAGAATTTGGTGGTGCCTCCGATATGCTTCACAACCTCTCTGATTAAAGTGCTCGTGACGACGAGAGCGGACCACGATAAACACTGAGGGGCTCTACAAAAACAGGAGATGAAGGGGTTGGGGAGCGCTAAGGGCAGCAGACATGTACATGCACGAAACATAACGAATATGTGTCCCCGGTGAGCAAGATAAAGCAATGACAATTATGATGAGTTTATGTATGGCGTTAAACATCCGGGAAAGACAGGACAGGGGCATGAATCAGGGTCAGGAAATCAGGCAAGGGCATGGGCATGAAAAGGAAACATGATTAGTGGTAGCGTCAGCCAGTCACCACGAATACAGGAAAATGCTATGCCTTTGAGCCAACAAAGCTATACACCGGTAAAAGTCATGCAAAATTAGAGACTACTTGATTACTAGTCTGACTGGTGACCTCACAAAACTCCCAAAACAGATATAGCATGTGTGAGTGAAAAAATAGACAGCGACCAAGGAGAAGCAACACACTAGAATTGGTCTGCCTACCCACATTCAAGCCCCAACCAGCTTCCGAACCCCTCCGCTCTCTATCACCATATTGTTATCGCTCCCCTGATGTGAATCACAACTCTTCATCTGCTCCATATTTGCTTACCTGCTGCGCTTGGAACCCTCTGCAATGCCCAGTGGCATTATCGATAGCACAGCAACATCTGATTTGGTGAACCCTTGGTGTTCATTGAAAGGAACAAAGCCAAAGACGAAAGATTGATCACACCAAGGAGATGAACACAGCATCATCGTGAAAGAGACAGAAAGATAAAAATAATAATAAAAAGTAGCGATTAGAAAAAGGCAAAAAGGTCATGTCCCCCATCTGTCTATCCCATCCCAGTCTTTGTTGCTTCATACCGCTGGAACCTAAAAGAGAGAGAAAAAAACAAAGTGATGACAGTAATAGTAGGTAAGAAATGATCGCACACTCTAATAAGAGAGAAAGTGGCAAAAAAGTAATCAAGAAAAAAAAAACATCAAAAAGAAATCAAAAGAAAACACTGCCAATCCCTGATTTAGGGATGACAAGGTATCATCGTGGTAATCATTAGACCCATTTCCTGTCCACCCATCCGTCTATATTGTTGCTTTGGCAATACCGAAAAAGAGATGTCTTCATATACAAGAAGCTGAGATCAAAGAAGAGAGGTCGAAACCGAGGCGGGGGGCTGACCATCATGAGTCTGCACAGTCTACTCGGCTTCAATGACGACCTTGAGTACGAGATTGCCGTCGTCATCCACGGTCCTGCTCGCGAGCTCAAACGCCCCCTTGGCATTGTCGAGGCCCTTGAAGCGGTGGGTGACCATCTCGTCCAAGTTCGGCAGAGCATAACCGCCACGGGTTGGTCTGTTGCGGGCGCAGAGGAGCTTCATTCCGGTAGCATAGGTGTTGGCATACCGAAAGATACCCAGGATGTCAATCTCGCGTAGATGGGCTACCGACATGGGAAGGGTTTGGATCGGCGTCCCCATGCCCACCATGATGACCTTTCCTCCGGCCTTGGTGGCGTACAGGGCTGTGTGCATGCACACCTCTTTGCCAGTACATTCAAACGTGATATCGACGCCATCGCCCTCGTCATCGATCAAAGGGCTAGAGCCGTTTGCCTCGGCGAGCATCTCGGCAGCGAGTGTCTTGGCTGTGTCAAGGGAACTCTGAAACGAGATGGTGCTGGCGGGCGTCATGACGCCTTCGCAAGGCGTCGACGTGCCCGAGTTGCTGCTGTTGTACAGTGATGAGCAGCTGGAAGAGGTGTGGAGCTGTTTTGGCACCACATAGCCGTGTGTGGCAAAGCCTTTGGCGATGGCAAAGTTGACCCGGCCTTGGTCCACATCTGCAATGGTGACGGTAGAGCATCCGGACTGGCGAGCCATGGCGGCGGTCAGAAGACCAACAGCTCCCGCACCAAGTACAAGTGCACTGGAGCCAGGCGTAGGAGTGGCCCGGTTGACAGCATGCAGGGCTACTGAGAGGGGCTCGAGCAGAGCAGCAGCATCAAAGGAGACATTCTCGGGGAGCCTAGAAAGAGAAGGTTTAGCCATCTGAGCTATGATGAGACATGTAGATTGCCAAACATACTTGTGACACCACGTTGCGGGGTGGTTTATGCGATCTTGCAAAGTGCCCTGGAAATGCGGGAACGATTTGGCACTGCTTCTGAACCGCATCTTCTTGCAGAGGTTATACCTCCCCTGGCGGCAGATACCACACTGGCCACAGGGTATACCGACCTCGAGTGCAACGCGGTCACCAACATTAAAGCCGGTGACGTGAGGCCCGATGGCAACGACGGTTCCCGAGGACTCATGGCCCAGAGAAAGGGGCTGACAGGCACAAAGGTCACCGTTGGCGAACTTCTTGTAGTAGGACACATCAGATCCACAGATTCCTGTGGTCTTGATGGCAACCTGTAGTTCACCAATCCCCGGTTCTTGAATATGTCTTTGCTCCTAGACGTGGTGTGAGCAGCTTGACCATTGGACGCGGCTGGCCGAAAATGTCAAGGCTGAGAAACGACCCCTATCATAGTCCCTGTGTAACCGACCGATCTAAGATCTCTTGGGGCACCCAGGGGTCAGAAGGCGAGGGGCGGGGTGACAGCTATAAAGACAAACTTACCAATCGTAAATCACGCGGGCCATGCAGGACTGACGCATTGATCGTTGAAGCTTTTGACATGGCGGGTATGTGCATTGGCGCCGAGTCACCAGTTGCGGAGGGCGCCATCTTCAAGGAAGGGAAATGGGGGGCGTGGGATGTAAGCGGGATGCAGAGGTGGGATAGGTGTGTCCAGCCAACGAGGGGCCGTGAAAAGGGGTCTTCCCCGTGGGGTTTTGGGAATCCGGGGAGCGCAGCTAGGGGACCAAAGGCTTGCTGTGTGATCCGAGAAGCACCACTGCGGCTCTGTTTGGTGTACGTGGGCGCGGGATGATGTGAGTTGAAGGGTGGTCAGGGAACGCGAGAGAATCGAGGGACAGAAAAAGATAAAAATGTGAAGGGGCAGAGGCAAGTCTGGTGGCGACGCCTGCGTATGGATATGAGGGAGGGGGGAAAAAACTCTCAGGGCCAGGGGAAACGGATCTGGAGTGGATGGAGCAAGTGAGGAAAAGCTGGCGGATGCTCGTAAACTTAGATCCAGAGTGGGGGTCTCGCCAGGCTCTTTAAGTATAGTAACGACGGTTTGGTTGCCATGATATGAAGCACTGACGTGCTGATATGTGTCAATCCTTGGTGGATGCAGTCCGGGGGTGGGAAGGTAGGAAGCAGCAGCGTCAAGAAACCAGGGGCTAGACAAGGTTCAGGAGCGGAAGTGAAGATGCTTGTCTTCCCTCTCTAGAGCCAAAGCACCACTTTGAACCAGCCGGCTCACCCAGTCAGATATCGACTAGTTATCTCTACTTCTGCACAAGGGAGCAAATCTTAAGGGACCATCCATGCGCTCCATAGCAGCGCAGAGAGAAGCTCCATAATCTCGGGATCTCATGCAAGGAGGCTAACGAGGGTTTGTTGCTTCGGCAGGACATCCCATCATCCATGTCCGAGGACGCTACGGCAGCAGCATCGCGACATTCAAGGGTAGAAAAGCTTCACCCATCCGGCGCCGGAGGCGGTTCAAAAGCACCGAGAATCCCCACCAGCGCCACTGTTTGGCTTCTGCGTCTCTGCACTTTTGATGTGGACATATGTGCATGTATGTGTATGTATATGCTGTGGCAGCTGTGTGCAAGTACGGTAGGTGAACTGTGGTGGCGGCGTGCTGTGTACTGGAACCTTGGGTGATGCGGGAGAACGGGATACGCACCGTAGGCCCCTGGCAAGTATGGGTACCTTGAGCACGTTCCAGAGTCGCAACTGTCGAGGAACAGAGTATGTTGGAGACCAGCCAGGCCAGTCCTGGTGCGATCCGGGAGCACCTGGGGCGAGGGTCTTTCCCGTCTGGGTCTGCTCGAACCGTCTGAGTGGACCGCTTTTCGACAAAAATGAGGTACTGTCCGAGAAGGGCACAGAGTGCCGGGATCTCGACGCAATGGAGGAACGAATAGCTGGCTTCCATGCAGCAACATGCATGTATATGTAAAGTACGGCTACTTGGCCGCGGCTTGTCTGCAGACAGCTAGGGTACCTATCACTTATCGCCAGAGGCTGGGTGCTCAGACAACAATAACCGGGAAGAGGTAAACCGGCAGATTGCGAAGCCGACAACGGCTTGCGGCCGAGGGAAGAAGAGTCAGAACGATGAGAATAGAAGCCAGGTCGACCGCCAACGGGGACAGGGTAAGTCGGCGGTAACGGTAATATCAGACGGAAGACGGGTGCCCAGGGCCGGCTGTTCCAGTGTTTAGCGAGGCTACACAACTCCCGGCCACTACAACGTCGTCCGGGATATGACGATATATGTATAGGCAGCAGAACCCTCACCTCGCCCCGGCAGGTGGAGAGATGCTCGTGAAGAGCTTTACACCGATGGGGAGCAGAGGATGCCTGTAGAGCCGAAGGTGGTGTGGGCCGAGTTGTGCACTCCCAAGAGCGATCGCGGACTTGGGTCAAAGGTGTCAAGCTGTCTTGATGGGTGGACGGAGAGAGGACGGGGAGGGACGAGAAGTCTGGAGGAATCATGAATGGGGCAGGGGGTTGGAGAAGGGTGTGTGGGGATGCGGTGTTCGCATCTGGGCTGTGAATGGCGTCGATGACGAGTTAGAGGGGCAAGCCAGATGTAGGCAAAGCGAGGTAGGTGGGATAAAAACCTGGAGAGAGACGGAAAAGAATGAAACGCTCGAGTCAATCATGAAGATTGCGCGGTACCTAGGTACAGGGCACCTGCCTTGCCTAGGTACCTACCTACCTTAGGTATCTACGGCTACCGCGCCGACCCTAGGTACTCACTCCAGGTTGAAGGCAAGAACCCTATCTGTTGGTTCTCTGCACCTTCGTCTTTTTTTTTTTTCGCTTTTGCCCTGCCGCGCTGCCGATAACGCGATCCGGGAGTGACAAAGTGCTGACATCTCCTGGGGAAGAGCCGGGCCGCGGTTGGGGTCGCTCTGGGGAACGGATGTGTCTCCGCACAGTGAAGTAGCCTCCCGGGTGCAACCCAAAAGCTGTTCTCCAGCTCAGCTCGGAAACCTGCCTCTTTTGTACATATTTTCTGGCTGTGTGTACGCTGATGCTTGTGTTGGAGGTAGAGCTCTCTATCTGTGGCAGATCGACGCGGTGGAAGGAAACCCCTTGGAGATCACTCGCTAGCCTCATAGTATAGCTCTCCAACTTCTTGAACCCCACATGTTGCTAACCCCGCTCCACCACAGAGCATGGGTTCGTTCCAAACGGCCCGGAAGTGGGCCGGTCAACATGCCCCAATACGACCGGGGACCCGTTGATATCTCAACGGCTACGACGACAACAGCTCGCTCGACATGGCTCGAATTCTGACCCGTCTGTGATGAGTCTGTCCGGATCTAGAAATGTCCTGCGAACGATTCATGCCGAGCACGGAAGAAATCACTCTAGCGGTCAGGAACCACGGGCTGTCAAACTGAGGAGGCAAATGAACGATATGCACCGTGTATTTTGCCGGCCCTATGGCGAAACCTGCGCACATGGCATGGCAGGGGTAGCTTCCACTTTTTTTGGTATTTGAAACGGAGCACCAACTTCCAGCAGTGCTGACGAAGCCAGATTCGCCGTGATTTACCCTCTCGAAGAAAGTATATCTCGGGAGAGGTGATGTCCAGCCGCCGCTGCACAAAGACTGAGTGAGTGCCGGAAGACCTCTTACTCGGAGGCGGGATGCTGCGGCCCTGGAAGCGGCCCAACAGCCAAATACGATACGAACATGCACATTTATCGAGTCCTTATCAAAACACCGACAAGATACAGCGGTCGCACAGTGGGTGCCCGAGATCGATTACGCCGTGTTGATCTTGAGTTCCAGACAAGACGACTGATAACAGGACAGGTACATACTCCGTACATGCTCCTTATCGAACGCACCCGGATCTTTGTCGGATGCTTCCTCGGTCTCTCCTGTGCAACCCAACCGAGGAACATGAGGTTGGAGAAAACTGGGGTTGGACGACCCAACAACCAGCGGCTCTAAGAAGAAGAAGAAGAAAAAAAGCAACAACGCCCAGACCTGCCCCACGATTCCATCATCGTATCGCGCTAGCAAGGGCGGGAGCGGCGTGTGGGGCCACTAGGCACTTCGGACCAAGATAGGCAGATCCTAGCTGGCGAGATTTTCCAGCACTCGATGACTGAAGAGACTGATGACAAGAACGACTCCTTACAGAGCGCTCTCACACAACTCAAATATCCCGCTCATACATCAAACGCACGCGGCAGTGCTGCTTCAGAGTGGCCAGTATCTCATGACGGTTCAAGACACGTCTCCCTCAAAAGGAACGCTCAATGAGGAAAGCCGGGAGATGCTGCTGCTCAAGGTGCCTATCTCGCAACTCGCAAAGCGGTCCAGGTCGTCAGGGCTTGCGGCCAGCTGGCCGATATTCCACGACTATACACGCCATGAACTTTCACGTCATGGGGCTCCTGGCCTGTAGGTTGGTATCCCCGCTCCTTGTTACGGAACCGATGGCGTTGTCAGGACCCGGGACCATCGGCGCCAGGTCTGCATGGAAGGCGTAGTGTAGGCCAATCCCACCATCAAATTCACGAACACCTGCTGTTGCATCGGGCCAAACTGCTCCGGGTTCCCGAAGGCCTAGCTACATGCTTAGGAACCGCTTCCGTCGCTCCGGCGAAGATTCGGACCTGCCTCCACAGAGAGCAAAGTCGATCTTGTTCCCATGTGCGCCGGCGAGAAGAGTTGGAATTCGCTAGCGTTCTGCAAATGTTAGAAGGGCATTGGGTGCCTTGCCCCTCGCTCGCAGCGGCAGCTGTGTTTTAATGGAGTTTTTCGCAGAGGTTACCAGTACCAACAATACTCGCTCGTACGGACACCAGGATTCACTACCGTGGCACTACGAGGCTGCACCGGGCGAGTACACCGGAAACCCTGCATCTCTCCTGCAGATATAATAAAAAACACAGGGTTATACGGATTCCGTACATACACATATAGCTGCACGACACCACCATGCAAACCCCCCTGGTAAATTTGCCAGGGGGGTTTGTCACCGCACCTACACAATACACCACTTACCGAGATGATGGATAGGCGAAGCGGTGAGCGTGCAGAGCTCGCTTCCTCGGTTTCTGATCTGGTCCAAGAGAGCCTCCTGGACTTCGCAACCAAAACAGTGGCCGGTGAAAGCAACGTTGACGGCAGGCTCTATGCGACCGCCCTCCGGACCCTTTCCCCGGAGCCTTGGCCTCGCCTCGAAGCGCCCGTTCGCTGTTGCTAACTTTGGTGCTGGGTTCTTTTGCCACACAGGTCGACGACAACCAAAAGTATGCCGGTATAGTGGGATCATGAGCGCCCGGCCGTATCGTGCTCACTCGGATTTTGAAGGGTCCCCGCTCGCTGGTAGCTTGCTGCCCGTCCCCCACGAACAGGACGGGACGGCCCTGCCGGGTGTGTCTACCGGTTGGACGCTGACGTTGGTAATGTGATCCGAGCATGACAACGGGAAGCTTAACAAGGTAGGGGGAGCAGCGGATGTAGCAGCTTGACAGCTGTGTGGTAGGGACGGGGAGCTTACAAGCGAGCATGTTTTGAGTCGCCCTCTGCCCTGGTGTCGTCATCGTCGAATCCGTTTCCCCATATGTTGCTAGATGGGCATTGGTCTGCTGTCGTCATCTAGCTTTTAATACACGCGGTAAAAGAATAGATGAAGAGGTTCAACTGCCGGTTTCATACGTCGTTGATCCCCCCCAGACGGGACAAAATATATTCAGATAGATACAGATCCGTCCAAAAAGGGGTTTGATAGAAACAGCCCAACGCGCCTCGAGAAGCATATACTCCCTGCGGGGAGGCATGATATCAGACGAGTCCCCTCCCTATGCTACTGTCAGACGGCACGGTGCTTTGACCCTTGAGCAAGTATCTATACATGTACATCTGGAGTCGAGCCGCTACCTCTTCATGACCATCAGCCATTACCTAATCTTTTGCCAATGTCTATAAGGGAAAATCTAACCACCAAGCGCGCCTTTTCCTTCGGTATCACAACATTTAAGTCATCAAAAACACACAGGCTGACTCGTCCGGTATCATGTGTGAAGAGATGGCCTTTAGGCTACCAAAAGACCCCCGTGGTTCATGCTGTTGTGTCACCGAAGTCAAGCCGAGGGCAGTGTAACCATTGCTGTACGTGAGTTGTAAACCGAGCAGTTTCTGCATCGTCATCTTCCTCCTGCTGCGGCTGCTTCTAACTTGCTTGCTGGCTACTGCGGGACTACTACTGTCGTGTCCCTCTTACATCATACTTCTGCATCTTCGGCCATCCCGTCTTCTGGGCAATAGTTCTTTTTCATCCTGTAATATCTCGACTCGTTGACCCCCCTGTTTGATCACAGACATTTCTTCCACACCACGCTCCCAATGTTCCTTTATCCTTTAGAATTTTGACAAGTTAGAAGGTGCTTGTAGCCAACCGACTGGCCGCATTTCTTGCATCGACCCTGTCCTCGTCGTCCTCTTCCGCTAAACCCGGCAGATTCCCGGCCACCGAACCGCCGCCACCGCTCAACGCCCGCGTCCTTGCCCCCTGATCGTGACCGCCCTCTCCGCCTTCCTCCCCTTCTTCGGAAACGCTGCCAGCCATAAAGCTTCCCGAGACACTCCTGCTCATGTTGCTGTCGTGCCGTCTAGGAACTCCACTCCAGGCGTCACCCTTGGGTCCCTGGGAGGTAGCCATGCTGACCCGTCTGACAGGCGGATGAGCCTCTCTCCCGAGACGTGAGAGCCCACCGCTAGAGTCGATCGCTCGAATGTCGGGTCGCACAGACTCGAGGAGTGCCAGTGTGCGCCTTTCGGCTTCAATTTCGCGAATCACGTATTCACGGATGGAGAGCCGTAGATCGGCTGCCGTGCGAGCGAACCACTTGCGCCGTTCGTGAACCAAATTTTGTGTGACGCGGGTGGTCTTTTGGTAGAGTGCCGTTTCTGTCTCACGCGCTTCGTGCAGGGCGCCGATGGCTTCGTCGACTTTCTCGCGGCGGACATTGGAGGAGGCTTTGAGGCGGTCGGCCGCGTTGAGTTTGCTGCGGGTTTGCTCCTGGGCTTGGAGGAACTCGCGAATCAAAATTTGGCGGTTCGTGAGGGTCTCCTTGACGATGAAGGCATCCTGAGAGTGGTATTGGAAGGGGTCACCAATGGTGGTAGCCTCAGCTGTTGCTTGGGCGGCGTGGAAGTCGCCGACGGTCTGGACGATCTTGCCTAGCTTGCGATAGGCATTGGCTAGCCCTGGATGGAGCTCTTGAACGTGCATGTTGCCAAGTTTGACGCCAAAGTCGGATTCGGCAAGTCCGAGACCTAGAGTTCATCGTCAGAGATTTGGGTTTCCTTGACCGTAGCAAAGAACAATCGGGCACATACCTCTGCGTGACTTGACAAGCTTGTCAACCTTGTGCCCGGCATCCATCGCTCCCAGATAAAATAGCTTGACAATGGGGCGGGCCTCCTGCAGCTCAGGAGTGTCATCTGGGGGCGGGGCAAACTGCTTCAAGATCTTTCTGCGCACACCAGTTGCCGGCTGCTTCTTTTTTACCATGGGGCTGTAGCCGAAATCGCTCTCCACAAAAAGCACCATTTCAGGATCTCTGGCCAACACCTCGCTGCTGCAGACGTAGTTGAACCACCGCTGGAGGAGCGCCTTGACACGAATCTCATCCTCCTCAGTGCCCGCACCGGCGGATGTCAAAGCTGGCGGTACCGCCGGCACAATAGCCTCGGGGTTGGCCGAGATCAAGTGCTCGGCAAGCTTGATGAACTCAGAGTGGAGACGGCGTACATCGCGGTACTGTGTCGTTCTAAAGGCAGGGAAGTTTGTCTTTTTCTTGTAAGCATCCGTCTTGTTCCTAACGACGTATAACCAAGAAAGGGGCCGTACATGTACATCAAATCTCAAAATAGGATCCTTCCTTCCCGTCCGTTCCAGCCCAGTGATCTTGGCCTGCAATTTGAACTGGGGCGCCTGCGATCGCCGGGGCTGCTGCTGTTGCGGCCGGTCTTGACCCTGGGGTGCCCCTTCGGCCGCAGGATTTTGCGATTGTTGCTGCTGCTGATGCTGATACTGAGGTCCTGGAGATAATGGCCCATGGTCGCCAGCCCCTGAAGCGTGGTTTTCCGTGTAATGCTGGACGCCACCCGGCTCGTCCATACTGGGCTCCACGCCATGGGATTCGGCAGCTGAGACAGTGCTCGCAGTGTCTGGTCTCTTATAATCAGAATCGCTTGCGCCGAACCCGCCATCTTCGTGGAGACCATTGTTGGAGCTGTGGGAGGGGAATCGGTAACGGGAGGGCTGGGCATCGCCCGTCAGCCCGGCGATGCTGGAGCCGAAGCCGGTCTGATCCTGTCTGGGCGAGGAACTGGGAGAGTTACCCCAAGGCGAAGCCTCGGCAGCATGGTCGTCTTGTATCGATGCGCTGTAGTCCATGGCGGTTTATTATGTGATTCGAACTAAGATATGCGGATGTTCTGTTGAGATGACGTGGGAGGTCTAATTATTGCGCAGTTGTTGGGAAGCTTGTCGGTCCCGGCAATGACGTGCGGTGTGACTGGGGAGCTTTTGGAGGGAGTGGCCGGGCCACAATAGCAAGTGTTTCTGATAATTCAACTGGTTTCGATCCAGGTAACTTGGCCAGTCGCACGTCGTCGTTGTGGCCGTATAGCGTAGCGTGGCGTGTCCAGCGTGAAGCAGCTGAGGTGAGGTTGGATGTGGCCGTGGTTGGCTTGTGTCGTTCGGCGCCTTGCTCCCTCTGGAAACAGTGGAAATGGAAGCGCCAAGCGATCTATGGCTGGGATTTGGGAGCGGGGTACGCACGGTCCACCTGAAGCTCGCAGCATGAGCTCCTGTCCTAAAGCTACCCTGCCTGACTGCTCTAAAAATCGAAACTCAATTCAGAGACAGCTCTGTTGTTCAAGATCTCCGAGTGAGAAAATCAACAGCTGTCCTTCTGGCTACGTCTTCTTCTAGTCTAGAGGCATGGTCCCCTTCCCTTCGTTCAACAGGACCTAAGCAGTAAGCTCGGCAGCTTGGTATGCAGAGCTGATTGGCTGCTGACTCGTTGACTGAAGCTATCCTCGGGTTGGTAGTTTATCTCTTGTGGGCTCACAGCATACCTGGTATCGAACAAGCTGAGCCGAAGGGATCAGAGCTTGGGAATGTTCACCACCGTCTCATCCCATGCCTGCCGCCACGGCCAGGGGAAGCTCTTACTTCGTCTCTTAGTTCTAAAAAATGCCCGGCTGTGCAATTCCAACAGCTCAATTGGAAAAGGCATCAGGAGCTATGCAACCGAACATGCTCACCACGAGGCGAGGGTTGAGAACATCCGCAACATTGGCATCATTGCCCACGTTGATGCTGGCAAGACTACGACTACGGAACGCATGCTCTATCACAGCGGCCGTACAAGGCATATTGGAAGTATGCTTTGGACCATTCCGCCCACTCCCCGGTGGTAGTCACAGATATTGACAGCCTTTAGATGTTGACCACGGCAATACCACGACAGATTTCCTTCCCATGGAAAGGGAGAGAGGAATCACCATTCAATCAGCCGCTGTGACTTTTCAATGGCCACCAAAATCCGTCTTACCCAACGGTCAGGAGTCAAAAACCATCAACCTCATCGACACCCCTGGCCATCAGGATTTTCGTTACGAGGTCGACCGTTGTCTGCCTATCCTCGACGGTGCCGTCTGTATCATGGATGGTGTAAAAGGGGTTGAAACCCATACCGAGCGCGTCTGGCAGTCGGCCCATCTTTCTAACATCCCCAGACTGTTGTATGTGAACAAGCTCGATCGCGACGGTGCTTCCTTCAAGCGAGCAGTTCAAGAGGCGGCGGCCAGGCTCAAAACCTGGCCTTTGCTCTGCCAGATTCCCTGGTGGCAAAAAGACGAATTCGTTGGTGTTATCGATGTCATTCATGAAGTTGGCCTCAGATTCTCCAAGAATTCCGGTGCCATGACGGTGGTACCGAAGGAGACCCTCGCCACACACAACCCTGCCCTCAAGGATGAGATGGAGAAGGCCCGTCTCCAGTTGATTGACAAGCTCTCGGACCAGGATGAAGGCATCATGGAAGAGTATCTCGAACGTGATATCAATGTGTCTTCCGGAACGATCAAAAAGGCTATCCGCCGGCTAATCATCGATGGAAAGGCCAAGTTCACCCCAGTGTTTGCTGGCTCAAGCCTGACCAACATCGGCGTTCAACCTCTACTTGAAGCTGTGGTTGACTACCTCCCGAATCCTTCTGAGCGGCCAGAGTTGCGTCTCATTACAGGTTCCAAGACCGTCACGTTCTCTGAATTCATGGAGACGGCCCCGAAGAAGAAAGGCGCCCCGCACCAAAAGCCAGAGCCAGTATTGTCGGTATCTCACGTCTTCAAGGTGGTGGATAGCGGGGCACGAGGCTTGATGAGCTGGGTACGCACATATCATGGCAGTCTCAGCAGAAGCAGCCACATGTGGAACAGCAACATGCACGTCTTTGAGAAGCCGCAAAACATCATGCATGTTTCTGCCAAGGATTACCACGACATCCAAACCCTTCCAACCGGGCACATCGGGGCCATGACTGGCCTCAAACAAGCACGCACTGGAGACACGTTGTTGACATTCCCGGGCCACCAAGCACAGGCTCCCGAGGCGTACAGGAGCGTTCGCATCAAGGCCCCAGAGACCCCTCCAGCGGTCGCCTTTATCTCGATCGAACCATATACCAAGACAGCTGGCGACAAGATCGTGGATGCCCTCCAACGTCTCTCCAGAGAGGACCCAAGTATTAGATGGCACAAGGACGAAAGATCGGAGCAGCTCATTCTTTCTGGCATGGGGCTTCTCCACCTCGAGATCGCCCAAGACCGCCTTTTAACGCATTACAAGATCGAAAAGGAGACGGCCATCTGGGGTGATATTGAGGTTGAGTACTCGGAATGCCTCTTTGCCCCCACTCGCCCCCACCATCATGAGTACGACCGTGCTCTCCGTGGTGTTGCTGGCAGAGCTGCTTGTGCAGTCCTTCTCGAGCCCCTCGAGGCGTGCCACCACGACACTCTGCTTGAGTCCAGTATCGAGCGCGACGGCAATGTTATTCACGTCTCAATTCCTCTGCCCGAAGACACGGATGAGCTTCCATTTGACACCGAGACAGTCCGCCAGCAGCTATTCAACGGCGCCATCGCCGGCCTCTCCCGCGGTCCCCGCCGCAGCGCCCCTGTCAGAAAGTGTCATGTTCACATTACCTTTGACCCGGAGAAGGACTGGAGTAAGAGCTCTACGGGTGGGCACATAACCAACGCCGCGCTTTTTGCTGTGCGCGCAGCGCTGAAGGAAGCCCATGAGAACGCTCAAGTCGGTATACTGGAGCCTTTTACAAACTTTACCATTCACTGCCCTGAAGAAGCATCGCATGCCATCCAGCACGATATTAGCTCTGCGCGCGGCGGTCAGGTGATGGAGGTGCGCAAGCCCGAAGAGGATGACTACTCTGGCAGCGTGGACGGCCAGGGCGGGGAAAGGATTGACCTGACCAGGGTCTATGTTCCTCCTGATCCGTATGAGGGCGTGCAGAGTCTGAGGGACGAGGGTAAGAAGATGAGCGGCAGTGTGAGGATGTTGCATATCATGGGCAAGGCTCCCCTGAAGGAGATGATGAAGTACGATGGGCATCTGAGGAGCATGACGGGCGGCAGGCATACCCTCACCCTGGATCCGGGTGAGTTTGAGCTTGTGACGGGCCCAAGGGAAAAGGCTCTTGCTTTGGAAGGTTGAGCCTGGAAGCTGGGTGAAAAAATATCCGTGTCGTATTTGGCTTGCTTGGTTACCATGTTGTAAAGGATACTGCAAGAATAAAGTCAGACTGGTTGTATACAACACAACTGAAGTATCAAAGTACTGGTACAAATCTCCGCGTCGTTCCCGTCAGGGTGCCATGCCTACAGCTTCGTCGTAAAGCCATAAACGGATAAGGTAGCCGGTGTCGGCCAAAGACCTTAGCGCTTGGGCCTCCCTGTCGTGACAAAGAGCAGGCCAAACCAACAAGACTGATATCACGACACGCCATGAACCGGTCAGGAGCTCTAAACCGCAACGTGCCATTTCACTTTCTCAAGCAGGAGGGCGAGGTGGTAGTCGTTTCCGTGTTTGACCCCCACCTTTACGACAGTACCAGCGGGACGGACAAGTCTGTGCTTCTGCCTTTTGGTCCCCTGACTTTATCCGGATTGATGTTTAATACACGGATGGGGGGTTGCGGTTGAGTCCATCCATGGGACGGGAGGAGTGCTGCCGTGTGGGGGTCAGATAATGTGGGGGTTTAGATGTTAAAAGGGAAACGGGAGCACCAAACGGAAGAGTCAGGAAGGGCGGTAGTTTAGAACATTGGATCGGATTGGCGGGATGGGGGTTCAATGAATGCAAGCTTGGCCGTTGGTTGTGTTATACTACAGATCCATCGGGTCTGGGCACTGCCGGGCCGAGATGGGACGGTTGATGGAGGTGAGGTACAGGGAGTTGGACAAGAGAATATCTTGCAGTATTTTGACCTCACCTAACCACTACATTCAGAGTACAATTACAGGCATATTCGACATGTTTACATTTTGTACTCGTGGCAAACCCAATTTGGTTCCAACGTGGCATAAAACGGATACCTTAGCAGGCGCCTCGGGCAGCCTTGAGCTTGAGTTCTCTTTTTGCTAATGAATCGAACAAAGAACATTTACTAAAATGTGCGACTGGGTAGGTAGTCTATCCGATGTCAGTCTGGTGACTTGAATAGATTGCTGCTTGTCCATTGCTTTACCAATTATTATCCTACCAAAAGAGCCGCTCTCGCAAGGGATTGCACCTATTACGGAAATAAAGTAGCTTATCTCAAGGCGGCTCTCGGTTTTCCCACTTGGTAGTACGAAGTTCAGGCATTGCATAGAGGTCAGGACTCTTCAACCTGAGCTGCTTCAAGGTTTCCGGAACAAGAGGTTCGAACTTTGGAGGACATTTTTGTTTGTTACCTTCTCTCATTTCAATTCTAAGCTGCCGAACAAGAGAACCCGGAGAAAGACGCGTTGTGCTTTGGATTTGATCTCCTCCATGGGCTGCTTACTTGTCAGGCCTACAAAATCGTTGCATGTGTGATACCTGAATCGACATGTACTTTTGTGGGTAATGTTGACCTGATGAAAAGGGTCAAATAGGGGTAAAAGTGGATACCACGAGACTTGATATGGGCTGCAAGTTAGATGTCAACAGAAACCTGGAAGGTGTAAACATAAAATCTGTGTGACTGGACCACACTTCCATTCCTATCCAATTATGATATCTGTCTGTCTGACTCCTTCAGCTTTACTATAATCATACACATTCTGTCCCTCAAATTTATTTACACCAACGTTCTAACATCATCACTTGAATTAAAGCAACTCCGCCGCGGCACCGCCAATAGCCAGCTTGCCAGTCTCCTTGACCTTGGTCTGGAAGATGACCTTGTTTCCTTCCTTCCACATCTCGGTGACGAGGGTCTGACCGGGGTTTACTGTGCCCGCAAATCTGACCTTGACGTTTTTGAACTTGCCAAACTTCTCGTAGACGGCCTTGCCAGCAATACCAAAGAAGCACAGGCCGTGGAGGATGGGCACCTTGAAGCCACCCATCTTGGCGAAGCCGGGGTCGATGTGGAGGGGGTTGTAGTCACCGGACAACCGGTAGATGGCGGCCTGCTCCTCAGTGGTCTTCTCCTCGACAACGACATCCGGGGCGCGAGCGGGGGGCTTGTTGGCAGCAGTAGCGGCGCCACGGTCAGCAGGCTTCTTCTGCCCACCGAAACCACCGCACCCTCTGAGGAAGACGGTCATCTCGTTGTAAAAGACCTCCTCGCCAGTCTCAGCGTTGGTGGTGGTGATTCCTTGCCTGACAATAGCGGCGTTGCCCTTGTCAACAACCTCGATGAGCTTACCCTTGGAGATGAGCTTGCCGGCGGTGGGGACTGGGTACTTCTTGACCTCGAGGTACTGCTCGCCGTGGAGGAGCATCATGGGGTTGAAGTTGGGAACGAGGTCGTCAAACGAGTAGGGGAACTCGGTATCGAATGGGGGAATGACGCCGAAGGTGGGGATGGCCTGGAAGTCCTCAGCACCCTCAAATACGTAGCGGAGATCGGTGCGCTTGGCACCGATACCAAGGTTGTAAAGCATGATGTCGCGCTCGGTGTAGTTGAACTCAGTTCCCTTGCTCTCAGTCTTGAGGGCTTCTTGCTGGGCTTGGAGGTACTTGTTATCGCCGCCGGCGCTCTGAAAATTGACACAACAGCAGTTAGAGATCAAGTTCAAAACGTTGAAGGCTCATACATCATTCCATCATTATTCTACACAAAACACTATATGGTGACTATGGTACATGAAAAAATGGGGTGCTCATACCTTTCCCGAGCCGGACTTGTTCTCCATATTCGCCATGATCTTCTCGAGACTGTCCTGGGTCTTCGCGGGATGGTCGGCGCGGTTGTCAAAGGTGATGATGTCGTTCCAGTTCTTGACAACCTCCTCAGGAGTCAGGGGAACGTCGACGGGGAAGCCGTGACCAGCAGTGCGCTGCCACCTGGTTTGGCCGACCCAACCACTGCCAACCTCGTAGAGGCCACCGGTGGGGTTGGGAACCTTGTCGCTGGAGAGAGCGAGGACGAGAGGAGCAATGTAGTCGGGCTTGAAGGCCTGGACAAGCTCCTCGGGAAGGATGGTCTTGGTCATGGCAGTACCGGCGTTGGGGGCGATAGTATTGACGAAGATGTTGTACTTCGCACCCTCGAGCGCAAGAGCGCGAGAGAAGCCGAGAATGGCGCATTTCTACATTCAAGTTAGCATTTCAAACCATCTGACGTTCCACGAAAAGACTTACGGCAGCAGCATAGTTGGCCTGGCCGAAGTTGCCATAGATACCACTGGTGGAGGTGGTGTTGACAACACGGCCGTACTTCTGCTTGAGGAAGTAGGGCCAGGCAGCCTTGGTGACCTTGTAGGTACCGCGGGCATGGACGTTCATGACTGGGTCCCAGAGGTTGTCGTCCATGTTGGTGAAAGCCTTGTCGCGAAGGATACCTGCGTTGTTGATTACGATATCGATACGGCCAAAGGTGTCAATGGCAACCTTGACAACAGCATCACCGTCCTCGGCGGAGTACTTGGCACCGACAGCCTTTCCACCCATGGCCTTGATCTCATTGACAACATCGTCGGGGTTAACGAGATCGTTAACAACAACGGAAGCGCCAGCACGGGCAAAGGCCAAGCAGTAAGCACGGCCGATACCAGCACCGCCACCCGTGACGAGAGCAACACGGCCAGTGAAGTCGATCTTCTCACCTTGCTCGTTGGGGCCGAGCTTCTGAGACTCCTCCAAAAGGGTGAGGAAGTCGTTGGGTCCGCTGGGGTATTGTGGGTTGGAGAAGTCGGTGACCTTGTTCCACTTCTTGAGAATGGCACCAGGGGTGTAGGTGTCGTCGCACTTGAGGAGCAGGCCGCTGGACCTCTCCCATCTGAGCTTGGCGATGTGACCACCACCGACCTCGAAGATGGAACCGCTCTCGCTAGTGTTGTTCTTGTGAACCAAAACGGCAACGAGGGGCACAACCCACTCAGGCTTCATGAGCGCGAGAACATCTGGGGGCATGACGGTCTCGGTCATGCGGCTGGCAGCAATGGGAGCAATGACGTTGGAGATAATGTTGTACTTGGCACCCTCCTTGGCGAGAGTCTCCGTGAAGCCAACCATGGCGAGCTTGGCGGCGGAGTAGTTGGCCTGGCCGAAGTTGCCGAACAGACCAGCAGCAGAAGCGGTGTTGATGACGCGACCGAACTTTTGCTTGCGGAAGTGAGGCCAGGCGGCACGAGCGCACTTGTAGCTGCCCTTGACGTGGACCTTCATGATGAGGTCCCAGTCCACATCCTTCATGTTCTTGAAGCTGACATCGCGGAGGATACCGGCGTTGTTGATGAGGATATCGATGCGGCCGAAAGCCTTGATAGCAGTCTCGATGATCTTGTCACCATCCTCGACGCTGTTGTAGTTGGCAACGGCCTTGCCACCGGCGGCCTTGATCTCGTTGACGACAACATCGGCAGCCTGTATGACAAAACATTGTCAGCGATTGCCAATATCAGATTGAAGGCTGGCACGAAAGAACTCACCTTGGAGTCGTTACCCTCGCCCTTGAAAGAGCCGCCGAGGTCGTTGACAACGACACTGGCGCCGCGAGACGCAAAGAAAGTGGCATAAGCCTTGCCGAGACCGCCGCCAGCGCCGGTGACGACAACGACTTGGCCGTCGTATCTCAATTGTTCCGCCATTGTGTATGTGTGGTGTGAGGAATGGTGGTGAAGGAAAAGGAGAGGGATTAGATTCGTGAGGTAAAACTATACGAATGGCGGTTAATAACGAGCCGGATGCATCTGTCTTCTAATAAGGACCTGTGGATGTCCTTTGACGTCGGCAGGTGTGCTGGAGGGCAGCCAGATGACCCCTGTCCCCCTGTGTCCCAGTGCTGCCGGACTGTTAAGCCGAGGCACACGCGGTTGCCAGTGGCCGCATTCCATTCTCCACAGCCGTCTGTTTTGCCGAGAGCGGGGGCGCTAGTGCCCCCAGCCGTTCCCTTTCTTCAGGTTCCATTTCTTCACATGCCATTCTGCAATTCGACCCATCCCCCTGTTGAATCCGTCCATCCCAAGCCTCAAACCCCGTGAGGACTTGCAGCGGGAGAGCTTATCCCCAACAGCCCAGCCGGGGTTAATGTTGAGCTGCTTCAGTTTTTCCTCAGGGTTTCTATGCCTGCCCAGAAGCCTGTGGTTTTCCGTCCGGGGACGACACTTATGTACGAGTCATAATAGTCAACTTTATGTGTTGCCGGGGACCGACCTTGGCATCTCTTCTGAACAGACTTTGAGATGTCAACTCGGTTCGGTTATAAAGACAAATCCAGGACTGCAGGGACGGACCGGACCACTCGGAGGGCCTGGGCTATTTCTGGGCCCGTCGGACGTGCAAGGCCGAGTTCGACATGTGGTGAGCCGGAGTGACCCTGGCGCAGAGTCACATGAGTCGAGCTTTGTGTGGCAGCAAGCGAGGTCAGCTTGAGTTCGGGGCTACCAAGCTGTGCAAAGACCTGCTTCTACTTGCTAAACCGAGAGTCTCAGGGGCTTCGATAGCCAGCTCGATGAGACCAATACCTACCTTCTCACAGATGCCGACGCATGGCGGACATCGGCGAAAGATCCAGAGTTTGCTGTCAGCTCGAGCCTTAAAGCTGAACGGGATTGGCCCGCCTGGAAGAATGAAGAAAGCGCAAACCCCAATCTCTAAACGCGGAGAAATCCTTTTCCCCACACTTTCCACCCCCACCAATTGCGGCTTCGACCCACTCCCACGCTCCAGAAGCTGCCCGCTGTCGTCATCGCTTTGGTCCTTTTCAAGACGTCGAGGCTTTGCAAGGCTGCAGCTGTGTCGCTGGACCACAGGTCCAACATCTGCAACACCAACCTTAATCTTCGAGAGAGCTGTATCCGTGTTTTGTTACGTAGCGAACCAGCAACAGTGTAGTCTTTCTGCTTTTTACACTCTCATTTTCTCCGCTTTTGGTATCTCCAGGACAGCCCAAGCGAAGAGCAACGCCCGGAGCTACCATTCGTACAGAACAGAGCTATAAGAAAGCAAAAGCAAGAATGGCACATTCTTTTGACGTTCCGCTGCAGTCGCGAATCGTGGACGATAAATCGCCCATCTGCATCCCATTCATCCTGTCACGAATCGAGACCTACCAAAAACAGCACCCAAACACCTCCCGGCCATTCATCATCGGCCTGAACGGGGTCCAAGGGGTAGGCAAAACGACGCTGGTGCGGGCCCTGGCCGAGACCCTGCAGAGCCGGGAGGGGCTCCCGACGCTTGTCGTGAGCATCGACGATTTCTACCTGACGCATGCCGACCAGCTAGCCCTGGCGGCGGCCAACCCGGACAACCAGCTGGTGCAGTATCGTGGGGAACCCGGTACGTTGTGTTTTTCCTGATCCCCCGACCGATGTCTTGGCCCTCCGTCCCCTTATCCAGTCGATTACAAAAAACTCGCATTTTTCCCTAACCCTTCCGAGCAGGAACCCATGATGTTCCCCTGTTGACCTCCTTCCTCTCCTCACTCACATCACCCTTCCCTCCCGAGGGCATCCACGTCCCCAGCTATGACAAGTCTCTATTCTCCGGCCTAGGCGACCGCGCACCTCCTTCAACCTGGACTCATATCACCTCCCCACCCAAGATTGTGATTCTTGAGGGCTGGCTCGTTGGATTCCGTCCGCTGTCGCCTGTTGCTCTTGAAGCCAAGTATTGTTCCCCGACCAGCAAGACGCTTCACCGGCACTTGCCGGCTCATTTGATGTTTATCAACTCCTGCTTGGAGAAGTATCAACAGATATGGGACCAGTTTGACGCCTTCGTGCACGTTGATGCCGAGGATCTAGGCTGGGTGTATGAGTGGAGGATCCAGCAGGAGCAAGGCCTGCGGCGAGAGAAGGGGGTCGAAGGTGGCATGACGGATGAGCAGGTAAGGAAGTTTGTGGATTGCTACTTCCCAGCTTATGAGTTGTACATCGACGGGATCAGGAACGGGGTGCTTGGCGAGAGGAAAAAGGCGTGCCAGCTGAGGTTGGTGGTGGGGAGAGACAGAGCGGTCAAGGAATCTTTGGTGATTTGACAATCTGCTGCCATATATCTTGGCGATTTTCATTCATAGATGGCTGTCTGTCTCTAGGGGCATCATACTTGGGGTACATTAGCTTTGGCACTGCAGCGACCAACGGGGAAGTAGTAATCACGCCAACATTATCATTGTACATAAACGAATCATGCAGAGTAGACAGGCCGGGGTCCTGTTGAGAAAAAGTAATACACAGCAAGAAAAGAAATAGCCCAGCACAGCTCCACTGCATATGGACAGACAGAGAAAAGGTCACCACCTATCCACCGTTTTCCTCCAGCCTCATCCGTCGTGCGCAAGTCTTTCCTTCTTCCGTGCCATAAAATCGTGTCGTAATTTCATTAATCATGTTTTCCCCATAGTCATGCAATGTTTTGGCAAGTTCCGTGACGTTCCGCGTTAGATTCGTTACTGTCGTTAACGACAGGGCTGCCACCCCAGTCACTGTCGGTCGTTGATTAAGTTCAATGAAGCAATGAGAAGAACCCATAGAGACGAGAAGATATGGTCAGCTTCCTATACACACACCGGCACGCCTACGCCTACCTATCCGTAGCCCCATCAACACCACAAAGTACACCCTGCCTGCCTGCCACTTATCCGTCGACGGCCTTTAAAACTCCAGGTCGGCATCTTTACCCTGCATCATGGTCTGACCCTCGTGTTTCAAGTCCTCCAGGGTCCGCCCAATTCCCTCAACCTTCCCGCGGACCGCCTCCTCTCTGGCAGATATCTCATCCTCGAACTGGGTGATAAGCTGCCTCTTATCCCTCCTCGCCTTCTTAAACTTTTGCACCACTGCGCCGAGTTGCTCCAGAAACCAGTCGCCTGCCTCGTCCCACTCATCAACAGAGATGCGCTTGAAAAATTGGTGCTGGTCTATGCTTCCCTGGTTCTTGTAGTACTCCATTCTCTGCTCTATGCTGCCACCAGGATGCGGCGGAGGCTGTTGCTGCTTCATGGCTGTTTGCTGTTCAATGACAGCTGCCGCCTGCGGGTCAAAATCGAAGGCCTCGTTTCGCAGATCAGAATAGCTCATCCTGTGTAGCTCAGCGTCGTTGTAATCCAGGCTCTGTCGGCGCTTGAGAGATTTCGTTGCCGGCTTCAGGGGCTCTTTGACAATGCGACGGTTGGAGCTGTTGGTGCGACCTAGCGGAGCAGCAATCGCGGCGGTAGCTACCAGGTCTTTCTTGACTGCAAGAGGAAGAGGGAGGACAGGGGGAGGCAGTTTCCGGGTGGCGACACGCGGCGTGTTTTGGAGGGCCTCCGTTAGCTCCTCCGGGTCAACGCCGCTGGTGGTAGCGAGAACCCCGGCACGGGTGTCGTTGAAATTGTGGTCGTCGTCAAACTCGAGAGGCGTCAGGTTCTCAAAGATGGTTGATCGCTTATGCTGCAGCTCACGCTCCTGCTCAACCTCTCTTTCTCTCTGGCGCTCTAGCTCGCGCTCGCGCTCACGTTGCCTTTCACGATCCCGTTTCCTTCTCTCCTCGAGACGGACCTGCTCGAGATGCTCACCCGCCTCAACTGCTCTCTCTGGAGACATGGAAACGCTCCCAGCACGCCTGGGAGAGTACTGACTTCCACTGGGCGAGTAGGTGGCGTTCTTGAGACCACGGGTGTCGCGGTAAGGGAGACGGGTGCGTCTCAGTGCACTGTTCTTAGTGGGGGTCTCATAGATGGACCGGTCATCGTGATACGGATCATCAGTCTTGTCACTGCCAGGCGGGATATTGGCCGCTGTACTGCTGGTTACAGGAACGGCGCTTTGGTGATGGGGTGCAGCAACTACCGTAAGCATGCCATTGTCGCCAATAACAAATGGCAGTTTCTCATTGGCGGGCCCATGTTGCTGTTGATGCTGATGAGGTTGGTGATGCTGAAGTTCCCTCCAGCTGGTCTGGGCAGGTGCCGGTGGTGGTGGGAGTGCTTGGTGTTGGCGTTGATATGTACCCACAGGAGGTGGGAATCCGCCGGCAGCGTCAGTGCTGCTGAACGGGCGAGCATTGCTGGCCTGACGCGTGTGAGTTCTATCAGAAGCAGCCCTGCTCTCGGTGTCGTTGAACATGGAGGCTACAGTCGAGTCTTCCCAGGCGTTCTGTCCACGTGGGGGCTCACAAGCGGCCGTGTCCGAGGCCGTAGTCCGGGTCCGCTGCATCGGATGAAAGTGTTGTGCAGGGAGGCTCCTACTCATTGATGTCGGTGGCGGCTGGCCGTGGTGGTGGGTGGAGGGCGCGACGGAGGAGTAACGACCACTCAAACCCTTGAACACCGGTATTGAGCGGGAAGCTGCCGTTGCAGTTCCAGGCGTGTCGTGTTTGTCCAGTTGCCGACCTGTCGCGAGGATTTCATGGGGGGGTTGCAACTGTGGAAGTGGTTGTTGTTGTTGCTGTGCATTGTTCGTAGCGTGGCCGTTGCTCAGCGGATGGCTTTTCCCAGACAAAGCACTGGCAGGTGCGGATGTTGCTGGCAGGCCCACAGCTCCTGCCCTAGGACTACTATCTCCCCCCGTTCTCCCAAAAAGACCGATTGCCCCGAGCTTCTTTTTTGCCGTAGGCATCATCCTCATTCGCATGAAGACGCAGGTTGACGCTGGTTGTTGTTTACTTATTTACGTGGGGAAGATGGGAACTATGCGGCAGCGCAGCCAACCATCAGTCAGCGACAAACGACACCCGCAGGACGCGTTTATGACGGGCAAAGATTCAAACTCAGGGCAGGTTGGGAACGAGGTCCCGAAAGGAAAGCTGCGAGCTGGCTTGTTATTATTATGAGTCCAGCTCGCGCTGGACGAATGGATGGGTGGTGTGCACCGTTGGGCTCACGCCTGCAATTCGATGATTCGACAGCAGTTGGGTTGAAAGAAAAGAACGGCAGCCATGTGCGTGAGGGGAAAGGGGCACAGCCGTGGGGTTTCTTCATTTTTAGAATGTCACTGTAGGTATGGGGAGGTCGGAATTGAGTGCTGATGGTTCTGGCCTCGTTCGTTCCACTTTGAGAGTGGGAGACGGCGACATGGTTGACTTCGTGGTTCCAATGGGCAACCGCTGCGGCTTCCATGTTACAGGGATGATGGATGGCTCAACCCGCAGATTGCTTCTCCGACACGTTGTCAAGTGAGCTTGCCCTGCCCAAACTGGTTCGCAGCTGGATTCAAAGTGTCCAGAGGTTGCCCCATCCTCTTCCCACAACCGCATCATTCTCCCATTGACAAATCCCATTGCTTGAAAAGATGTGAGTAACGGTTGCGTCCAACCCAGCCGAGCCATGCATCCTCTGCACATATCTACCTAACGTCCCCCGCGCTCGAACACAGTTCAGATACGCCCATAGACGCCTAATAATGAAGACACCCTCCCCGTTTGCTTCGATTTTGGGCTAACCTGCATTTCAGATTACATGATTGGTACGTTGCGATTATGAGGTCCAATCAAGACATGAGCGCGAAAGTACAGGTGTCAGTCGAGTACATGCCGCACCACACCATGGACCAGGACTTGAGAATCGGGGTGGAAGACCATGCTTGTCTCCGATTGAGAACACTCAGAGACGCGCCCAACTGGCCTGTCTGAAGAGTGTATGTGGTCTGCCATACCCTCCATCTCTCAAGAATGCTTCATGTCCCTTATTCAGCTTGCATTCGTGGGTCAGGCTTGCCGATATCTGGTCACCTGACTAGGATCTCATAAACCTCCTCTTATGGCATCGTCTTTGGAAGAAATTCCGGCAGGGGGATGCTTTTGATGTGCGAGGTTATGCTGTAAGGAACATCGCCATGGTTGGTTGCATCCACATACAATAGGCCCGGGGCTCGAGGCTGTATTCCTAAAGTCCTTTCCCGCCATGACCAAAGGGTGAAGTGATGGTATCGGGGATACCACCGGTCTACCTATCCTTGTGGCGGTAGTTTACACCAAGCTAATGTCGCCAATTGCCGTCGGTGTCAGGTACTTGTTGAATATCTACCGAGCACCTTCAAATCCATTCTGCATCTAGATGCCCAGAACAGCAGAACTGTACCGGAGCTGATATGGGGCGGGAAAGAGGAAGGCTGCCAGCAGGTCCATCGGGTAATGCTTTCGATATGAATCTTGTTTTTACTCTGCTTACTGTTCTCTTTTTTCTCCTTTCAAACTCGTTACAATCCCTAACTAAACCTGTGGACAAGTTGGAGGCGTTGCTTCAGAGAGAACCCAATAAGAAGATGCTGGATCAGGATCCGGGATCGGCAGCCAACGGGGATACCCTGGTCTTAGCGCCCCCAAGCGCAACCGCGCCCACTGGAAATGCCCCGCGCCATGATAAGATAAGCTCCCCCACTGTCAATGATAACTCCGGTAATGGGGGGGCGATTTCTAATCAACTCGATTTTCAACTCTCCTGCCGGCGCATGCAAGAAACTACCATTCACACACCATCAGAAATCCTCAAGTTGTCGCTTCCCGTTGTGTGATACTCTACATTCATACTCTTCCTCACCAAAAACACATACCGCAGGCGCGCGCACCCCAGCACGATCTACACATCCGCGAACACGATGGCGCCATCTTTGGAAGCGCCCGACGACGAGGTCAGGGATGTTCTAGCCAACCCTCTCAAAAAGAAGCCAGACCTTGTCGCGCCAGAACCAGAACACTGCCCGGGACCCGAGTCCGAGCAAGCGGGCACTGCAGACTCGTGCGCCGGCTGCCCCAACCAGCAAATATGCGCCTCCGCTCCGAAAGGTCCCGATCCAGACCTCCCCCTGATCACAGCCCGTCTGGCAGATGTGAAACACAAGATATTGGTGTTGAGCGGCAAGGGAGGAGTAGGGAAATCGACGCTCACGGTACAACTCGCGCATGCGTTCGCGACAAACCCCGATACAACAGTGGGCGTGATGGATACGGACATTTGCGGGCCAAGTATACCAAAGATGTTGGGGGTGGAAACGGAGACGATCCACACCAGCAATGCCGGTTGGGAGCCAGTATGGGCGATGGACAACTTGGCCGTCATGTCTATTCAGTTCCTGCTGCCAAACCGGGATGATGCGATTATCTGGCGAGGGCCGAAAAAGAACGGCCTGATCAAGCAATTCTTAAAAGATGTCCAGTGGGGAGAGTTGGACTTTCTCTTGGTCGATACCCCTCCGGGGACAAGTGACGAGCATCTCAGTGTCAACACATTCTTAAAGGAAAGCAAGATCGAAGGAGCGGTAGTGGTGACCACGCCGCAGGAGGTGGCCTTGTTGGATGTGAGAAAGGAGATTGATTTTTGCAGAAAGGCCGGGATCAGGGTATTAGGAATTGTGGAAAATATGAGCTTGTTTGTGTGCCCAGGCTGCAAGCATGAGAGCAAAATCTTTCTCGACCACACCGGAGGAGGCCGAGGACTGGCAGAAGAGTTGGGCATTCCATTCTTGGGGAGCGTGCCCCTAGACCCAAGGATAGGAATCGCCTGCGACTATGGGGAGAGCTTCTTCGACTCGTTCCCCGACAGCTCGGCCTGCAAGGCGCTGAAGGGGGTGGTCAAGGGGCTGGTAGAACAAATTGGGCTAGATCCTGAGGTACTGTTGCCGGAAGGGGATGGCAGTAGCTAAGAGACAATACTTGTCCTTGTTGTCGGCACTGTAAATCTATACAGCATCTGCGTGTAGTTAGATAACCGGCACCTACTTTGGATAGAATTCGTGTAGAACAACCTTGATACCCATATGTCAGAGGCATACAAAATTCATAATTTGCTACAACCCTGAATGAAGACTATGACATGTCTAAGCCCATGACCCTTCCAACGCCAGCTCTAAAACATCCGCATGTTAGGCACCGAGTTTTTCCGGGATCTCCTCCAGCTCCTCTGGGGTCTCTAGATCCAAGATCTTGGTGACTTCGCTCGTGTTTCGCATGAGCTCCTTGGCACCGGCGTACAGCATCCTCAGCTCGCTGTTGCATGTGGTGGGCATGTAGTAAATCATGACGTATGGTACGGATAATCTCCCGGATGGCTAAATATGTATGGTTAGCATATCGGACATATGCTTGATGGAATCACAAGTATGTGGTGTTTGGGAGGCCCATACAAGAGTTAGAGGGTAGCTCAGGAGGATGAATCGGGGAGAGTGGTCAGGGAGGTCATCGGCGATTTCATCGAGGGATTTGTAGACTGTGCCATCTTCATCTTGGCGAATCTCCTTGGTTTGTTTGTCGATGAAGTCTAATGTGCTCGATCAGCAAAATTGCGTGGCACCTTGCGAGATCAGGGAAGATGTACATATCACGGCCTGAGGGTCATTGGAGCGTGAGGTGCTGAGGCGGAATTTGCGCAGATGCTGTTTTGTTGAGTCGGAGAAGGTGTAGAGTGAGGAAGACTGTGCTCATTTATGATAAGCTACGAACTAACGACATATTTTACACGAAGCCATCATGAGGGCATGAGAGATAGGGGCCCGGGTAGGTAATAGAGGAGGGGTAGATACCATCTTGCCGGCTTGGTTGAGCGTGTAGTGATGAGAATGAAGCTGGGATCAGCAAGTGACTTATAAAAGACGCTTCCTGTGACCAAGGGCGACAGCAGTGGTGGTGAGAACGCGTGGGGTGCTCAAGGGAGGTTGAGTTGAGCCTCAGTGGAGCTCACATGCATGAGATACCAGTGCCCCGCACTACGGTCCGCACTCAGCTGCCTTAAGTAAGCCCCGCTTTATCGGGAATCAGTAAACCGCCAGTGGACGTCACTTGCAGGTTTGTAGCCGACTCCATCTTTCTTAACAGGGCATCCCCCCAGAGAGCTTATCCAGTCTTGGAATTGTGAACCTATTCCCGAGGTCATCCGTAATTGAGATTCCGATCCTCTGTGCTGGTCAGACGTTCCAAAATCGGAAGCAATCCCCCCTGCTATTGGCCACAGACAATCACCCACTCCGTGCGGTGTACCTTGCTCGCTTTACCAATTCACAATCTCTTGTCCTTGAACTAATCACCATGTTCTCCCGGCTCAATCAAGTTGCAAGGCATCTTTTACGTCCAATGCCAAACTACGGTCATACATCTGCTGCTGCTTCGTCGGTATCGAAACGCAGTCTGTCCGACTACCGATATAGCAGTCTCGATGCCTCAGAACGCCAAAAGAAGAATATCGTCACAGGGGCATGTCTGATAATAGGGAACGAAATTTTGAATGGGAAGGTATTTGAGCCAGTCGTTTACTTCTTTGCATCTGTTCAGCACGCAGCGGCCGTCGATAGCTGACATATTCGATATGTGTACAGACCAAGGAGGTAGGCTTCCCCAAACATGCTCAGGCATATTTTCGAGACTAACCTCCATATTGACAGGCCAACTCACATTACCTTGCAAAATGGTGTTTCTCCCTAGGCATTGTATGTCGCCCATCTTCTCTACTCGACCCATACTTACACCGTCATCTCAGAGCCTCCAGAGAATAGACATCATTCCTGACGTGGAGGACGATATTATTGAAGCGGTGAGACGACTGAGCCATAACTATGATATTGTCGTCACCTCGGGCGGTATTGGCCCGACACACGATGACATAACCTACGAGTCCATCGCCAAGGCCTTTCACCTGCCCCTCGTGCTTCACGGAGAAGCTTACTCTCTCATGAAGAAAAAGACGGCCGAGCACAGGGATCCGGTACGGGCTGCCTTCAACTTTGACGTTCCGTCCAAAGAGCTTGATGGAAAAAAGAAAATGATCTTGCTGCCTCATGACTCTAGTCGTCCAGTGGAGGATCAGGCGATTCTCGCCTGCCGAGACAAGTATTGGGTTCCTGTCTCAGTTGTCAATGGAAATGTATACATCCTGCCAGGCATACCTGAACTCTGTACTCACCGCCCTGTCCTGTTTTCTCGACACTCATGTACTAACTAAAAGCACAGTTAAGCACCTTTTGGACGGCCTTACACGGCATATCAAGCCTCGAGTGCAGAGCAATGGCAAAATCCGCGTGACCATCAAGACCCTCCAACCGGAGAGCCAAATGGCGGATTACCTGACTGGCCTGGCAAAGAGGATGGCGCCAAAGGATATAGATGTTGGAAGTTACCCCAAGTTTCAGGTTGAGAATACGGTTGTGCTTGTTGGCGAGTATGTGCAGCTCCCCTGTTGGCGGTTGTGAGAAGAACGGTACTGACAAGACAGCAGGGACCGAACCGAACTTGAGACAGTTATTCCCGAGATATTGGAGAATCTGGAAGGGACTCTGGTGAGCATCGAAATGCCCGAGAACCCCGATGAAGGAGAGACGGAGGTTAAGGCTCCAGGTGGCGAAGAAAGCTGAGAGTCCGATGTAAGTCACTGGTGTATTGGCCTATGGAATTGGGTGGTTCATGGTACCTGTGGCAGGGCCAAGCCATGTATTTTCAAGTCTGGCCTCGAATGATTTGTACCCCAATGGAAAGAATCATGGTCTTGCGCCTCAAAGTTTCATTGCTTTCGAAGGGGTATGAGACAGCAGAAGAGCCTCAGAAGATCCAGGGCAGATGTACGGTACCAACACTGGGCAACTGCGTGTGGCGTGCATCAAGAGGCAGCCAGGCTCATCGAAAAACGTGGGGTGACGAGCGGAAAGCGGAAAGGAGAAATGAAAGGGGGGACGCCACTCAATCGAACCCCTTCCACACGCATTCTAGAAAAGTTCCAGAAGAATTTTTCACAGGCTACATTAGTGCAACATGGGACGCTCCAAGCGAAATGTCATTGCGAAGCGATGCGTCTTTGCCCTAGAGCGGATCGGATCAGTTGTAACTAAACATTCGATATTGGTGGTTGCTTCGATCGGCCAGGAGTCCACCGAGGGCGTTCATGGATGCTTTACGTATCAAGCGGGCTATGAAGACAGAACCATGCGTACGGAGTAAGTGGTTGGCGCCTGGTGATGATGTTGAGATGAACTGCGGGTTGGCCAACAATTTCGGTGGTGAGGACCCACGCTGTGGACAGAAGAACTAGACACCAGAATATCAAAGGCTCAACACACCCCTCAACTATCATTTAAAGTCTCTGGACAATCTTTAAATGCTGATTACTTTCTATTCAAAACATTTGAACTATCTTTGAAGTCTCATTACCTATTCAAATACCCAGAAACTATCTGTAAACGGTTTTATTATTCCCAGGAGCAGTCTCTAACTTTCTTGTCCACGGCGTGGGACCCTGACGATGTTGAACTTCTTGTCCCCACTGCCCCACCTACCTTATCTCGCTAGCTTGGAGCTTGGACCAGGGTTGGTTTTGGAGGGGTCAATATTCAAGGTAGATCCAGGTTCTGTTTGGCCCAAGATGACGAGAAGGTATATAAGTATCCTGGCTTTACACTCAAGAGAGTGTCCTACTGCCATCTGTGTTTCTTCAGGGCCACTTGAATCAACTGCCTTTCGCGGGGTAGCTGCTCCGAGTCACTGGAACCGATGGCAGGTCGACCGATGAATGAACAGAACCCGAGAAACCTTCCCGAAGCGGTTATATAAAAATGTGGGGATTATCACTTGAGACCACGCCCACCCACTTCCCGCCGCGTCCTGGTTCCAACCGGCGATCCATTTGCAGCATCAGAGACCCCAAATCTCTTTGATGGTTTTCGATTCTCGCCCAGCAAAGGCAGAGCTGCGGCACAGCGCAACGCAAGGGAATATGATCACTGGTGCCGCCCACTGCAGGAGGCACAATGCTGAAAGTCAAGCCAAGGTGCCTGCTGCAAGTTGGAGTTGCTTTGGAGGGGATTGGGACACGATGAGACACTGGTTGCAATGTTATCCCAGGTTGTTTTGTGTCTAGCAAGCACATCGCCCTAAGTAAACAGGCGATTCCATGAGCATCAAACTTTTCCGTCCGTAGTCGCAGTCAAGTCGGACTTTACAAATCCCACCGAAAATCAGTTGCCAGTGAGATTTGTAGTGTACATCGCTGAAAACGGCAGCAATTCCTGACTGACTAGTTCGCGGGGTTGGGCCAGGGCCTGGGTTAATTTACCAAATGTAGAAAAGAAGCCGGGGGGGGATTGACGGGCCTAGGAGGACGATTCTCTGTCGCTGTGTGAACTGAGGGCGGGCAGATGGATGACTGAAGAGAAACATTTTGAACATACCATGTGGTAGGACAATCTTGACCTGACGGCCGGAAGAAACTCGAGCGGGCAAAAACCCAGGTTTTGCCAGCTTGTGGGACTAACTTCAAACACCACGTTGCGGCACGTTGTTGACCTGCAGCCGCAGGAAGGATGGGAGTCTGCCAGAGCCTAACGAGACAGGACCGCTCACACAGTGCGTGTTGTTGTTGAGATGCACGCCGAAGCTCATCCGCCCTCGGAGATCACGAGGTTGACGGCTCTGGGCAGTCTGATTGAATGCAAGGGAAGAATACATCTTTACAGGGCTCAGCGACGTCTTCTAGAAACAACGTTGCAACCCACTTCCTGTGGCCACTTTGCAGGCTGGCATTCTCAACGACCCAGATGGAAAAGCTGGGTATATTCTCGTTCCAGCTGTAAGACATGAGGCAACAAGGCTCACTGACTCTCGGGCTCTTTTCAGCCCTATATGCCTAGAGCTGGGGCTTTTGCTAGTACATATAGATGTCAGTGACGAGAATGGCCATCCAACCACAGAGGCTTCCCTCCAATACTTGCCGTGTCTACGAGAAAAACTCAACACTAGCTAATCTCTACTGTACTGCGTCAAATTGTGCAGGGCTAGCCACTGGAAAATCGAGAGTTGTGACTCGCGAATCGGAACTGAGAATAACCGGTTATCGACATGGTGTGCAACCATTCCTGGCTTTTTCAAACCTTTTGTGGGATGATGGTGAGGGGGAGACATCATAAGTTGGCTCTTTGATTTCATATTTTGCCGTCAAGGAAGTTGCTTGCTAGAGGGCCAGGGGCGCTTATTCCTACCGCCGGTGTGGGACCGCAAATGGCGTCAACGTTCTCTACTTGTGTGATGCTAGTCTAAACTTCAGGGGCATTATTGCAAACAGAATCCATACTCACGATAGGAGATCTGCAATTGCTGGGAGTATTAGGTCAGACAGCTTTTCTTCATACAATGTGAAGAGATCAAGACGAACTATATCATAGCGCTTGTCATCACAGTGTGTGAGGGCGGCCGATACTGGACGCAACAAGGCATGACCAATCTGAACCGTTCGCCCAAAAAGGACAAGGCGAGTTAACCGGGGTGGTCTTGGACTGTTCTGACCCTTGCACGGCACCATCGCTCAAGCACTCACTTCGCCAATCAGAAGACGCGAACGCCTCCAGCCCACCCTATCAAGTCGCCCCCAGGGGAAGGCACACGGACCCTTCCTTTTTCTTTGCTTCTCAGAGCGGTCCTTTGGTCCAGGCGCTGTTGCTTTTTCTTTTGTGCCCGCTCCATTGCCCGCCGTGCCTCTGCCTCTCTTCTTTTTACCTGGTTCCGAAACCTGCTGAGGTTGCTTGTCCTTTATGATCTTGATTCAGCTGCCCAAAATCTTAAAGATCACCTCAATACGCGTTGAAAACCTCGTCGTCCGACAAAACAAACCGCCCGGCCACGCGCAGCGCAAAGCAGCTTGAGCCAACCGCTAACACCAGCACCAGCCAGTAGCAACCCCAGGCCCCCATTGCCGATCCCCACTCCAGGGGCGCTCCCATTAATTCGCCTGGCACAACAGCAACTGTTTTCTCCAGCAGTGCTACATCTTTCAATCCAGTCCACCTCCTGGGATCCCCTTTCCAGCGCAAACCGCGAATATCCCACGACGGTCTGCTCGACTCCGTAGCCCGAGAAAGCAGCGCCCCGTAATTTCGACCCATTCTCTTGAGAGCTTCCGCCCTGGCATCTTTTTGAAAGCTCAATCCCCGACGCCCGTACCGCGTGATCCAGACCTCCTGTTATCGGTGTCGCTCCATCTTCTCTCCAGCACCCTCAGTCCACAGCAATGGCTTCCAAGGTTGGTTCTTTCAATTCTGTTGAGATGGCGAGCAGCGCGCTTCAACTGCGATGATCTTGTTTGGGTTGATAAATTGGTTGCTGACGTCGCGCTTTTGGTTGCTTAGTTTACTCGAGAGTACAAGCTCGTCGTGGTCGGCGGCGGCGGTGTCGGCAAGTCCTGCCTCACAATCCAGCTTATTCAATCGCACTTCGTCGACGAATATGATCCAACTATTGAGGGTGCGCATACTCATTTCATTTTTCCGCATCCAGTTGATGACCGCGACCAGGTCGACTAACTGCGGCGTTGCAGATTCGTATCGCAAGCAGTGCATCGTTGATGATGAAGTCGCGCTGCTCGATGTCCTCGATACCGCCGGCCAGGAGGAGTACTCTGCGATGAGAGAGCAGTACATGCGTACCGGCGAAGGGTTCCTGCTCGTGTATTCCATCACATCCCGCGAAAGCTTCGAAGAGATAAGAACCTTCCAGCAGCAGATCCTTCGCGTAAAGGACAAGGACATCTTTCCCATGGTTGTGGTAGGAAACAAGGTCGATTTGGCTAGTGAGCGCAAGGTGCCGCAAGAGGGTATGTTTGCAAGATTCATGTGTGGTGTTTGGATACATGTATTGACTTGCTTTCACAGAGGGCGAGGCTCTTGCTCGCGAGTTCCGTTGCAAGTTCCTCGAGACTTCAGCAAAGACCAACACAAACGTCGAGCAAGCTTTCTACGAGGTTGTTCGCGCCATCAGACGGTACAACCGTGAGATGCAAGGAGGCACAGCTTCGGGCAGCGGCCTCTCCCACAACAGCCAAGGCATGGGCAAGATTGATGTCGGTGAGGATGACGCCCAGGCGGGCTGCTGCGCCAAGTGCATCCTCATGTAAATGGGACGCCGCAGAAGACGGACACACTGCCGGTCTCTGGGGAGACCTTATATAACGGCTAATAATGCATCGGGGAATGGAGTTGGTGGGGCTTAAGGCAGATGCCATGGCCTTTCGGGACGGAATCTACACATTGGTGGACGGGTATCCAAGTCATAATGACTTTGATGATGCCCATTTTCGGCCATCCAGAGATGACATGCTTGATGTTGCTGATGCTGAAGGGGTGGGCGCAAAATCTCTTTTCGAACCCACATTGCGGTCTTCTTGTTGTTTTTGTTTTGGGAGTTATTTGAACTAAACCTGGCGATCCTATTTGGGTTTTTATGCTCTCAGACACTTTTGTAATCCTTTCTTCTATCTTTCTTACATCTCATTTTTCATGCCAGCGGCGGTCAGTGGTCAAAATGGGTTATCTGTTTACCTTAGCGTGCAGGTAGTTTATGGTGAGAGAATGTGATGATGTTGTGTTGTTGCTACCGGATTACGCGCCCTTCAAGGCCCCAAGGCTGCACGTATCCATCGATCAACAGTGATCATTGTCGGCGCGAGGCGAGTTCGGTTCAGCTCCGGCCCTCCCTGCAACACAGTCTGGGATTCTGATTGGTATTGTTTCCTTCGAGAGACCAAACCAGCTTGGCCTACCTTGAGCCTGAGTTGCTTCAGTCCTGGCATTACCGGCATGTTGGTCCTCTCGCGATAGCTGGCAAGAAGATGGAGGGGAACTCTGTCTGTTACACCGCATGAGGCCGTGATACGGTTCCTAGTGATCCATCTATCCTCGCGTGCGCCTTCTCCTCTCAATAGCTCGCACAAGATTATAGCTAGGAGTCGGATAGAGAACAAGATAAGGCGGAGGGGATAAGCCCACGCCGCATCTCCCTCTCACGCACAGGTCTAAACTTACCAACCAATAATTGCATGGTACCGAACCACCATCGGCTTCCTTTTGGAGCTCCTTGGCTAGGGTAACTGCGATGCATATCTGACCGGCATATGCCGAGCTGAGATCTGATATAAGAGCACCCAACACCAACCGTGCCTCTCTGCATTCCCAAATCCGGTGCCCACATGTGCCGAAGGACCGACTGAGCGTAGCTTTTGCCATCATTTATCACCCACAAAAGTTCTCTCGGAGCTGCTCATAAATGACAAGACATTAGCGGTTCTGGGTTAGGGTTATCCTCCCCAAGCAACCCTGAACCCCGTCGTCACCTCGCAAACACCTCTTCATTGCCCGATGTTTTTCTGAGGGCTACCATGGCCGTCGCAAAGCCAACAAACGCCCGGGTCTCCCAGGCAACCGACATCCTCCTCTCCCCGACCAAACCCACACTCGGACGCTACCGCGCCTACATCCATGCGCGCAACCGTTTCTTCTCCGCCTTTCACCCCAAAGGCCGGTTCTTGAGGATCCCCACCCCCTCGGACAACCTCCTCTGCGGGCTGTACGCCATTGTCATTTCGTTTCAGCACCAGCACCCGGGTCTGACACCGGCCCCTACCTTGGAGCACTTGCTGTCTGTCTGTCGGGGTTGCGGTTTTGACAACGAGGGGAATCTCTCCGGGGATCAGCTCTCGCTTGTTTTTTCTGCCTGGGGGGACAAGACAGTTTTTGATGACGGGGGGGAGCCGAACAGGAGGAGGTGTCAGCTGGGGTATTTGAGTCGGTACAATGGGCCTGGGTGGGAGGACGAAGCAGAAAAGGGAGAGGATGTTCCAGTCATGATGGGGACTAGGGAGGTGGATACGGAAGAGGAAAAGGGGGATATCCTGAGGCTGTGGGTTTGGAATGATGGCGGCTGGGCTGGGGGTGGGATGGGGCATTGGGAGGGGATCAGGAAGGTAGGTGAGGAAGGGGATGATGTGTAGGTGTTTGGCATCTCGGTGCTCGCAAAGATATTCAGATGGGGATCACAATGAAGTTTTAGGGGATCTTTTGCACGTAGGTATGGTCTTCTCGTCCACTTCTGATGCGCAACAAGGTAAACAAACTCAACCACTGCAAAGACAGGTTATTTTGGTTTATGCTCTCGACGTCAGCTGGCAGATATGGACTGGGTATCAGGGTAACGATTCGGTAATTCTACCTAGAAGCTCTATCTTGGTTTTATTGATATTCCACCAAAGTCCGCTGAATTGAGTGATAGTTGCCGCTGTTGCATATCGAATGTTTTTCATTCGCTCATAACTTGGGTTTACTGAACCGTTTAGGTCAATAGAGGAACCGCCCTATCAAGAAGGCCCTTCTTGTGGTTGCAGAGGTACTTGTGACCCTCCTTGAGCTTGCACTTGGCTTCGAATGTGGTTCAAAACCAAGCCTGGAGACTGGCTCTTTTGTTGGAGTCGTCGCTCCCATAATAGTGGCTGGGCATGCTGCTGGTGGTGGCCAAAGCCTGTTGCGTGGTTTTGAGGCTGCTCTTGCTGCCAAACAAGACCTTGTACGCGATCTTAAAGCTGGTTTTGTTACAGGGGGGAGATTTGGGGTTGGCTTTGCTCCTGGTGTTGTGTATCTCCCGCATCCTGCCTTACGGGCTGTGGTGTCGGTGCCGTGCTATTCGTGTCCGTTTCGAACATTGTGAGAATAGTATCAGGATCTGACAAGTCTGACAACAGTTGCATACAAAACGAGATCCAGTCAGAAGCTTTGTTTGAACCTCCACTGTTGTTTTTAAGCAGAGGAATTGCCGCTCTCTCGATGAGCGCTTCAAAGTTCCAGCGATATCGAAGCGTACCTAACCGCTTCCATTGCTCTTTTGGGCAAATTCTTTTGGTCTTGTTGGACAGCTCAGCCGAATTTAAAAGTGTCCGCTCTACACCATCATTAGTGAGCTCGTATAGATAGGCTTCGTATGGCTGTGTCGCCGACGTGCTGCGCTGTTCAGACTGCTGAATCTGAGATGCTGAGGTTAGAGCTGGAGCCGTGGGAGGATTGAATTCATATAACAGAAAGCAGGGGTGTTGAAATGGTTCTGCTAAGGTGATGTAGAAGAGACTCTTGGGTTTGCTGGAGATGTCTAAGAGATCATCTACCTCCTCCTCTCGGGGCCCTGTGAGCCTGAGGACTTCGTCCCCTTGGTTCACCGCGGCACTGCCCATTCATTGCCTCGACTCCCTCGGAGGATGCTTTTTGGTTGTGGGTGGAATAGTTGACGGTGGCCTTGGGAGTTGTTCCGCTGACGCGGCGTCAGGCTGGAGTTTGGGGTGGGCCGTGGGCGTTGTTGAGTGAGCGGAAGTCTTTTTGGCTGGGTTTTGACGTTTCTTCGCGGTTGTGGGGAATTGAGCTCGGCTCCGTATGAATGGTAGGTTCAAATGAAAATCTATGAATGCAGTTTTATTGCGTAAAGGCCATGGGGTAATCAAGTGGGCTGGAGACTGCTTGAGCTGTAGCCACAAAGGTGCTTCGTGACAAGTTCAGCTGTCATCTTTGGTGGAAGTGAGGCGCGAAGAAGGGTTTGGAACCAGATTGCGCCCCCGTCGTCATCCCAAAAATTATCTGGTCAGCGGTCTTTCCATGTTTCCTGTTGGCTCCTCCCATTTCACTCCTTTCCAATCTTCGTTCCTGCCATGCCCATATGACCTACTTCCAACTCGCCGCGTGTCTGTCGCTGCCTCCCCTTTCCTTCTATCCCCAATCCTGCCTTCCATGACATCAAACACCTCATCCCAGTATTTTCTCTGCTCATGCTATGCACAAAGTTAGTTGGTTTGCAACTTGGTATCAGTGAGAGTTGTATTCACCTTCTGGACCTGTCTCCTCATCCATCGTCCCAAACTTTCACACAGCCTATCAAGAATCCACTCTGCTTCAGTAACGTCGGCGAGCAGAGGGCTATCTTCACCAATCCAATCCCATTCTGTTTGTTCATCCCTCTCCACCGACTCATCGCTTTCTAAAGAAGACAAGGCGGTGAATCGTATCAGCTTCGTGAATCTTTCCCACTCGCCATATGAGTACACCTTTGGCGGATGGGATCTCAGGTCGTGGGCAACAGCCTTGATGGCAGCGGATAGCTCTTTGGCAAGCTCATTGTCATCATACTTCTCCTTTTCCAGCACCCGACTCCCGTCTTGCTGCTGACCAAGAGAACGCTCGGGGTCTATGTCGCTGAAATGCCGCTCGTCACGGATAGGTCTCTCTGGACGCTTGCCTTTTTCTGTGTCGACCTGTTTCCTGTTTAATAACTTGGCCAGGGTAGAGTGACGAGTGAGAAAACTTTTGAGGATTCCCTTCTTGGGCATGATGGTCCAATCTGCCAGAGTAAAGGTACCCCTGTTGATAGCCATGACAACGGTTTGACTCATTTGCTGAACCAGGACTGTGACAATGGGAACCGCGGTGATGGACCAGACAATAAAGAACGGCTTGCCAATGTTGGACTTGGGGGCGAGATCACCATACCTGCTCAATAATTAGCTTGGGAAACAAGTCACAATGAAGATTGGCCAGGATATTTACCCGATCGTCAAGATTGCCACAAAGCAAAAGTAAAGGCTGTCAAAGTATCTCCATTGGGATATCCGTGTTTCAGTCACCATGAAAACCAGAGCCCCAATTGTCCAAAAGGAGAAAAATACCAACAGTGCCATCCCAAGCGCCCATGATCTGTGTCCAAGGTCAGCAGTCAGTCTGTCACGACAAAGCAAAAGGGGCCTACTGTTTCCAGTGTTTTGTCTCCTCCTGTATCTGCCTCATGACATCAAACCTGTCCTTTTCCTCCTCCAACAACAGTAGTTTCTGCCGCCGCTTCTTTCGTCTGTCGCGAAGAGCTTCTTCTCCGCTGCCAACCGCATTTTGGGCCTTGCCCTCGTCAAATGTAACTGCTCTTCCCACAATCTCCAGGCGCCCGAGCTGCATTATGGATGCCCGGCGGGCATATTCTGAGGCGCTCTCTGCCAGGCCTCCTTCGGCAGCTGCTGAATCCGGCCTCACGGGCGGCAGGCCTAATCGCTCTCTCAGTTCCTTTTCACTGGTCACTGTTCTCCCGACAGTCGACTCGCGTTTGTGTTGCCGATGACGTTTGATGATCTTGTCCGCGCTGATGTTGGCTGCGAAGCGCGTCAGGCTGCCAATGACAAGACCCAAGAAGATGACACCGATAATCTGGAATGCAAACAGAAATCCCCTTCCCGAATCGGTTTTGGGTGCGAAGTCTCCGAACCCCACAGTGAGGATCGTCTGATCTTCGTCATCAGCAAGGTTCTGACTACGTGCACCAGGGGACCAGCTGACTTACCACTTGAGAGAAATATAGGGAATCAGCATAAGTAAAGCCTTCCAACGCGCAAAACACTCCTGCACCTCCTGCCAACCAGAAGAAAAAGCTCATGGTCTGGAGAATCAGTGTCCTTTGGTCGTCATCTAGCTCAAATTTTTGTGGATAGTGTCCCTTGAAGTAGCCAACCATGTTAACCATCAGCATGGCACAGCTGAGGACGTACATGAGCGATGCCAGGACGGAGTGCCAGAAGCCCTGAGAATATGCTTCACCAGGCGCCACAGGTGGTGCATAGATTGCCATGGCAATTTCCACGACTATCAGCTGTGTGCAAAATGGACATGTCAGAATATCGTGACATAGAATGGGTGTGTAAGTACCTACGATGAGAGCCGACAAGAGCCAGAATACAATTGATAAAGGCAAGGCCACTATGTATCGTACTCGACGTGTGAAGTTTAACAGCAGAAACAAGTGGCCGAGGAGGCCAAAGATGATGGAGAAGATGTTGGGGATGATTTCCCTGTGGATGTGGTGAGCGGGAATAATTTCTTTTGGAAGGGGGTATAATCTCACCAATTTGGATCAGGTATACCCCAAGCGGCATCATCGGAGCCATGGTTGTCGCTGAATGGCAAGCCATTGTCAGGCAATGTGAATCTCCATGGACTCACCAAGGACACGATGGACAAGACGTTGGAGAACGGCCCAATGGTTGCAGCGATGAGTGGAATGGCCGTCGAAGCAAACCACCACTTTCTGCCACCGAAAGGTCAGCTATGTGCACCAGAAACATAAACACAATATAGAAAACATACTGTGGCAAGTTATCACTTTGTCCTCGAAGCTTTATCCGACCTCCTGCAGCGGTTCGGATTGCGGCAACCGGAGCCGGAGCTGATGGTTTGTTGGGCATATCTGCTCGTCATATAACAGCTTCGTGTTTATCTCCCACAGGGCTTGTTGTTGACGATAAACCTTGCATATAAACATTGATTTGGAGCGCCAACGTTCGACGATGTCCTTGCGGAAAAGAATGGAAGGGGAACAGGGCAAGCCACCGATCACTTTCTCTCCAGTCGAGCGAGATCGCTGTGGGACTCCATTGTGGTCTGTATACTTGAGGTTGACAGCACCATGAGAAACCTATCAGCAGGCTCATGGGTGATTCGGAAGGGTATCACAGTTGCGATGTAGGTACCGATGGTACACGGGGGAGCGAGTTCTCCTTGCACAAAGACAGAACTTTGTCGGAGTCTGACCAAGTCCCTGACATGAAGCAGCTTGGCTCCATGCCTCTCGCCCACAGGATACCGACTCACTAAGTACAAGTGTTTGACATTTGTCCATCCACCACTTCGGATGACTCAATAGTCGTGATCTTGTCATATGTGTGCGTTACTATACATTGTCGGGCAGGCTGGCGTTTGTGGCTTCCTATTCCATCCGATTGGACTTCCGGAGTGGAAAGTATGATGTATATTTGGTGTTGCAGAGAGCCTTGTGCTCATGGCCTCATGAGGTTTCCCGTTCCTGCCTCCATTCGTAGTATCATGATTCTCCCACAATCCCAATCTGGAGGTCCGCCGCCACTTCCCTTTGGGGCCGTGGGTTGAGACAACAGGCCCAATCATCCACTGGATGTAGCGGTATTTAGGGTAGTTACTGCCCCATAAGTTGGTCCTAAATCAGAGGCTGATTCTGGCTGTCTCATCAAACTATGGTGATTTCGACTTTGATAATCTTCCCAGAATTCTTTCTTGCATTAGCCATTGCAAATTCCCACTCTTTCATGAGGAGAGTCTACAACAAACTGGATAAGACTTCACATCTTTTTTATGTCATTCACATGGGGGATACCTACCGAGCTTGGATTACAGGACCAGTTTTCTCACGTTCGTGATGACATTACCAAGATAACTGTAGCTTTAAAAACTGGGAGATATGAACTTTTCCAGATAAGAGTAAAATCCAGATATTTCGCCAAGTTTTAACACCCCAAATATATTCATGAGACTGCCGGTGTTGCTCTCCCTCATCTGGTGTCAGTTTGATATGGTTTGTGATGATTCCGAGCAAGCACGACGCACTGACGTTCTACCTCAACCTCAACAGTGCACGGACAATTTACAGTGACGTGAATTTGCAGGCGTGCACGGACCCCGCAAACCAGCCTATATATTTCACAGTCCCGGCCCCACATTTACTGGTTTCCTTTTTTCTTCTTCATACTTACCTTGGCCAACCTCCGGGAGATCACGAATTCCTAGGGGTAGGGTGACTAACCTTCATTGCACATCGAGGAGTTTGGTTGTCTTTAATTGCCCTTCGGGGTCGTTATGGCCGCAATTTTTGATGTTTACCTCTCTTTTTCATTATGTACCCGACTCTGTTGGGCCATGAGGAAGAAGCCTCTTTTTTTTTGTGGTGATGTAAATCAAGGTAATCCGTAGCCCCGAAGATGATTGTGTCGGTTCACAACTGAGTTGGACTGACGAACGATATGGTCGCAGAAACTATTTCAAGCCGAATATTTCCAGCGGCCCCCGCCTTGGTGCAGGCCGATCACCAAAGCGCAAATCACGTCCTTCTGGGCGGTCCGTGACTCCGTCTCACCAAGGCATCTTTGGCTTCCGGCTTTGACCACTCTCGACGAGATCACCGAGGCATTGCACTTGCCAAAAAGTCCAGACGTCTGTCTAACTTGAAGAAATTTGTTTGTTCAACATGCTAAGGCCCGGCTTGGAGACCGCCGGGGAATTCGCAGTTTCAGATTGTCATCGCACCAGGGCACCGGCACACAGGTCTTTGCTTGAAGAAGGATCCGATCTGGCCTGACCTCGCTGACGGGCAGAGCTGTTCTGACATTTGCTATCCGAATAGGGCCCTCCCTTACATTCCTCAGAGCGGCGCGGCATGGAACGTGTCAAACCGCGCCTCGTCTCACCCAGTACCAACGCTCAAAACCACAGCGGTCCTCTTGCTCGACCAGTCGGCTGTGCCTCAATACGAACCGTAGATCTGCACATTTCTTCTCCCGTTGTCAACTCCAAATCAACAACCAGAAGAAGTATCATGATCATTGTGGACAATCAATGATCGAAATCATGTCGTCAACAGCGCCCTCACCACCGCCTGTGCCAGAGAAGACGCCAGTTCGACCCTATTATGCGCCTCTGGTTCCCTCCCCACTGAACCCGAAGAACTGCTTCCAAACACCCCCCCCAACATCACCACCAGGATCTCCATCTCCCAGAACACCACCACCTAAAAGACCCAGTCTCCGCAGGCCAGCCTCCCAGACGAGCCCGACTCAGATCCTTCTTCGTCAAAAGGCCGCCGCCGCCTTTAGGTCAGAGAGCCTGATCAAGGCTTACAGCAGCAACAACAACAACAACAACAACTACATCTCCCTCGGGAGCAGTCGCCGCCACGCCAGCAGCCGGAACCCATTCCTCAACATGATCCAGCACCAGAACCTCACAACCGCTGATACCATCGACATTCTCTATTCCCTGGATATTGACGATGATGACGACACCAACCCCACAGGCGACCTCGGTCTGATCACGCCAGGCAACAACACCAGCAACAAGCCACTGCCGCCAGTCCCCATGCCCCCTCCTCTATTTTCGTCTTCTTCCCCAGGGCAGGACCCCAACAGCGACAGCCCACCAGAGCGAGAAGACCATCGGCTTCAAGAAAAAGATGATCTCGACCTCCTTAGTTCAACCCCCTATTACGAGGACTACGACTACGACCACAGAGACAAGGAGGAGATCGACCTCGAGAACGGCTGTTACTTTGAGCGGGAAAGGGCAACACTACCCTCGGGAAGGACAGCCTCTTTTGACGACTCGGGAGGGAGGGGACGATCGACGCTAGGGAAGGCAAGACGCGGTGGTGGCAGTGGTGCTGAACACAGGTCAGGGGTCACAAGGCTTGTGATCCACCTTGGCCGGGGGCTGGTGATACTGGGGATCGTGATCTGGTTTGTGCTGCTTCACGGGCTTTTGAGGACCTTTGGCGGGGCGAGGAGGCCTCCTCCTCCTGACTCCAGCTTGGGGTCTGCTTCTGATTTGGAGGCATAGACATCGATTCCATTCTTCTTCTGATGGCGAGCCTTTTTTTCCCCCCCTTTTTTTTCTCCTCTTGTTCCATTTCTTTGGTATCGGACTCAACGGCTGGCGACAACTTGGGGGCTTTTTGGTTCTTTTTCTGGTTGCATTAAATAGATCAAGAAGGTTGGGGGCAGGAGTCCAAAACGGCGGGGGAAGGACCGGGCTTGTTACGTTTTGTGTACATATATTCAGCATTTTAAGTTGCATTACAGGGGCGCGGGTTTTCTGTGGCTTCAGGACACGGCAGCTCAGGGTATGTGTGGTTCACGAAAGACGTCAAGATCACATTTTCACAAACATACACGCCGTTTCTGTCTTCCGTCTTCCGTTAAAGTTACCATGACCCACCGGAGCCTTGATTTGCCAACTCGCTAGGCGTGGAACCGCTTAATGCAAACTACCTGAGCAAAAGTAATGGGACTGGAGAACCAGAGAGCCCATTTGGACTGTGGGCGACTGATTCCTTGCTACTTAGGGTGCCATCATGGATGAAAAAGGCTACAAATGCACCTGACCAAGCCCAACCTGACCCTCCCAAATCCCTTGCCCGACCCTCAAAAGAAAAACTTATCAACTGTTTACTGGGCGTTGATGGCTAAAGCCGAACCTTGCCCGGTTTGTTGTTTCCCTGTCGCTCCCCATATCCATCGTTCTGCGAGATACAAACAATTTAGCAACTCCGTTCCCCATCCACCTCTTTTTTCGCTGTCCGGTTGTTTGTTTCCTCTCTATAAATACCCTCGTCTTCGGCCCCAGCAACCCGACGAAGTGATATTACGCCAGATAACCGAGCTCATCGTCCTCCAAGCGCTCGAGGTACTCCTTGTCGAGCAAAATCTCGATACACTTCTTGATATCGGCAACCTTGGGCACAAAACGGGACCGGATTTGGTTAATGGTTTCGGAAACGAGCTGCTGGTGCTTCATCTTCTTGCGGGCCTTCATGATGCGGACAATGGCAGACTAGGTGTCCATGTTAGCATTTGATTCGTCCTCTTGGGACCATGGAAAAATAAGAGGACATACCTGAAGCAACAGTTTCCTGTCTTCTTCAATCGTCTTGTTCGTCTCTGCCTCCTCCTGCTTCGTCTCGCTCTTCATGCCAACGTTCAGATTGACCCTGTACTTCTTGTTCTTGAAGTCGAGGTTCAGAGAATACGTATTGCCAGGCCCCACCTTGGCACCAGAATCACAGGTCAGGACCTTGGCTTTGAGGCAGACCAGGAGCGCTGGATCCAGAGATTCGCTGTTGAGCTGAGTTGTTTGCGCAATTTCCTCATACGTGTTTTGAAGCTTTTCGTTGAACAGAAGCAAGATGGCCATCTGATACACAGATACTGAAAATGTGTATGGCATCTTGGCGTTTCGAACATAGTTCGCCTTGATGTCTCCCTTGCAAAGCTGCCACAACCAGGTGAGCTTCCGGCCATCGTGCTTGTGCTTATAGAAACGTGTGAAGCGCTCGCAATCTTGCGCAATTTCCTCCGGTGGGTTGAAGTTTGTCCCCGGGGCAGTCAGGGGCCAGAAACCTGTGCCCAGTACCGAGTAGGTAGAGTCCAAGTTCTTGCCCTCGATGCTGGCCTGTACGTGCCCCTTGAAGCCAGTATTCAGATCTTTGGAGATCTGCATATCCTGGAACATGCGCTGCAGCTTGCTGGTGTACTCGAATCCGCACGCCTCCTTGAGCTTGCTGATCATGCTAGTCTCGGCGTCATCGGACGACGAGTTGCTGTGAACCAACCGGCGAGCCAACATGCGAGAGTAGAACTTTTGAAAGACATCTTTGTCCTCAATGTATTTGAACACAGTCATGATCTGCGCCAAAGTCTCCTCCAGAGCACCATCTTCCACACCAGTGCTGCTCTTGCGCAAAAGGATATCGGTATACTTGGCCAGGAGCTCCGGCGACTTGTTGGATCCAGACTTGCAGACTTCATTGCGGTTGACGAATTCCCTGCACGCGTTATCGAGGGATCTTGTAAACTCGGCCTCATCGTTGAACGCGCGCTTGACCAAGCCTTGATACTGCGTGTGAATCTCAAGTAGCGCATCCACGTAGACCTTGGGCTCCAACTTGTCGGCATCGGAGGCCACCTTGGCGACAGCAGCCAATCCGGCCTTGCGAACGTGATTTTCGAATTTGGCCCGCAAGGGGTCGAGGCCACCAGCAATGCGCGAAAGCAAACTGTACATGCGCGCCATGTCTTCCTCCCTGTCATTATCAAGGAGAACCTGAAACTCGTCGCGGAGCAGATTGCTGTGGTCCTCAATGAGCACCTGGTTACAAGCCTTCTTGAGCTGGATAATTATGTCCCCGATCAAGTATAGCTGCACTCGGTTTTCCTCCTCCTCCAGACGTGCCTCGGCTTTCTTCATGAACTCAACAACGCTGTTCTCGGCAAGGAACTGCTTGCTCTCGTTCGTGTAAAATACTTTGGTCGCCTCAAGGAATGGCTTCTCGAAATGGAAGCGATAGACGTTGAGCGTGGGCTTGTGGGAGTCGTTCTCGTCGAGTCCCAAGGAGATGAAGGAGTCGACAACCAGTTTGATCTGGTTGTATTCGATGGTTTCGCCGTTGCGGTGCTTCTCCACCAGTTTAAGGACCGAGTCCATGACTTTGTGGACAACTTGGTGAAAGAGGACATCGCGCCATTTGACGAGGTGCAGGGTGTAGACATCGTACACCGACTTCTTGCCCTCGTCCATCTCCCGCTTTACCCAGTGGCGGTTCAGGTACCCGAAGATATGGTGAATGTACTTTGCGGCGTTGGTGTAACGATTCCACTCCCGAATGTAGAAGGCTAGAAGAGCCTCTTCAGTGTGACTCTTCGATTCCTCCACAAGACCCGTCAGATGCTGTGCCAAATACTCATTGAGCAGCTTGTACAGGTCCTCTCCCAGTAAGTGTGCTACAGAGCCAAGTCAGCAATTCAAAGCGTCTAGACAACCAACGGAGACACTGACCACCTCTATGAGCTCCAAGCGAACCAGCGTTGAAGCTGACAGCCTTCTGGCTCGTGCAAAAATTGTGAACCGTTCTGGAGATGCATAGTCAGTGTCGAGAACGTGAGGGCTCGGTAGGAAGGGTTCGAAACGAACGTGTAGAGTTTCATGTACTGCCCGCGGCGAGGTTAGCGATGCGCCCATTCACGGATGTAGGAGGGAGACATACGTCGGCGAGGTTCAGGCCGCTGTGGAGGTTTGTCATGATGCCATCGATGCCCGTTCGTAGGGTGAGCCATCTAAGTCACATCAGCAGGCGTTCCTTCGCATCGGGGCGGCCTGGGCAAGACAGGCTTGGGCCTGGACGTACGTGCTGTCGACATCATCACGGGTGTGAGAGGCACCCGAAAACGCTGGTGGAGGCATCTTCTGAAAAGTATTGAAGTCTCCCACGGAAAGACAACGGTGGACTAGACACGACGGCGAGGTGTTCGGCGAGGTGGTGTAAGTTGGTGTGACCAGGATGGATTAATTGACAGCCCAGGAAGGACGAGCAAGGGCTCTGGTTCAAACGGCAGGACGGGGTTGTCGCGGCGGGCAGGTGCGCTCTGGATCGGGGGGAAGCCCAGGAATAAAAGAAGGATGCCGTCGATTCGCCGGTGCAAACTGTTGATTCGCAGATAGAGGGCTTCGTTCGCAAGTGAGGCCTTCGGTATGTCTGGTCGAGATTCTGCCGGGTCCTGGCCTGGTGGACGTCAGTTGGTGCCAGGCAGCCGCTACCTGAAAGGCCAAATCGGGTGTGGGGCAGCCAGAGGTGCAGTGGGCGTGGCGGGGAATAGATTTACTGTCAGTCGTAAGGTGGGCAGCGCAAGAACTTCTGCGAGATTTGAGTTCTCTGAAAATTGGTGAATAGTCTGATTTTCTGCAAAATGTGAAGGGGACTACAAAAAAGTCCCCACCATTTGCTCCCAAAGATCAACGAGGCTCCAGGTTGTTGGCAACCTTTGGTGGCGTTGGCGTTCGTGCCAGCATCACCTTACACGTCAAAAAGTGCTACAAATTAGTAGGTTCTGCATACTGGACACTCTAGGTGCAGACATATCAGATTGCTGTACAAACTCCCAAGGTACCCAGAGCAGACTACTTGCAGCATTTATAGATATATTTCTGTTTCATGACTCCAGGTACCTGCTAGGCAGAAAAACGGCGTTGTCATCGCCCAGCATACTGGCTTTTCTGTCAACGGCATGGCACTTCAGGCAGGAAACTCAAGGTTCACCATCCACCTCGGTCTGTCCTGCGCGAAACTATCCAATCCTAATCACCAAGGCACAGTCTGATAAACGATAGGCGTCAGCAAGCGCACGGACAACGGTAGGCACACCAGGCAAGAGTCAGAAAACAACTTGGAACAACACTGAACAGCTGTTTTGACGATTCCGCTACCATTCAATCTCATCCAAGACTCGACAATATTCTAGAAAGTAGATTATGTTGTCCGATCCCGTGTCGAACGCTGAGGGTATACTGCTATCCTTCCCAAGAAAGAAAAGAAAGAAAAGAGAAGAGAAACCTTTCCCGCCCAAACCCAGCCCCCACATTCCCACCTCTACACCCTTAACTTGGAAAAATCTCGCTCCATGATCCGAATCTTGCCTCTCGCCATCTGAGGAGCTCACTCATCCCAGATCCCTATCTACGTTCGTCTTCGCCCCTTCCCAGCTTCTGTACGAGGCGGAATACGTTCACGGTGAAAGTGAAGCTCCATGATATCAAACCGACGGTCTGAAACGCAGCCAACGCTTGACTGTATTGGCTCACCTGACGGTCCAAGGAGTTGTGAAAGACGAGGGCCTCGAAGGCCAGTGTTGTGCTTGCGGATTTGAATATAATGAAAAACAAGTCCATCAGGACAAGCGAAATCTTCTGTGTGGCTGGCCGCAGTCCCAATGGCTTGCCAGTGTATTCATCCCATGTCATGTAGCCGATATAGGGGACCGCTACCGTATCTACCACGATAGCGACAATGGACTGTGTCCGTTCCGAAGTGTTTGTTTCCGTCTCGCCGTTTTCTATTTGGAAGATCTTGGCTGAGAGGGCGAGAGCCACTATGGAGGTGAGGAGAACCGTAAGGCGGAAAGCCAAAGGCACCAATGGGTGTTGTAAGATGACCCGCCAAGCTCTCTTGTAGAGCAGTTTGTTCCTTGCGGACCGGTTTCCGGCTGAGTCGAGAAGTCGTGGCGGCTCAATGGGGTTATCGAAGCTGGGCTGGAGCTCTTTAAGCACCTCGGGGTCAACGATCTGAGCATGTTCCCCTGGAAGATGGCCGTATCGAGAGGATTGCAGATAGCTTCGCCATGGTGAGTTGGGTGTTGCCCGGCTATATCGAGGCACAATCACAGGCTCGGCTGAGCGCAAGTGGTCCCATTTCCTCCCTCGCTCCGCAGCATCTTTGCGCAAAATGAATTTTCGTAACCTTGCTCGCGAGGTCCTCGGTGCCTCATCAGTAGGTAACACGCCTCCAAAATCGTACACGTAGCCATCTTTGGAGATCCGTCGTTGGGGCTGGCTGGGGGAATGATTGTGGTGAGATTGCGCGGCCCGGGGAGGGGGGCAGTCAAGTGCGCGGAGCTGGTCTTCGGTCGGCGACCCGTACCGTGCTTCGTAGGAGTCTATCCATGCTGGAAAGTGTCAGATAATTCATGGGCTGGCATTGATAAAGGAAACATACGTGGCAGGGATCGCGGTGTATGGTGTCGAGTGGTGTTGGAAGCGGCAACGCTGCTTCGCGACCTGAGGGAAGCGCGAGGTTCAGAAACATTGGAGCTGGAGCGCGGGAGGCCCGCAGATGCCATTATCAAAACGATCGAGCAGAGGTTATTCAACTCTGCCGTCGATCTAGAGGAGCGTCAACAAGTGGGGATGAAACAACATCCAGCGAGCGAAGTCATTCAATCAAAGCGATCGGGCGGTCGAGATTGCTGGCGAGCATGCAGAAAAGCGATCAAAATTCCAGAATTGCCAGCGCATGGTCAACTCGGCGATGACGGCGGAGCATTCGATAGTGTTTTACTTAAACACACGACACATGTTGCTTCTCCTGCGAGGTCGAGTTCGTCGAGACCATCTGATTGTAACATGCGCCGTGGTTGGCCTGGAGGGTCTGTGTTTGTTTGTGTGCCGCTGAGCACTGGCTTGGAAGCGCTGGCTGGTATTGGGGGACTTGGCGGCTGTGGGCTGTTTTGCAAGTTTGGGTAGCACCGCGCTCGCTGTTATCCCTGCTGGCACGGGCCGCATGACCTCTTCACTCCACTCAGCTGCAAAGACAAGCCGGATGGAAGCTATGACGACAGTGTGAAGATATCCGATACCCTTTCTTCAGCAGATAGTCTAGGTACATGATGAAATCGCCAGTATGGGAGACCCTTGACCAATAATACTACAGCACACTGGAGTCAGGTTTCAATATGTATGTAGCCCACGTCCACCTCAAGGCAATTGGTATCTCAGAAACAATGGGTGGTTGGGCGAGTGCCGCTGCATCAGGACAGTAAGTGGAGTCTCTAATCAAAAGCTCACAGTCGGACATCAGAGCCGGGCAGCGGCAAGCTCGCAATGTTCATAACGCTGTCAAGAGCCGCAAACCGTCTCTTCAAGGTTTGAGAGAGATCCAAGTCCTTTTGTACCTGAAAGCCATAATTGGAACCCCTTGGCAGGCCTCCAGTAACGGCAACGCAAGCAATTCGCCTCCCACAGTCCCGTCGCGTTATCCCAAAGGGTCTGGCTCGCCAACAAGGATTCGGATGCTTAATCAATGACGGGGACTGGAACTCCACTGCTCGTGCAAGCGGGCTGGCCCACTAGCTAGTGTAACGTCATCCAATGGGAGCTCCCTAAATCACAAGGAACTGCGTCACTGCCCCTTCTAGCCCACGAGAAGCTTCAAAGTACCCCAGTCAGCATAGAAGAGCTCAAAATTGTTGAAGAAATCGTCAAACCCAGCTCCAGCTCCAGCTCCAGCTCCGTACACTAGGGAGAGTACGCGGTCAGCCTGTCGACTTGCCACCACGAAGAGGCCTTGCGACAACAAACTCAACAAAACTGAGATTGACCATGGGCGGCCGCTGGCTCGGATTCTGGATTTGAGAAGGAGCAAAAAAATCCCATACAAAAGCCCATTCGCTTCTTTCTTATTTTTCGCCTTTACGCAGCACAGGATTTTACAAAAGACGGAGCGGTGCTTCGGGACGAAACGAATTTCCTTTCAGAGGCAACCCAGGGCAACAGCAACATTTTTTTTCTCCCGCGCGCAACACTCTTGACAAGGGACACCCACCAAACTACGGCAGGACGCTACGATGCGTCTTTACCTCTTGCCCATCTCCACGAGACGGACGCTGCTTTACTGCCAAAAGCTAGACGCGCCCGCAACACAGAAGCAGACGTGGGGGGATTGGCTCCAGGGCAAAGCGGCGCGCACATGGTCCGACTGGGAGCAGAAAGAGAAGGGCTGGCAAAAGAAGGTCGTCAGCTACGGCAACTACGCGCTCCGCCGGATCCCCTACGAGGAATGGGGTCTCAAGTCGGTGCCCCCGCTCTCCCAGCGCAGGAAGCAGGTCGAGCTGCGGGGCGATGAGAAGGTCGAGGTGGTGTATCCGAAGAGCCTGTTGCCCCTGGGGAAAGTCTCCAAGATCCTGGAGGCCTTGGCCACCGAGAGGGAAAGCTTGCACAAGCAGAGGTTGGCGTGGTGTTTTGTTGGCATGCCCGTCACGATACCCATTGGGCTGCTCCCCGTGTACGTGTACGCCCCAATTCACCAGGGTTTTGTTTTGGCCTGCTGACAACCGTGAATTCAGAATCCCCAATCTTCCCTTTTTCTATCTCATCTACCGTGCCTGGTCTCACTGGCGTGCCTACGCAGGAGGGAAGCACATCCAGTTCCTACTCAAAAACAACCTCCTAACCTACACCCCATCCCCCGTGGTGGACGCTGTATATGCCGGTCAAGAGCAGCCGCTGCCGTCCACGCCAGAGCCAACCACCAGCCCGAACGCGGAACTGCTCGGTAACGAGAAGGTCCCAGGGCCTGAGAATCCTCATCCAGAGGGGGAGACCATGCTGCTGAATCAGGCCAACGGGCGGAAGATGACCCAAGCGTTGGACCTACCGCAGTTGGAAATCGAATTGGAGAGGGCCATCTGGCAGGTGGAAACGGCGGTTCAGCTCAGCAAGGAGGACATTGCCGAGGAAAATTCAAGGGGTGGCGATGAGAAAAAGACGCAATGACATGGTTTGACGAGACATTCTGGAAGGGCGACGAGTGTCAATGTTGATAATGGCTGTATGATTTTGTATTTACTACCTTTGTTCACGCAGCGAATAGCACTGGTGCATGGGAGATAGAGCAGGGCATGCATGGATCAGAAGCCGGCGTTCGACGAATACACGATACCCACTCAACTCGACTCTATGCCAGTACATGAGTGTTGGAACAAAGCCTTGGGACTGTAGAAGTGCTATGTCTAGAAGCCTAAGCAGCCGAGTGAGATATTTCAGCCATAATTATACACCATTGAGGAGCAAATTTGTAAAGGAGCGCCAAGCAAGTATGCCGTTATTAAACAAAGTATTAGGTATTCCATTCATTCCAAGGGGACTGTTCATCCAAGGCTATGGCTACAGAACTCTATGATACTCCTTCCTTTCCAATTCATTTCCCTTCATCTCTTCTGTTTCATCTTTCCCAGGCAGATTGGGCCTTGGCTGCCTCGTCCGCCGCCACCCTCGACGGAAGCGGTGTTTTCTGAGCTTCCTGGATCCCCTCATCATCACTACCCTCGTCTTTGGCAACCTTGACCACTAGTGGTCCATTTCCGTTCATAGGTCCTGACTTCTTCTCCTCGGAGACTGACGATGACACAACACCATCGATCCCTCCTGGTTCCTGATCTTCCAGAATTACGCTCTCCTGCGATAGCGGTCTGGATTGTCGGGTTGCGACAGGTGAGTCAAACAAGCTCTCCCCGCTGATAGACGAGCCGGCCACCGAACCTCTATTCCCGGCCGCAGCCAGCGGCTGCTTCTCCTCCGGTAGTCGACTATGCGTGGGGTTTCTCGCTTCAGTCTTGGTCTCCTTCTCAAGCATACCGTCGACAGAGGTCGCACTCCTTGTGCTCATCTGTGATTGCCTGTTCTTGTTCTTCACCCAGCCCGAGGTCCAGCCGCCTCCGCCGCCGTTGCTACTCTCGGGAGGACTGGCAGTGGTGGGAGTAGGAGGTGTTGAACTGCCGCCGCCCCAAGCCTTCCGCCTCTTCTCCCCTGCCCAAGTAGCCCAGCTGTTGACAAACGCGCCCGCTTTGCTGCCTACTGATTGCGCAGCAGCCTGTGAGCTCTGTGTTGTTTTGGAAGCTGTCGAGTCAGGAGAATCCCCTCTGTTTTCGGCTTGCTGCTGAGAAGCTGCCTTCTCTTGCTCAATTCTGGCTTCCTCGGCCTTCTTTCGCTGGGCTTCCCTCATTGCCTCCATGTCCGCATACAATTTATTAAAGATGTTGCTGGCCTTCTCCTTTCCAGCCGCCAAGTTCCGTCCTAGGGCCTCCTTCCCCTGCGCGAGTTTCTCATCCCAATGCATATCTTGTACCTGCTGCGTTATCCTCCTCTGAACGTCTTCGATGGTCAAGCCTCCAGCGCAGGGATGTTTTGGTTCGACAATATCAAACAGATGTGAATCAGTGTGCGAATTCCAAATTCGGTAGTTCTCCGTCTTTGACCACGCTTCGACGAAATCAGAGCCGAAGTCGGTGGAAGGATCGCCTTCAATATAAGGGAGTAACATCCGGGGGTTGTTGGCATGCTTTGCGAGGTGGTTGTGATACTTGACAGACGATATCAAAGAAAGTAAGTACTCCTCGAACTGGACGCGGATGAATTCCTCGCTGCCAACATAACCCATAGTTTTCGGACGGCCGGGGTTTGCCTCGTCCCAGGTATCATTGACGTTTTGGGTTATAAAGTCAATCCAGCGGCGGTCTGGGGTGGAGAGCTGAAGAGCCGCCTTCAACGAAGTGGACGTGATGTTGATGGTGCCCTCGTCGAGGTTAATGAGAATGTCGCTATACCGATCTTTCTGCTGTAAAAGTAATGAATTCGTACTGCCCACTATGTACGATTTCGTTCCAAAGTCTGCCAGAATGTCGAGCTGTTGCAAGGGGGTGTATGGTCCAAACAAACTGCCCTGTACTCTGTGTAAGTCATGAATCGTATTTGCGCCAGGATTCTCATTGACATACCTTTGGGAAAATCTGCAGAGGCAGCCCCATATATGCCAGCAGGGAATTCCGGTCGCTAGTCCTCAGGCTTGTTGGCTGCTGGAGATTCTGCTCGTAGTTGTTCAACTCTGGTCCCGCAGAGTCCTGCAGGTTGCGCAGCAATCCTGGGATCAATGATACCAGTGAAAACTGAGTTAGGCAAAGCCTCTCACATCTTGTTCCAAAGAACAGCATCTAACCAGCCCACTGTCAGCGCAACGATCCCCAAGTGTTGAAAACCGAGAATACACACCTTTGGCTGCAACAAACAGCATTTCAACAGCACTAATGTCTGCCATTTAAACTCCCTGACAAGCTCCCTCAGACTCAGTCCAAGATATTGGTCTCTGTCCTCATCCTCGTTCATCATCCCCCTTTCCTTCTCATCAGCCAAGCTCTCCTGGAACCTTTTCAGAATCTCCACATCTGTAAACTCCCGCTGCGTAAACCACGCCTTGGTGACCACGCTCAGCCTCTCCCTAAGCATGCCAAAGTACTGTGGGCTGTCTGCAATCACGACCACGGCTTTTTGCACCGTCGATCTCGTCACCTCGGCCGGTCTGTTGAGCAACAGAGAAGCGTCCATCTGGCGAGTGCATGAAATCCCAAACAGCGAGGTACCCGCCCCCCCATCTTCCGCAGGTTTCAACAACGTAAAGTAGGAGAAATCCTCGGTCAGAGCATGCGCGCCGTCGCTGAGGGCCATGAAAGGCAGCAACCCCCAATCATATTCCACCGCCGGGTCGAACCCTTCTGGCTCTGCGCCGAACCATTTTTCGACTTCGGGGCCGCGAGCATGGTGGAAATCGACTATGCAGACTAAGGGTGTGAAATGCGGTCTAGCGCTCGCAGCTGTGGTGGGTGTGGGAGGGACAGAGGACGACATTATTACGGTATGACGCTGTTGCTAAAAGCTGTTGACGCTTTGCCCGAAAGCTATTAAATCGGTGTTGCCATGAATTGATACTTGACAGCTGCGCTCGAGGTCAGGAGAGAAAGAGACAAAAAGACGGTATGGGATGACCCGAGAAGTGTGAATGGCGGGGCAATTGGCTGGTGCAGCTTGGGCAAGGCTTCGAGCTTTCCACCCCTTGTCCAGTTATGCTGATTTCTGAAAATGCAATATCACCAAGGCTGTGCTGGTAGTAAATACAGTGTTGCGTGCGTATCAGATACTCGTGCTCGCCCGGGCCGTCGTCGTCGTCGTGTATCGGTGGACTATTTTCGCCCGGTTTGTTAGCTGTAAGGAAAGTGACGTGCTGTGCTGCGGTTGAGGTTGAAGTGCCGCTCCGCTGCCAGCGCATCAAATCTCCCCGCGGCAGGCAGGGCGGTTATTGATTAGCGTGATCCTTTAGGCTTAGCGCTCTGGAAAATGGGGATCTGCAAATGCGAATCGACGTGCCAAGACCTGCGAGTCGATGTCCATGTGGATGAATTGGGATGAAGGGAATCAGGTGAAGTAAAAATGAAATGTAGAGATCAGACCATAAGCTTTGACTTTCTTGATGACCAGTAATTTCATTCACAGTCCTTCAACCTGGCTCCCTCGCTATGGCTTGCCGTCTGTGAACCGTGCTGCCCTGGTTGACAAGGCGGTCAACATCACAGCAACCATTGAGACGCAGGCGCCGCCGGCTACCAAGCGACGTGGGCAATGGAAAAAAGTATCTGGCAGTGTAATGTAAGGGGGCTTCTTCTCGGGTCTCGGGATCTGCCCTGGTCGGATTAGGCTGCCAGTACACCATGTGTAGGGTCAGTGGTGAAACACTGACTACTGTTCATGAAGACGCAGAGGCTGGAGACAGTCAATTGAAACTGGAAATCTCGAATAACCCATAAATGCAGCCGCTGGCCAGCAGTTACACCTGGCACGATATCAAGTCCCAAAATTGGATACCAAACATTGACCCGCATTGGATATGCAAAGCTGATCCCGCAGTCCTTTACCAATCGTATAGGCCTCAGCAAAACATTCCCCAGCCAGCATGTGGGTGTGGAAGCCGTCGATGCCGACGTGTCCTGCATTGCATGACAGGGAGCAAACAGATCGATCACAACATCTACAGTTCTTGGTCTATGGTAACCAGAGATCCAAGTCACCGCTTGATCGGGCCCATATGTTGCGGAGGACCGGCCGCTGAGGTTGGGAAGTTTCATAATTGTATAATATATACCTTAGTCATAGGCACAAGACACACACACACACACACACACACACACACGTAACTTGAATGGAACTATATCTTCATTTCCCCGTAGAATCAGGTTACCTGACTGACTGCCTGACTGATCAAGACTGCCTCTTTGCCCACGATCCCTGCTGTGGCATGGGTTACAGACTTGCGCTGTTGCAACAAAGTCGAAATCATGGTCATCATCGTTAAAATCTGCTAAGTTCGGCTCCTCTCATGTGAACCCCACAACCCCCATCCATCTAGACACGCGCCTTATACCATATCCAGCAAGAACAATGAGATAAAGATATGAACCATCCCTCCTTTCGTGTACTGGTCTCCCGGGTTCTTCCTGTTGAACCTTCTTTCGAAAGTGAATTCTCCAGCAGCCGCTATGCCATGCCCATTAAAACTCGCCCATTTTGTTGCTTTAGACATGCAGGTCACAACTCGAGACAGACTCCTCAGTGAAAACGCCGAGAAAAGAAAAGGTCACTGAAAATAACCCACGAGACATGGCTGTCGAGTTGGTAGCAACCATCACACAGGACCACCCATATCGGCACCTGGATGCTCCTTCTGTGTATTACCCACCCTGCCGGATCCCGATTCCGAGCTCATTGACCCGCGAATTGACCCTCCATGGAAACACTGCCGGCCTCGACGTTGTGATAGTCCAGAATTTCCGAGTACCTGTTGTTAACGAATAGCGTCAGTTAACCAGGTCCCCAATCCCCAACCTGAGACATTGGAATAGCTCACATCATTATCTTCCATGTGTCAACTGGCAAATCAGCGTCGTTGAAGCTCCAGTCGAACTTCTCCTCGGCAACTGGCTCATCGGTAGGATCGTGATATGGTGCCAGGTATTCGTGCGACAACGCCTCGGTGGCCGTTATCCGCTTCTTGGGATCGAACACGAGCATGTGCTCCAAAAGATCGATGGCTAGTTCAAGTTAGTATCCCTGCGTGAACGATCAACGCGGGGGGGAACACATACCAGCAGGATCGGCGTTCTTGAATTTGTTCTTCAGCGGTTGTCGTTCGCGCTTGGGAAGGGACTTGACAAATCTCAGGGTCTAATAGCTCCAGTCAGCATTTAAGGCCATTTTGTTCAAGATCAGCTGCCCGTATGGCTGCATGCAATAAGGTCCACGTACGTTCTCGCTGGCGATGGTGTTGATAACATCATCGGGGGGCGTGCCCAAGAGTTCAGTAATGATGGAGAACTGGTTGACATGGTCCTTTCCAGGGAAAAGGGGCTTGCCCTCAAGCATCTCAGCGAAGATGCAACCGGCACTCCAAATATCCACCTCAACATCATACTTTTGCCACGTGAGCATAATCTCGGGTGCGCGGTAATATCTCGTCGAAACGTAACCCGTCATCTGGGGGTCTTGAATGCGAGCCAGACCGAAGTCGCAAATCTTCAAATCGCAGTTTTCGTTGACCAGAATGTTGCTTGGCTTCAAATCGCGATGGACAACGCCGGCCGAGTGCACGTATTTCAGTCCGCGCATGATCTGGTACAAAAAGTACTGGATGAACTGCTTTTCAAGAGGTCTAGAGGTGAGGAGGCGATGGAGATCGGTGCCGAGCAATTCGGTGACGAAGTAGCTGATAGCAAATCAGTTCCAAGCCCAATAATGCTGCTCCCGTTGTTACACTTACATATCTTCCAGTGGAGAGATGAAGATGTCACTGAGGGAGATAACATTTTCGTGCTTCAAGTGCTTCAGCAGCTTGAGCTCTCGGTATGTTCTCTTGGCAAGTACGGGAGTGCTGAAGGGCTTCATGATCTTCTTGATGGCGACATTGGCGCTGGTGAGCTGGTCTTTGGCGGAGCTATGCGCACATTCCTCATCAGTACAACTCGCTGACAACAGCACAAACTATTATCGGCCGGGAGTAGCTATTCGTACCAAACAAGTCCAAAAGCACCCATTCCAACAGGTTGGAGATCCGAGTACCTAATCCCGCGTCAGAGCACACTTCTTGAACATCCTTTGAACACAGCCATACGAACCTCGAGGTAATCTCGAAGGTGGTCCCAAAAATCTGAGCACGAACGAATTCAGCCATGGTGGGCGGGTTGTATTGCGTTGTCGAGTTTGTCGAGTCGAGTCGAGCGTGCGGTGGCGGCAACAATGCAGGAAATGTGGCGGGGAAGATAGATGCCGGAGGTGGACAATCGTGGGCGCTGCGCGAGATTCTAGACGACCGGCAAGCGAAGAATGTTCGGGAAGCGATCGGCGTCTATTTGGACGGGCAAAAGCGGTTGTGGACAAGAATGCGAGTGCGTCGAAGTCGTCCAAGGAAGAGAGAACAGCGGGGTTGCTCGCTAGGTAGGTGAGGCGGGGGGCGAGCAGAACACTGTGCTGTTGACGGTTTCGTCAGGTGCGGGGATTGGGTATCTTGAATGCAGAGGACAAATTTAGCTGCGCCCGGAGGGATTTCAGGGAATTGCGCTGGAAAGAGGCCCAGGAAAAATAGGCGGGTCTTTGGTGGTAGGTTTCAGTGGGCGGGTTCAGTGCGCGTACCTGCAGTCTCCAGCAAAAATGATGAAACTTCCAACAGAAAAGAGAGCTGACGGAGCTCTTGATCGAGACAGGCCGGGTCGCTTCTGCTGTTACGCGGCAACTGGTAGTCTTGTATTCGCGTGGTCTGGGTGTGGCACGCTGCGATCGTTTTGGTTCAGGATGGGGGCAATAAACCGGAAATTCTGTCGATGGAGCGAATGAAATGCGCTGCTCAAAAAACCACTATTACTGACGAATGTCCTGCTTGGCAACCTGATGCTCGACAGTTTCCGACTGTTCGTACGGATTTGGGGTCTCGAGCCCTGAATAGCGAAATGTCTTTTTGCACGAAGGGGAGGAGGCAAATAATCGCCCTGACAGACGACGACGACACAGTCAAATCAAAATGTTGGGATCGATCGTGGAGGCGGAAGTTCGTGTGCAAAGGAGAGAGGAGAGAGAGAGAGAATAGGTCCAGGATGGTCGATAGTTATTATTCTGGTGTCAGGGGGAGGGGGGAGGGGTAGATGGTCATGTATTCAGGACAAGACAGGCTGGCACCCTTGGTGTGGTTGCAAGGTGGGATGGCAGCGGAGGGACGTGGATGGATGGGGCCGGGATGTGACACGCGGGGCCTTGCGACGGGGAGAACAGGATATGGATCTGAATCTTCTCAAATTCCATGCTTTGGCACGCCCACTTTCCCGTCTAACCCATCCAGATTGGAGCGCCAGCTATTCATCACATCACTTCCAGAGGTCCCTGAGTAGTAGGGCCACTAGGGCGCATTGGCTGCTAAGCAGTGTATGTTTTGCAGTGTAATCAACTAACTACCTTACCCATCTTTTCAGCGTTCGACCTGACTGGGATTTGCATGGAAGGTGTCTATCTGTTCCACAGGCGCCGCAATGAACCTGGCAGCGTGATCCTTGCCTGCCCTACAAAGAGCTGAGCTCCATCAGCCCCTCACTTGTAGTAACTGCTCCTTGGGCGCAAATGCCTTGCAATACCCAGCTTCGACCTGCTCTGCACGAAAAGTGAGGATTTGTAGGGTGTGCTGTACCCACACTGTCGATTGGTATGCCCATGGGCCTCAACGGTTTCGCCAATCCGGCAGCGCCATCCCAAAGTGATCGAGGCATCGAAAACAACAGTTGGGTGAACAGACAGCAGCGAGGAGGGGAAGCCAAGACTATGACGTAGGTGCGTGGTGGGGTTGTTGCAGCCCTTGTCGCAGAGGCTGTGGGGTCATGTCTGTTCAGCCAATCCTGCGATTTCCACAGTCCCCGGTTCTCGTCCCGGCATCGAACAATTTGGCGTGCGATCGATGCTCGTCGAAGCAGACATCTGGCGGTCTGAGCAGTCCGTCTTCTCATGTTTCTTGAAACCCATCACGGGGTCCGTTTTCACAACCGCCGCTGCAAACTGCCCGAACCACACATCCCCCAAACCCAACTGTGACGGACATTTCGCTCCGGAGAAGGCCGGCTTGTACCAAGTTCCATCGTGCGTGCTCTCTGTAACAAACCCAATTGCATCCCATGCCTATGTCCAGTGACATATGCTGGAGAAGACCCTGTCATTTCAGGCACAGGGAACACAGCCAAACACTTGGTATCAACCACACTACTACTACACCATGCAAATGCATCGTCATTTTCTCTCTCTCTCCCAGCCATACCTCCGCATCGTCACTTCTAGGGATTCTCAGGGTCCTGACAATTGCCCGTGCGCCATTCCCATACACCATCGAAATACGGAGTACATTGGTACATTCTTCCCCATACTGTGATGTGATGTGCATTTTCCACCCCCTGTGAAGCTTCCCGGCCCTCGACAATCTAGACCCCAAGTTGTCCAAGAATGCCTCATGATCATCAGGGGAACCGCAAAGCAGAAGCATGGCAATATCTCCCGAGAGGCTTTAGCAGGCGCCAGAGAGACTGATCAGTTCATCTTTTCAAAATAAGCTTCTCCCTCGTACCATTCCCACGGGACGTATATCCGCACGCACCCGAGCTACCTTCCACCTGCTGTTCTGCCCGAGGCTCCTTTGTGATAGAGATGTCCCTCGCCATCATCTTTGGGCTGTTGGTGTGTGTACTTGGGTAGCCTAACCATGCGCAGTCTTCTGAAACGTCATGATAGCTAGCGGCCTACTGCCAGGACAGTCCGTCTCCCAACAACTCTAACAACCCGCGGCATCAAATGACCCTGCATGTTGGATAACAATGGGATGTCCAACGGCTTGGGGCTGGGCGGGGAAAAACGCAATTCGCAGCCGCAAGCGGGGCAGGGACAAGCTCGAGACTACGCTATCTCATGCACAATGACGTCGAAATCTCTATTGCCCAGCCCGGACCCTGGTCGCTTGGCGGGTACGGACAGGGTGACACGTAGAACCCTGGAAAAGAAAAGAAGGGGACCCTTCAGCCGTCATGACATTTGGTTAACCCACGAAGATGCAGCGAGGACACACCTAACGCGAGCTGAGTTCCTCTTTTTCATTTTGGATGCGATGCCGAGTCTGCAGGTCAAAGTCAGCTCGCCTCTTTTCAGTAGGTTGACATGGGTTTGGGGCGTATTCATCATAATAATGGTTGCAAAAATATATGAGTGATAATTCTCGTCATCATTATGTTAAGAGTTCCATTCAGCTGCCCACGGATAAATCGCATCAGCTGGAGTTGGCTGACTCGGTATGTAATGCAATTGGCATGGTTGGGCACTTGCAGTTGTTGTGGATTCCCAATTATTTTCATACTGCACACAAACAACCTCCATGCCCACTTGGGTCATCACGTTGGGCTGGCATATCAGCAGCTACACTGTGGGACTCAACAGCAGCCCAAATGGCCATGAGTCCTAGAACAGAAGACCGCAATCAGATGAAAGAACGGCAAACTCATGGGGCAGAAAATATGATTCAAAGGTCTGTCATCTCATCATTCCAGGCCATAATCCATACCACCGACGTACTAGGATTGCTGCCATCAAGATCTTGACGACCCAACCGCTCTTGTTCGTGCCCGCATTCTACTTGCTACCACGCCCAATGAATGGCAGCTTCTGATAGAGGTGTTTCTCACCATGCTGTTTCCTCTTTTGGCCTGCCTCTGCCTTTTTGAGTCCGGGGAGGACGACCTACGCTCCTTCCTCCTTCTCCACACGGAGAGGCTCGATGTTCCAGATGCCCTCGGCATACTCATTGATACAGCGATCCGAGCTGAAGAAGCCCATTCTCGCTACCGATGTGATGCACTTGGTAATCCACTCCTCCTGATTCCGGTACGCATCGTCCACCAACGCTTGCGTTTCAATGTATGAGTGGAAGTCGTCAGAAACAAGATAGTAGTCGCCGTGGTCCCGGACAGCCGAGATCAGAGCGGCAAAATCTTGTGTGCTGCCGAAGGTACCCTTCTCGATTTCCTGGAATACCCGGTTGAGATCGGGGTCGATCTCATGCGTGCCGTACGTGTGTGCGTGGCGGAGATCCTCAACATCTTCAGCAAGGTTGCCGAACAAAAAGATGTTGTTCTCCCCGATCTCGCGCGTGATCTCGATGTTGGCACCGTCGCAGGTACCGATGATGAGACCACCGTTGAGTACAAACTTCATGTTACTTGTGCCAGAGGCCCTATAGAGATTGGTGGTTAAATTCCGTGCTGCGGCAATCAGGAAAGGCATCACTTACTCAGTACCGGCAGTCGAGATGTGCTCGCTGATGTCCGAGGCAGGAATGATGATCTCGGCCTTGCTCACGTTGTAGTCCTCGAGGAAAACCACCTTGAGCAGGTCGCCAATGTCCTCATCGTTATTGACCACCTTACCCACACTGTTAATCAAATGGATAATCTGCTTGGCCATCCAGTATCCCGGAGCAGCCTTGCCGCCAAAAATGGACACTCTTGGCTGCTGCTTCTTGCGCTCCTCGGGTGACATAGCCTTGAGTGTGAGGTAACGATGGATAACACCAAAGATGTTGAGCTGCTGGCGCTTGTACTCATGAATACGCTTGACTTGCACATCAAATAGGGCGGTTGGGTCGACGGTGACGCCCGCGCTCGCCTTGATATGCTTGGCAAGACGCTCCTTGTTGGCAAGCTTGATGTCGGCCCATGCCTTGCGGAAAGCCTTATCCTTGACGTACAGCTCGATCTTGTTGAGCTCATTGAGGTCCGTCAAAAAGTCCTTGCCACCAGTCTTGCTCGAAATCAATTCGGACAGACGGGGATTGGCCTGATGAAGCCATCTGCGAGGCGTGATACCGTTTGTGACGTTGGTGAACTTGTCGGGGCCGAAGATGGTCACGAAGTCCTTGAAGATGGTGGTCTTGATGAGATCCGAGTGCAGCTCAGCAACACCATTGACCTTGTGAGAACCCACAATAGCGAGATGAGCCATGCGAACCATCTTGGGCTGCGACTCCTCAATGATGGAAACGCGGCCCAAAAGATCGCGCTCCTCGGGGAATCGGCGCTCGACACTCTGGAGGAAGTAGAGGTTGATGTCGTAGATGATCTGCAGGTGACGGGGAAGAAGATGTTGAATCAGGGGAACAGACCACTTCTCGAGGGCTTCAGGGAGCACAGTGTGGTTGGTGTAGCCGAAAGTGTTAGTGACGATGTTCCAAGCCTCATCCCACTCGAGACCCTCCAGATCCAGCAGAATGCGCTGGAGCTCGACAACCGCGAGGGTTGGGTGGGTGTCATTGAGCTGGATGGCAACCTGCTCGGGGAACTCTTTCCAGGGGCGCTTGGACTTCTTGAAACGACGGACAATGTCGTACAGCGAGGCGGCAACCCAGAAGTATTGCTGCTTCAGACGCAGCTCCTTTCCGCGCTCAAGGTTGTCGTTGGGGTAAAGCACCGCCGAGATTGTCTCGGCGCGTTGCTGATCGGCCACAGAGCTTTCGTAGTCACCGTTGTTGAACTTCTGGAAGTCAAACTCGCCACTGGCTGCTGTGCTGGACCACAACCTCAAGTTGTTCGTAGAAGGGGTCGCGTAACCAGGGATGGGCACATCGTAGGCGACTGCCTTGACGATCTCACCGCCCTCCCAGTGGGCAACGGTCCTCCCGTTCTCATCAGTCGACTTGCGAACGTGGCCAAAGAACTGGATATCAACAGTAACATCGTGTCTAGGGAACTCCCAAGGATTGAAGTCCAACCAATAATCAGGAACTTCCACCTGGTACCCATCAATGATCTCCTGTTTGAAGATACCATAGCGATATCGCAAGCCGTAACCCCAAGCTGGGTAGTTGAGACTGGCAAGACTGTCCAGGAAGCAAGCGGCAAGGCGGCCCAAACCACCATTGCCGAGAGCAGCGTCGTGTTCTTGTTCAATCACATCCTCGATGCGGAAACCAAGGTCGGCGAGGCCAGCTAAACAGTTGCTGATCAGCATCGTGCTCAAATGCCACACCCATTCAGAGCCCACTCACCCTTGGCCGTATCCTTTTGTCCGATATTGAGCATAGCGTTGTCGAGAGCCCTTCCCATCAGGAACTCCAAGCTCAGGTAGTAAAGTCTCTTGCTGTCAACGAACGTCTGGCGCTGCTGGGTGCGGTTCCACTCAAGGATAAGGCGATCGCGGAAGGCGAGACTGCATGCCGAATAAGCTGCAGATTCGTCGCAGTTGAACATGCTACGAGCGAGCGTCGTCTCGACATGACGGACGACCTCGGACTCGAAGCCATCTTTGTCCTTGAAACCGCTGACCTGATGCTTCAGCCAGGCCTCACGTTGCGGCTCAGGGATGGAAGCTAGATGCCAAGGAGACGTTTGTTAGCACATGCACCTGCAGGTTCTTGGCACCCCGCCTGTCTCACACAAGCCCTTGGGAATCCGTGAGGGGCAATCAAACAGGTGGGGGAGCTGCTTGCGCTCATCGCCCGACCATGAGAGCTGTCACCAAAGCTCCCGAGACATGAGCAGCCCCTTCCCTCTCCATGAGACAATTGGCTGGAAATAGACTCAACATACCTTCCACACTCTTGATCTCTCCGGCACCGAAGCCGGTAAAGGTGCGTTTGTGCTTGGGCCGAGAGATGCCCGCTGGGCCGACAGAGCCCTGGATGTCCACAATCGGGGCTCCCATGGAGGGGCGACGCTGTCTGGTGGGGAGGGATTCGGACGCCATGGTGAGAAGAGGCTTCCAAGTTGCCGGACTAGAAGAAAATGTCAGACACCTTCAAGTTTGTTCCCTTCAGAGGAGGGGTTCGAAGTTTAAAAGAGAGGAAAAGGAGACTACAGGCGGCAAAAGAGCCAAGGCAGGTCAGGCACGCTTACGTAGTAGAGGGCAAGTCGATAAGATCAGCTCAGGCTTGAATTGGGCGTGGTGGGGTAGCTGGCTGCTCTGGCGTGTCTGGGTGCCACTGTCTAGCAGCGAAGCTATTGGCGGTCTAGGCAATGGGGCGGGTAGATGAGGTGGTGATGGTTATGTATAACGATGAGAGAGGAGCGGCGGGGAGTGCAGGACAAGAACCCCACACAAGAATAGTTGTAAGACGGAGAAGAGATGGAAGAGAAGAGAATGAGACGACGAGGAGCTGGTGGGAAGAGCCTTCCATATAACTTTTACGCCCGGTCGGTCACCAACCGTGTGAGCCAAACTTAGCAGCAAAAGCTCCAGGAATCCTGCTCCTGCCTTCCTGCACAGCGCCGTTCGCATTCCCGGATCCATGCTGTCCTGTTGTGGATGGCACCCGACTGAGGAGAGAGGTCCTTGTGGACAGAACTGCATCCCCTGCCCATGCACCACCCACCACCTCCACCACCACTGACCACCACCACTGACCACCTCCTCCTTCCTGCAGCTTTTCAATATGGGGAGCTTTCTGGCCCTTTCTTCAAGGTGCTTGTCTGCGACTTGATTGGCTTTCCTGGTGCATTGGTCCTCCGCATCTCCTGCAACTCGGCCAAGTCACGACCTTGGGTCGTGCCTGTCTCCCTTTCAGTCGACATTCTGCATGGCCGTTGACACGAGTTGCGATGTCATTGTGCTGCTCCGACCAGGCCGAGACGTCGTTCGGATGCGTAACGCGGGGTAGGTGATCTGGAAGAGCCGAGAGCCATATCTCTTTCCACCTGGCGGATTGTCATCAACTCGCAAGTGGAAATGCCACTGGTTTGTTGCGGCGTGGGGCTGGGACACAGCTGCTGTGATGATTGATTGGGCTTGGAGAATCCCCCACATTATGCCTGAAACTCTGCATCATCATTCTTATATCTAAGGGCGGTAGCATTGGGTTATCCTGGCATTCCCACGGCTTGATAAAGCAGATCGAGATCGTAAGGCCATCATCATGTTAGGCATGTGCTTCATCAACCAACTGAACCGGCGCCAAGCATCACCAACACACCGAGCCTGCAGTCTTCAGCCCAACTCTACTCCACTCCGAGCCCACCCAGACTGCCCTGCTTGACGTGTTGCATCATTAATGTCTTATTAGTCGAGATGACAGACTTGAATACAACGTCGTTCAAGGCTAACATCCCAAGTCATGAGGAGATCTCATAATTGGGTTGATAGGGTGGCTATTAGGTAGACACCTTCTGCCGAACATGAACACCACTCTCACTGATCTGGAAGTATGCTCGTAATATGGCAGAAACAATGCCAGCCAATTTGACTGGGACTCTTTGACCTATTTCTTCGAGAGCTGTCAGAAGACTTGTGATAAAAAGCACGAAAGGAACATTTTCATACAAAGAAAGGGTGGGCAAAACGTGTTTCAACCACACGGCACGGGACGGGCTCGGGAGACCCAAACACCAGGCAAGGTGCCCATGTCTTTGAGTACATCAAAACAAACATTGCGGCTCGGGAACATCAACAAGGGGCTTGCCATGCCTTGTGACCTTGGACTGTTATTGTTAGAGCGAAACAATATCCCGCAGAGCCATTCCCAATACGACCCAAAAGCACCGGACACTCTGACCAAAAATATGTGGTTTGGCGCCCTCTGAAAGTATCGTATACATGAAATTTTAATTCTTCACCCCAGCTCGTTGCAGACAGCTCGAAAGGGACTTCGGGATCTAAGATCATCTATTTAGTTGGTATGGATAGATAGGAGGACAAGACTAATAAGGTGTAGTTGGAAAGGGCACGGGTCGTCTCAGACGCCCATCATCCCTCGCTTTTCACTGACATGTCTTCAGGGACCTGTTTTCTCCTCCTGAAGCTCCATCCTTTTTTGCCTTTTCCGCCTGTCCATCCCTCGCTCCTGCTCCGGAATCGTAAAATCAAAATAAAAGACAGAACGTTGCTCAAAAATAAAAGTCGTCGTTTCACCCATGGCCTTGTACGCCGTGTCATATGCAGAGGAAAGCCCAGGCTGAAGCTATGTCGTGTGTTGTGAAGTGGGTTCGGTGTCCAGGATATCGGGTGAGAGGTTTTTGGTGAATTACAATATTCCTGCAGCTAGATTCCCCGATAGAGGGATCTGTACATTATCAATCAATAAGGAGAGATTCGAGTGTCGCTATTTGCTGACTTTCCTCGGATCGAATCGTGCCTGTGTTCCTTGGTAGGATGGGAGGGTGATGCTTTCGGGATCAACAGCTGCCAGGCACAGCAGTCCTGAAATACGCCCGATCGTGCGGGGAGTACGCCTCCAACTCTGGAGGATGCATGAGGGGGCATCTATAGAATACCAGAATCCTTCAGCGCGTTGTTCAGGATCGTCTCCTTAACCGCAGCAAAAACCAGACGGATGTTGCTAGTATCTGTCGCTTGTGTCAAGCTGATCGATCGTTAGCATCATAACAAAAGCAAAACGACGGCGGGACAGAGAACAACTTACTGAGGGTAGAGATTTAGATGCGCCCTGTTCACTTGGTTGAATCTCCAGAGCAGATACTTGGCTGCCTTGTTGACGTCGTTGCCTCCCGAGTAATCGGGGAAATAGTTGCTGAGTGGAGATCGGCCCAGTTTCTGCTTGAAGATATCAACCTTATTCAAGAACAAGATGATACTCGTGCGCATAAACCACCGTGAGTTGACTACCGAGTCGAAAAGTAGTAGTGACTCCATCATACGGTTCTAGAGATCCAATTAGCATCACGGAGACATAACTTGATGGGCCACGAATCGCGTACCTGACTGCTTTCTTCTAGCAAGACCTGATCGTACTCGCTCAAGGCCACACAAAAGATGATGGAAGTGACGTTCTCAAAACAGTGGATCCACTTCTTGCGTTCGCTGCGTTGACCACCCACGTCAAACATGCTGTGAACTGTCAGTGTTGTTCCAGGCAAGATTGGCAGCATGAAAACTCACTGAATACTGAGTTGGCCCATCTTGAATCTCGTCTCGTAGATACCTGTGGTCTTCGTTCTCGCCCGAAGCACATCCATCTCATTGGGGATGTACTCCTTGTGTGCGATTCTTGCAGCCTCGTCAAAAAAGCTGCCGGTGAAGTTAGATACCAGTCCGTGCCCCTCGGTTCAAACACAAGAAACTCACTATTCCGCAGAGTCCATCAAGTAAAACTCTGTTTGCCTTTCCATGAGTTGCTCCTTGGCCGGGTCGTTCCATAATGACTGGATCGCCACGCTGACCTTTGCGTCAATGGTCTGTGGGTTGGTATCGAGGGAGTAATCAATCAAAAAGTCGAGATGTCGCTTGTTCTCGTCCAGTACTGGCTCGATGTCGAACTGGCGCATGGCGCTGGCGACCGATTTGGCGCATTCCAGCAGGTTTTTGAACACGGTGGGTCTGTAATTCTTGAGCTCCTCATGCGAATAACCTTTCAGGTGGATGATTTTCATCTGCTTCACAATAGTTGACTTGCCGCTCTCACCAGAGCCTGCGTGTGTAACAAGTGGTTAGCAAATGGAAAGTCGCGACTTGGCGGCTCGCGCGGCGAAGCAGACAATTGACGTACCAAGCAGTAGAATCTTGCATTCTCGGCGCAGCCGTTTTGAATCTTCCTCCAGATCTCTGTCAATCTTGTTGCTCCTCTTCCGCTGTTCCGATTCCTCCCCGCTCGTGCTCATGCACGACCCCATTGTGACCATGAACCTCCGGGGACGGTCGTTGCGAGTGCTGGATAAGGTCGCGGGCGACAATCGGCTGGCAGTAGAGAGGCTGGCCGCGGCAGTGTCGGCGGCGGCAGCAGCTGAGAAGGCGCGACGGCGGGTTGCTGCCGCTGGCGACGTGGGCGCTCGCTTGTCCTTGGATTTTCCCTAGAAACCCATAGGCGCGGGCGGTCGTGGCTGTTTGCGATGGCTGCGAGGTGCTGGGTGATGGATGGATTGATAGTGTTGGTCGGTGAGGGTGAGGGTTCGGAATGCCGAAATGCCGTGCAGAGAGAAGCCGTCTCTGTTGGGTTCGAGGTTGCCTTGTGCAGGTCGTAGAACTGCCTTGGCCGGGCGGAGAGAGGTGGCCTTGGATCCCGATTGAGAGAGTCGAAGAGGTAGCGATGCAACAACACAAAGACCCGCCTCGGACCCCCTCCCCAGCTTTTGTATGGGGCCTCAATGGAGCCTCGAAGCTCAAGCAAGTCGAGGGTCTGATTCGGCAACAAGGTCAGGCTGGCGATAAAAGGCGAATTGGTGTTGTTTGGGAGGACCAGTCGACCGACCGTGAACTATTGTGTCGCTCCTTCCCTTGGTTGTGTTGTTTTGGTTTCGCTTTCAGTCGGAGCGCTGTCAAACCGTTGACCGTTGCGTTGCGGGAGAACGGGACTAATAAGCCGTCACTTGCACTTGCTCCTGTCCTTATCACGCACTACTCAAGCGTGACTGGTGTCGGTGGGGACAGGCCGAGATGGATTGAAATAGCAAAGGGCGATACAATGCCTGATATCCTCGTTATTTTGTCGAAACCACCTGAGATGGTGATGACAGAAGGAAAACTGGAAATGCAAGCACCTGGAAACGGAAGTGGAAGCTGGCAGAGGACCTGGACGGGAGCACGGAGCACAGACCGGGGAGCCTTGAGGTGGTGGAACTGGAGTTTTTGCTCGCCCTCTTTCGCTTCACCACGCTGGCGCATTTTACGGCACTGTAGCCCAGGCGGCAGCTCCCCAGGGCAATTAGACAGCGCCTGGGGGGAAAACATGGGGTCCCGGGCTCTTCTGACAGGCCAAACATGAGATACCTCGAGATGCGACACACCGCACTGCAAAGAGAAGGTATCGAGTCTTGGTGTTCCAGGGGCCGCATTGGCCACCGTCTCTTCACCACAGGAGAGCCTTGCCGGCCGTGCTCCGTGGCCCACCAGGCTGGTGATGGGAACGGGTCTTGCTGGTAACGCAGATCTGGCCCCACAGAATCACGAAATGGATGCCGTGACAAGTGGGTGCGAGATCCAGCATGGGAGCTCCAGCTCGACGTGCCCATCCATCCAGGTACAGCGTCGTGAGTTCCAAGCCTTGTTGGACGTGTTGAGAGGCCATTGTACTTCCACCGGGTGTGTGTTGGACCGGCCCAACACACGCTCCACCGCAATGAAGCTGTCAACGGGTACCCGTCCAGAAATAGCTGGATGGGGACGATGGATGCAAGTGCTGGTTAGTGCACCGCCAAGGCGCTGTATTAAACCCATTTCAACATCCCTCACAGTCCGCTCCTTCCATTTGCCGTTCTCAGACACTTTTGATTTCCAAACGCGCAGGGGTCATAGATTAGATTGCCTGCTAACCTTCTTCACCGGCTCTCTGCATTATTTGACCTTTTCGTCGACGGGATGAATGCGTTTGTCCTCTGTTGCTGGGTATGGAATGGCAACAATGACGACAAGCAACAAAGGAGTTTGAGAAGAAAGATCTGAGCTGATCAGGGTTCAACCACGTGGTCCCCCTTGCCAGCATCTCACCACTGGATATCAGCCACGGATATCAGCCACGGACCTCTCGCCCCGGCGCCACCAACTACGACCTACACTTACTAGTCAGGAACCACCACACCACTCTCTCAACGCCTCCTCACCCTTTTATCGCGAATCCGCCTCTGAGACTATCCGCTCCCCGGATCGGCCATCGTGCGGTGAAGTGTTGTGGAGATCAGGGAGTTCTTTTTTCACATGGTGTCTCAGAACCCCCTATTGTGTTCAGCCCCCGTTTCGACGTCTCACTCCACAACCAAACCAGGTATGAACCTCAAGATCCCAACTCCCACGTGTCTTTCCTTTTCTCTGCCGCCTTCCCGTGCCCCGGAAAATCCATTTCTCGGAAGCTCACGGACGACAAGATTTCCAAAGCAGGACAAAGATGCAGGGGTGAAGACGATTGGAAAACCGTTTCTTGCAACTTGTGATGCGGGAAGAGCTGTGCCTCGCATTGGCTCGCGACCGACTCGGCTGCCATCGCGCTAGCTTCTCACCTTGGCGTCTACATGCATTGACAGAGACAAGTTGACACTCTGTTACAGTGGCTTCACACTCCTCCCTCTTTTGCATTTTCCGAGCTGCCAGATGCAGACACCGATGCCGAGAACCACAATGCAACCTTGCCAGCCAAGCTTGCGATCGCGAATATGTTTTTGGACAACGTATAGGGCAGAAAAAGAAAACCCTACGGCGCAGTGCTTGGGAGCCCAGCTGAAACAGGCCATTTTCTGCCTTTCATCCATCATCTGCCGTTCACCGCTGGACTTTTGAGTGATCTAAACGCCGCGTCTCCTGCATCCGTCCGCTCGCGCCGGGAGTGCACTGGAAGAGGCAGCGAAGTCAGCAGTCCAATCGGTAGCAAATCCCCCGATGCGCTGTAAGCCCTTGCCGCAAACCTGCACGCCTCGATCTAGGAAATACACCAATCAAATTCTGTGGTAAAAGAGCCAGGAGCCAGAGGGCACTGTCTCATAGGGTTGCTTTTTCCTTCTGCGACTGCATAATTGACGCAGTTATACATGCATAAGGTTGGTTGATGATAGTTGGTGGGTGGTTGACGCAGAAAAGGGGGCAGAAAAGGGGCTTCAGCTGTGGTTTGAAGAGCTGTAGCAACTTAGAGAAATGGGATATTCTATTCGCATCCACCGTCCATGAGGAAGGTAGCCAACAGGAAACTGCAAGTAACCTCCAGCGTAGGATGAGTGACGTACTTGATAGATCGCAAGCATGATCGGTACGGATTATTCAAGACATCCCATAGCACACTTGACCCTCAGAAAAGCCTAGAAGAAGAGCGGCTCGCTGTAACATGTTCAACATTGGATAAACAATTTAGCCCTCACAAACTTAGATACCCCAACTGTCCACCCGCTGCCAACGCCCTTCCCAGAAGCCCCGAAGAAAACCCCGCTGTTCACTCCGCAAAACTAAAGAACCTAACACCGTTTTCCGTGGACAATAGGAAAAAGAGGCTCCTGCATGAGAAACCGCAGCAGGCAGCTAGATAAGCATCGAGTGCGACCTGATGCCCTTTGGCCCCAACTCACTGTTTCATTTTGTTAGCGGAATTGTGCGTCAAACTCAATGGGGCAGAAAGAAAGACTTACTTATAGTCCACCCTGCTGAAGCTCATACTCCTTTGTGCCTCTAGTCCGGCTGGGTCCAAGTTGTGAATGCAAAAGGCCAGGCGCGCTGCTACCTGCGCACCCAGAAACATGGCTTCCTCGAAACCGTTCTTGGTCCATTCCGCCAGATAAGTCGGCAGCGTAGCCAGCTTGATGTTAGTGGGTGTCTGGCTGTGGAAATGATGGCTTGTCTGTAGCTGACCGTCTGCGCCCACAATCTGGCCTTGAAGGCCGCCGGGGACGCCGAGGCTGGCGGCGGTGGTGGCGGCTTGAAGCAACGGGTTGACGCTGCTGCTTGTGGGCAACTGGCCAGTGAATGAACCAGTGGGTGTCTGCGAACCAGTTCCGGAAGGGGTGCCGATGTTTGATGGCAGCTCCGAGGTGAACATGGTGGCAGAGGAAGGGGAGATCAGGTGGCGGGCTTGAAGGGTTTGCATGATATTGTCCTTTAGGCCACGGATGCGCGCTCCGTTGCCGACAAAGACCAGATTTTCCCAGCAACTAGGGCGCATGTACATTTCATCGATGCCCTGTACGGTGTGGTAGATGGTGGTGACAATCCGATCGATTTCCTTGCGGTCCGCAAACAGGAAGCGCTCTAGGCCCACCTCGATATCACGACGGACCCGGCGGGAGATGCGCTCTGTAGCTGGAGCAGCAGCAGGGGGTTGAGCTGCTGCTGGAGGCGCCGCAGTATCAGCAGCAGGTTGCGCTTGCTCTCCTCCTGTCTTCGCGGCAGGTTCATCGGGTGTCGTTCCTGCATCGTCAGTCGACGCTGCAGGGGCAGCACCAGAATCGGCCATCTCGACGTCCTTGGACACCCCGTTCTCTGCTGGAGCGGAGGCTGAGGGAGCCGGTGCTGCAGGGGGCGCAATAGGGACATCCTCAGTCACCAATTCTTCGTAGTGAAATATGGTCTTGGTTCGCTTCGAATTCGGCAGTCTGGCCTTGGCCGCAGCAGCGGCATCGGTCTCCTGCCCCTTGCCCTTTCTGCCAGCCTTTGCCTTCTCCGCCTTGAGCTTTTCCTGTTTCGCCAAAAACTCACGGGTTTGACCGCTGACGACCAGACTGGCCACATCAAGCACGCCTTCCTCATTAACCACCTTCTCATCGCCATCGATACCCAGGTCATCATCAGCGCCCACCACAGTGGTGACAATCTTCGGTCCTTCTGTCGGCGCAGCCGATGATGTCGCTGTTCCGTTGCTGCCAGTCGCGGATCCCCCCTCTGTCGGCAGCTCCATAAGCTCCTTGGACTCGGCGGCATAAGGCAAGACCTCACAGACCGGGCTCTTCTTCAGTTGCTCCGCCATCTCATGATCAAACCCCTGCTCCTTCAGCAGCTCCATCAGCCTCTTGGTAAAGAACTCTCCGCCGCTGATTCCCCTTTTCCTCTCCTCGTCAGCCTTCTCGCTGTCCCTGACATTCCCCGGCCCAACATCATTGTGTCCAACTACCCTCCCTTCATATACACATGTAACGTCCACCTTTTCGAACCCCACATCCACCACTGTCATGTTTGGCCATTTGAGACCGTACTGTGTCGCCAATCCGCTGTGAAGCAGACACAGCGCGGGGGTCTTTGTCTTCTCAAACACGTAGCGCGAAATCACCTCGCAGTCCGCCTTTGTCCACTGCGGACTCGCCATCAGCATGATTGGTGTGTTGTGGTATGTCGTCGTCAAGGCTTGGTGAACGTGTTCGAGAAACGCCAAAAACGCCTCCATGTGCACAATGTGGCCTGCCTGAATCGGATAGATGGCCCCTTCCAGTGAATCAACATCCTCCACCCAGTCAAAATCGTCCTCGCCTTCTCCCTTGACACCGGCCGTGGTCTTGGGTCGCTTGTACGTGTGGAAGGGCCTAAACTGGCCCTCCACTCCTGGGTCAGGAAACATGCGAGTCGGAAACCGGTGCTGTGGTGGTGTGAGCTCGTTGCATCCCATCTGAGCCAGTGTTGTCTGGGAGCCGGGGCAGATGATGAGGACCTGTTCCTCGCGCCATTTGCCAGTTGAGCCAGACATTGTATGTTGTTACCCCCCCTCCTCTTAATTAGATCTGAACTGTAGCTTTGTATCTTGTTCCCTTTCTTGGCCAGCAGATGGGTTCCTCTCGACCGCGGCGTGGGCTTGCGTTCTCAATGGGGGAGTGTAAACCAAGGAGCTAAGGCTGCCGGTCAACAGAATGCAAACATCCAACTCGGGTGGTGGGTATCGAATTGGCGAGAACTAGAATTGGCGGTGCGTCACAAACAATATTCAAATCGCCTGCCTGGTCGAGACGTCGCAGATATTTCAATGCGCCAAAAATCAAAGCTTCGCGCTGTGTTGCAATTTGTGTTGCTGGAGCTGAGCTTCAAATGGTGGGAGAAGGCGCGGCTGCGGGACACAGACTGACAGAGAGGCACGACTCGGAGCGCGTCGTCCTGTGCAAGAGAGCTCTTGAAATTTTGGGTGGGGCGATTATGTAAGTCACATGCCGCCAGCAGTACAACCCCTGAATCGGTGGTGGTTAAGCACACGCTACATTCGGCAGTCTTGAACAGCAACTGGGTGCCGTAGTCTGATTTGTATAATATATTGAAACAGCTTGGTCCCAGCTCTGATGCCTGAGAGTATCATTCATCATGCCTATACTGACCCATCTGAGCCGTAAGTGCCAAAGCCGTAGTTAGGCCACCCCCATAAACATTACTAAATACAGAGATTCCAAGGTATGTCAAAATCGCCCAGTCTCCCAGTCCACTCGTCAAGCTCCCGCTGGCAGTGAACCATGACCCTCTCCACCAAACGCCCAAGATCGATGCGTTGAATTCGCCCAAATCCATCCCAGTTCCACCCAAGTCCTGTAAAACGCCCAGTCATGAAGGTATCAGCCGTTGCAAAGAAAAACCACCAACCCTACCTATTCCGCACATTTCCCCCCAAGTCTCGGCCTCGGCTTAGGCCTGCCGGCTAAACAGAAGAAAGGTGCATGTCCTATGACATACAAACATGACCACCCACGTATGTCCCCTTTCACACTAACAAACGCCATCAAGCGCCGTACCGCCATCCGCTCAAGAAAGAGCGACCGAGCTTCCTTCTGTGCTACCAGAAGGCGAGATTATTCTTAGGGCTTTCGCGCCATTCGCCGCCTTGGTCTCTTCCTGAGGATGTTCAGTGGCGCTGAGAAACTCATTTTCCGTAAGGGGGGTCCGCGGTTCTCTTTCACTCTCCTCTTCCGCCGACGAGGGCAGTTCAATGTTCTGCGGTACCGGTGGGACCTGGTCGCTTTCATGACTCTTTCTCTGTTCCAAGTTGGTCTGGACTGCAATGGCAGTGCTGACCGATGACGAGTTCTTTTGGTGGCGAGGGCTGTTGGGGCGTGAGTCGACTTTGATCGAGTTTTGCTCCTGACCGCTGGTTGAGATGGCTTCGTCGATAGAAACATCGCCAGCAGTATCAACATCCTCGGCGCGGGACGAGATCGAGAGAAATGAGTTGCGAACGGGGCTTCGAAGTGACGACACGTCACCGTACTCAGTTTTGCTACCGCGAGACACACGAGCCGGACTCCTGGCGGGAAGAGGAGGCGGAACTCGTTTTGCGATGGTTACTACATTGGCGCCTTTGGCTTGGATAACCTGGGTGACTTGCGAAGTGCGAATCGACGAACGTGTAGGCTGCGCAGCGGCGGTAGCGACCTCACAGATGATAGGCTCCTCCTCATCCTCTTCGTCATCTTCGTCGTCGGCATCTTCGTCGCGCTCGTCATCCGCCTCTGGGAGAGATCCGGTCGAAGTTGCAGGGGCATTGGCATCCCTAGAAATTGTTTGAGTCTCCTTCTCAGCCACAACCTGCGTTTCCCTCGCCTGCTCTACGAGCTTCTCCTCCTTGACCTCCTGAATTACTTCCATCTCTTTGAACTCTGCAATCTGTGCTGGGGGTACCTCCGAGGAGCGTTTCCGGAGTCTTTCAATGAAGCTTGTGTCAACTTTTGTGTAGTCAACTTCCTCAGGTTCAACAACAGTAGGCAGCTTGTCGGACATCGCGTCTTTCCCGTCATCGCTATTTGCGCGGCTAAAGCTGGTTTCAGCCTGGCTCGTCACGTCCGTCTGAGTGTAGGCATCCGTCACGGCGGTGGCCTGTGTCCTCGACGACATGCAGCTGCCTCGGTTGCTCCTAGAAACGAACGTCTCCATGCTCTGGCGGCTGAACCGAGCAAAGACAGGGCTTGTCGGACTGGGGTGGTATTCGAACTGTGTGCTCGTCGGTCTCAACTTGGAGCCAGCTTCGCGGATCTCGATACCGGCCATTTCAAGGCCTATAACGCCAAAAGGGTCCGGGTCGTTGGCGTCGGGAATGCCGAAGGAGAGGGTCGAAGGTGTCGTCGGGGGCATTCTGGGAATCTCGATGACCGCATCTCCGGGAGCCGGTTGCTGTGCTAGCCACTCAAAAAGGGGCTTGTCAAAATCAGTTCGACCCTCGGCAGCCTTGATGACCTCAAATAAAGGACGCATTTCCGGGATAGTCTTGGGGATGTTGCCAGCAAGGATGTCTAAAACCGAAACATTGGCGCTGTAAAATCTTTCGTTTTCGTTCGTCCGTTCTGTGACCAAGGATCCGTCAAGTGCCACTGCTTGATGCTTTCCCCTAGCCTTCACATACGTCAACACAGTATCACCAATTTCCTTCCACTTGATTTCCGGTTCCGGGCCCTCCATGGCAGTTAACGGCCCCACAGCGAGGCTGACGTCGTCGCCCAGCATCAGTCTCGGGCGGGTGAAGAGCTCCAGGGTCTGGACGCTGTTGATGACCAGAACGCAGTCGTATATGTCGACACCGATCACAAAGCCGAGCTCGGCTGTGTGGAGTATTATTCCAGATGGAGGTGACCATGTTCCATCAGCTTTCCGAGCGGTGATGAGACCAGCGCCACCGGAGCCCGACATCCAGAGGCCGGATCGCATGCAGGAGAAGATGGCGATACCAACGGCATTCTGTATTATTCGAGGCGGGATCTTTTTGGTAGTGTATATCTGTGCAGACTGCGATGGGGGATCGGTAGGTGGTGATACGGTTCGTATTGGTTGCGCTTCTGGAAATTGAAACCCATCGACTAGTTTCCCGTCAGCTTAAATGAATAACCATCCATCTGGAATGCGGCGTAGACCCACAGCAGAACGACTTTAGTATTCTAGCAGCCTTGTCACATTCCTTGTCGAGCGTTGTCGGCCAGTATGTCTCGCGATCGAAACGGGTAGGTGTCTTGCTCGCTGCCGACGATGTGCTGAGACGATGGGCAGGGACGGCGATCTTTCCGGCCCATCCAAAAACTTTCCCAAGAGCCCCCGGTGTTGAAGCCGGGGCATCCGTCACCGCTGTCGATGCCGTCGTCCTGGTGCTGCTGATACTGGCTTGCCTCGGCCGCTCCCACGAGGGGAAAAAGGACGAAACACGCTGCATGGTGGTGGACTGTGGCGAGCTTGACGCCGACCAGGCCTTTCACCAAGCTCGTCTGAATAGGGGAGGGAGGGGGAGACTCGCGAACGGACGATGGTGGGAGTTTTCAATTTGACCCAGGCAAGAACCTGGAAAACCCAACCAGATCCGACCAGTGCCGAACCAAACAATTCCGGGCCAGTCCCGGCAGCCCGACTGCTGTGGACAAGTGACGTGGGCGATGATCACGCCAACCGAGCGCGCAGCTTGGAAAAAGCAACCACCACAAGGGACGCACTGCACAGGAGTTGACGGCCCTGAATGTGCAACCAGGGCTTGGACGGCCGTTAGCGCGGAACCTGGCTTGAAGATTGTATGATGCAAGGCAAGGACATAGGCATGCTCCCGTCCATAGAAGGGAAGATATGCTAGAGGCTTTGGGAACAATCCGACTGCCATGTATGTTCTTCAGTCCTCATGAATATGGAGATCCCATCCAAGCGAACACTGACAATTGTGTGATGCTCAGGAAGAAAGCAGCTGGAGAGGCTTGACCTACTATAGAAGTACTGTCCTAACAATGATTCATGGACTGGGAGGTGCTCCAGGCGCGAGATCACGGACCAGGGTGTTTCTGGGCGGACAAGGATGCTGCAGCCTGGGACCTAGCGCTTCTGCTTGAGTCGTAGCCCCCAAAAACTCTTGGGGCTGTTTGCCAGTCAATGGATGACGAGTGGATGATGGGGGGTTGCAATGCGGATGGCGATGACACTCTCTGCTGCCGGGCCGGTGATTCTCATGCAGAAGCGTTTAATCGCGAGATGGCGGTGCCTGGGATCGCTCGACTGTGAAAAAGCATACAGATCTTGTCATTAATTTGCGTCTGGCTGAGATGGGTCTGATGATGCGGCGGCCATTGAGAGCACGTTCGGGTGTCAGCCGGGCCCTGTGTCGTTTAGGAGCGTCCAATGCCGATCTCTTGATGTCTTGGACTTGCCCTGCGCCGTTCAGAACCAAGTGGGGGGTCGGATTGGGCGGCGACGAGCATGAGCGAGCACGGGCGTGGCTGAAGAGGACAGGAGTATCGCAAGGTCGAGGCAGCCGTATTCAGGAGGGTCGATGTATGTATCAGCTGAGGTGGCAGAAGAAATGGAGAAGGGGGGGATGCAAGACACAGGAGGATGAAGAAGAAGAAAAAAACGCGAAGATGGTGCGAAGAAAGCACGGATGGAGGGGTTTGTATCCGGAGCTTGCAGTTTGCTGCAGTCAGCAAGTGGAATCTAAAGACTTTCCCAGACAACTGGAAGCGACTTAGCAAGCGAGTGCTGAAGCTGCTGGATCCGGAGCGAAATGACGGCGGGACGATATCAAGAAGGCATTCCGGAATGGCTCCATTCTTTTCAGCTTTTGAGAACACCGACGAGTGAGAAGCCAGGTGTGCTCTGGAATTCCTTGGACAAAGAATGGGAGTCCCTGCCAAGTGGTGAATAAGGTTGGGTGGGTGACCATGGTTGGAACATCGCCATTTCACCCGGACGGAGCCCTGCATTGTGCCTTTCATATCACTTGTGAAAAGGTCTGAAAAGTTCTTTTTGTTTTCCTCACCATCGCCCAACAATGTCCCGTTTGTCACCCTTTCATCTGACCGATTTTGCACTTGAACCTCTGAGTTTGATGCGATGTATTTATATTGTTCCCTTCCTGTGGGATGGTGCGTATACATATGCGCAATATGGGATCCCATACCTTGAATGCGGCAGTGGCGGAGGCTGTGAGCTTGATCTTGGATGCGAACTGTGGAGTTTCAATGCGGGCCTGCAAGACAAGCGGGATCCCACATCGAACCGTCCCCACTTTCCAAACTTTTTAGCTGATGCACTGACCACTTTTAGTCCCTGGTTTTGACCCCACTTTGGATCAAGGACAACGGAGACGACATCTCGTTCCTGAGCTCGGTAGGTGTTGGTCGATTTTGAACATCAGCATCTTGCTAAGTTTGATTCGGCATTATTTCAGTTTGCTGATGCAAAACTTGTTTTCTTTTTCTTTTCCTTTTCATTGTGCAGGAATGTTGGAGCTCAAAGTTGCCTGCTTCTGCCCCTCTCTCCACTGAAAACAGCATGGTCACTCCCAACCTCGCCCTCCCCACGAGACACCACCACCAAAGTTTCACATACACATACACGGACACAGGTACAGAAACACAGGCGGAAAATGCAAAATAAATTAAACACAGGGCATGTCCCAAGCGCGGTCAGTCCTCAGCCACATCCGCCTTCATATGCTACTGAATGAATGATCTGCCTGGCCGACCGTTTTCGTCTGCCGTCTGTGCCTTCAGCTCTCGGCCGGTAGTCTCGTTGACCCCGCGCGGTGCGCAGTTGGGTTTGTTCAACCATTGAAACATCCTTGCCTGGAGTGATTGCACGGACCCCAGGATGCCTCGATATTGCTGCCCTCACTTCAGCCCCCTCGCATTGTTTGCTTTTTGATATGCTTCGGTTGGGGCCGGGTTGAATCAGTTGGGTTTCGGTGCATGTTGCGGAGCGACACTGGTCATGAATTGGGTGTTAGTCAGGGGCAATAGGTAGAAGAAAGGGAGCATCTACCCGACTCCAGGAACAGAGTTCAGGCATCAGAGAGCTGTAATCCGTACGAGTAGAGCCCTGAATATTCGCCGATGAGTGTGAAGCATTCTCATGTCTCCCGCTTGTCTTTCCACCTTAAAAAGGCGCCTCGAGCCTTGGTATGCGGGTTATGACTATGTAGGCTGGGTGATTGACAGCATCTTGTCAATACCCCCAATGTCACAATTTCACGATGGCTTACTCAAACAACGGTGCTGCGGCACTGCGTCTGATGCAACCGCAACAGTTTAGAACGGCACGGCACACAACTATTGCTACAACGTTGGGATGACAAAACGATAAGCAGCATATGGGACGAGATGAGAAAGTGGGGGTCGGTAAGTTCTGATACGATCTATGGTTTATCACTCACCTTCGAAACCTCTGGTGCAAGTCATGACGCTCTGTCCCATTGAAAAGTGTGGGAGTCTCATCTCACTCTCTATGCCAGGCACACGCCACAGTCTTCTCGAGAGAAGTGCACCTTCTCGTCAAGCACAGTGATGGATGCCTGCCCTCGGGCTGTTTGACCAACCATTATTGCTGCTTCGAGTGTTACACCACTTCCATGCCTTGAGTAGTGAATAGCAACACGTAGAGGCGGTGCTGGTCTCTGCCCAGTACGCTCAGGTCGCCGCTTACAGGGTGAGTGAGTCAAGGTGTCCCATATCAAGGTGAACAGACATTATCGCCAACAAAGGCGTTGGCGGACTCGAGACTGTCCAAATTGCATGGAATGCTTACCGGTCTCCAAATATCAAACATGATTCCAGTAGGTGCTCTCAACGTCGTGGAATCTGACCAAACACGCCAAAATAAATGACAATTGCTTGCATTCTCTGTGTCTAGACATATTTGTGTAAATGTAGCCATGTTCCGTAACACCTGTCCCCCAAATAAGATACATGAACGCCTGCCTTCCTGAACCAGCCAGTCCCACAACGTCTAATGCTGTATTATGTTGTTCGCTGATGAAAACATCAAGAAAAGAAATAAAGGTACACGTTGTAGGTCTAAGATATTATCGTAAAAGGTCGTGAGGTGTGTGATGTGATTATTTACATCTTTTGAGTGGAGGTCGTGTCGTATGATTGCTGTCGTGGGCTGCTGCCTTGTCACTCCCATGCATCAGACCGAAGGGGCTGGTGAGCCAAAGGAGCTGAACGTGCCCGAAGACGTGGGGCTGGGCGAATCCACTGGGCTGGAAGAACCCGATTGACCCGGAGAACTGTAAGGGCTGGGGTAGGCGGACGTGTTTCCATACTTGATGAACATCGGCCACGGGCCCCCTGAGATCAAAAACCGCTCTAGACCCAGAGAGTCAAAGTTTTCTTTGCACCTCGAAGCAGACTTCTTATACCAGCCCTCAAATCCATCCTCCTGATGTACCGTATTCCAGTCATCGCTGACCACGGGCAGAAAATCCCAAACCTCCCTGGTGCGCGTATAAGCATCACCGCTCTCAATATCGCCTTCCAGGTGAAATCGCTGAAGCGCAGTGAGCTTCTCCTTTAGCCCGGTGAATAACGAGCGCCACCGTCCGTTGTGTAGGTGTATGCCTCCGATACTGAGCTCAAGTGGCTTAGCGAGGCCACGACCGCCAAGTCGGAGTCTCTCGAGTGTGGGGGAGTGGCGGAGTAGGAAGGACTTGAGATCCTCCTCAGAGCATGAGATGCCCTCGAGCTTCAGATCCGTGAGCCTTTTGTAGGTGAAGTCACCGGCAAACAGAGCCCTGAAAGAGAGCTCAAACTTCTCGGCCGGCGCATGATATGTGTGGAAAGCTAGACGCAGGTGTGTGACATTGTTGGCGGACTGAAGGACCCGTCCCAACCCGTTGATCGCTCTGGACCGCGAGGCAGGGCCCATCTGACGGGGAATATCAAGCACCAGATCCAGCCGGGAGAGGCCTGCAAACGTCTGGGCACAGTCGAACCATCGCTGCCGAGCATCTGGATGACGAAAGAGCTCCAGGGGTACTTGATCGATACTCAGAGACTGAAGACGAGCGTGAGGGAGCGCGGAAAGGATGGCATCAAGGTCCTTTGAGGCGCGAAGTCGGTCTTGTTTGCGACAGTGGTGATACGGAAAGACCTGATCAAACAAGTCAATGCCGTACGGGTTCTTGGTGAAGTTGATATCAACGACCTCCAGGTTAGGTAGCCGCTTCAAAGTGGCCTCGAGCATAGACTGGCGAGTGTGTAACGGAGCCACCAGGGTGGCACGCTCTTCGAGCTTGTGATAGCGAGACCAGCCCTCCTGAATGAAGTCATGACCCTCGCGGCGCCTCAGCCACTGATGCAGAGAGGTGGTCTCTTGGGCCCGTCCCACATCTACTTTTGCCAAATGGAAGACCAGTGACCGGGGCTTGCCAAGAAGACGGTCATGGCGAGCAATCGAATGTAGCCTTTGAACATCATCTCTCCATTCTACTACTGCAAAGTGGTCTAGGAGGAGGTAGTCGTATCCTATATCGGCAAATTTTCGTGATGCCAGGCGGAGGGCCGTTACGGTAGGCAGGTCGCAGTATTGGTAGACGATTCGCACCAGCTCGACGGGGAGGAGGTCCATGCTGGAGGTGAAAGGAGCATGGGAGGACGAGATCGGCAAGCACCAGTAGGTCCCATATGATGTAGATGAAGGTGATGGAAGTAGGAGAAGACCAGACAGATATCAGGAATATAAGCCAACCGTAATTCAACGTGGGTGAGGTTATGGCGAATGGCAAAAGTGGCGGGCGAGAAGGGAAAAGGCGGACTTTTGATCTTTATACCGCCAAGCAGAACCGATCTGGCGGGCTGACACCGACACAACAACCTTCACATCCAGATGCAGGGCCCAAAAGATGGCGACCCAGGGGTAAAAAGCAGAAATGGAGTCAAACCGTTCCCTGCCCCTTGCACTAGCACATGCTGCTCGGTTGCCGGTGTTGCAGTTTCCATGGAATGCCGTCTCTTGGGCACGCGAAGGAGGAAAAATTCGACGGGCTTTGACACCGAAACTTTTGGGCAAGAAGTCGGTGAGCTTAAGACAGACAAGGGCGACCACGACGCACACGACAGTTGGATTCGCCAGCCTGGGCTTCCGACAGCGACAGGGGACCAATTGCATCCACAGTTGCATTAGCGGCCTGGTGCAGGCCCATGGATGGATGGCTGGCGGTGTGCAGCCTCTGCCTCTGTGTGACCGAAATGGAGGTGTGATGGAAAAGTCATGGAATGCGCCTCCCGTCACCTAAACGGAGACGCTGACACCACGTGAAAGGTCGCCGATGTGCGTGGTGAGCAAGCATCACCAACTAATGCCACGCCATTCCCGATCTCATCGCCTTCCGCACTTTCCAAACTTATCAAGTTCCCGATCTTATCAGAAGTCTTGGTGTTGTGGTGGAGTTGCTGTCTCTAACGAACGGAGCAGTACTGATGTCTCTCCTGCCGTTTGTTGCACAAGGCCGGAATGGTGGGATGGACACCTACCTACCTACTGTACCTCTTCCTCTTTCAATGGCTCGTGAGCCCTGAGAACACGGGGCATGAGTCCAGCAACCTATCCAATCCACTGGTGCTGACGAAAGCATGCCTTGGTCATATGTATCCATCAACAGTAACCTGATCATGATGCGTTACATGTAGCCACTTGCCCCTCTTTTGCGTTTAAAGTATGATTGATGAAGAAAACCGCCAGACAGACCGCACTTTGCCGCTAATAAAGTTAGGAATCTTGAAACAAAAAGGCGGACATCGACAGCAGAGGACGTTCCACAGTGACAGTCCCGCTCCTTGGGCCGTCTCGATGTCTCACCTCTGGCTCGACGCTTGTGTCCACGCACACCGAAGATGCCGCTGTTCTCTCACCTTTCCACCCACGGGTGTGTAGTGGAGGGATCTCAATCAAGGTCCAGTCAGGTCAAGGTTTCTATTATTTCTTGTGTGCCGTCGGAACACTAGACAAGACCCGGTTGGTGGTTTTAGTCCGAAAAGTGTGTTGATTGCATGAGATGTCCCAAGGCGATGCAGCCTCATTCAGAACTTGCGTCCGTATCAGGGTGTTAGACTGTTTTAATATCAGTCGGGTACCATCTCCAGCTTACAGACCTGGTGTACTGCCTGCTCACGGCCCCTGGATCGATGGGCCTATTTGGACCGCGGAGAATACATAACGAGGTATTCTTCATCTAAAGGTGAAAGCTGCTGCATGTCACACCGAATCCCCAACCCGCCCGGCGGTGAGGCGGGCTGCCAGGCACCCCCACTCGCGGCTCCGTGGCGGGGTCTAGGCACGGATCACACGCCCGCTTTTTGCGTCTCCTCTTTGGTGTTTGAAGGCAGTTGTGGCCTCTCCAGCCCACTTCACACACCACCTCCATCAGCTCAACTGAAAGTGCTGGGGCGTGTCCGGGCTTCTTGCCTGCATAGCCAACTGTCGATTTCAAGGGAGTCCAGTCAACCCTTCTGCAAGACAGGCACCTACCCCGCGATATTATTACACAGCCTCAAGCTTGAAATGTCGAAATGACCCATCAGCAACGAGGGACCAAGACGCCCCGCTCAAAAAACATAAGCCTTTTTGCCCACAAACCCAGCATGGTATTGCTATTCCAGCCTTGTGCCACGCCACAGCCGTCCGAATGGGCTTTCCAGACCTGATGGGTTCCTCGACAGCCCATCGCGGCGCGCGAAAGAGCAATAAAGTCCCGGCCGCAAACACTCCCCTCGAGATGACACCGGCAGCTAGAACTCCAAAGGATGCTGTCAGCCATGCTCTTCCAGAGTATATCGCAGAAGAGGAACATCTGAGGCCCCTTGGCGAGACAGCACCCGACCTGCGAGAGCTGAATGCCTGTCTCGACGCACTGGCAGCCGTCTTCCCCGACATCCAAATCGAAGTATTCCGAGAACTGTTGACCAACTTTGACGGAGAATCTAGGCTTGCTCTCGCTGCCGACGCTTTGCTCAAGAATCGTGCCGTCTGGGTGAAAGGCCGCTGGAGGATTGACAAGGACGGACCAGACGGTATGGCTGCCAAAGAACACCAGCAAAGGCCCGGCCAGAATGCCGCAGATATCAATCGAAGGTTCGAGCGCGTGCCACCGACCGAAGTCTTTAGAAGCCATGAGTACAGAGCTGCCGTGGAGAATCTGGGCCTGCAGGAATTCAAAGGCTTGCAGCGATCAACCATCAAAGCCGTCCTGGCTGAGCATAACTACTCCTACCTAGAAGCCCGAGAGACTCTCGTGGGGTTGGCATCCAAGTCGTGGCGCTTCACTATCTCTTCCTTATTCCGGGGACGCAAAGTTATCTCGGCTGCTGTGGCGGCCCAACACCCCCTGATCATCTATAAATCAACTGGCCAAGGGTCTATCGTCCCGACTATCAAGGCTACCGGAAGCGCTGAGCTCGACAGGGAGCTGTATGATGCCCTTATTGTGCCACTGAAAACGAAGCAGCGAGCTGAACGCGAAGCGAAGGATCACGAGTTGGCCGTAGCCATGAACAACGCCGAAGCCGAGGAGACAGACAATCTGCTGGAGTGCGTTTGCTGCTATACCGAGTCTGTCTTCGAGGAGTTCACTTCTTGTAGTGCAAACGGGCACATGATCTGCTTTCGTTGTGTACAGCACACACTCACAGAAGCCATCTTTGGCCAAGGTTGGCAGCGCAGCATTGACCCAAACACAGGAACCCTCCGGTGCCCAGCCGCCGAATCAACAGAGTGTGCCGGATGCATTCCATCACATCACTTACACCGGGCGCTGATGGAAGATAAGACCGGCCCTGAGAAGCTTCACAAACTGGACCAGCGACTCGCCGATAATTCTCTGGCTGCGACCGGTCTGCCGATAATCCACTGCCCCTTTTGCTCCTACGCCGAGGTAGACGATATTTACCACCCTGAGACTGAAACTCAGCTCAGGCCCCGTTCTGTCAACATCTGGAATATCATCCTTGTCGTCGCATGCCTCTTCACCGTCCCCTTCCTGGCCCCGCTGGCTCTTCTGGTGGCTTTTATCATATTCCTGCTCTTCATCTCCCACCAAACCTTCGGCACCAGCGTCATGGCTGAGCTCCGCGCTGCTCGTCAACGCCAACGCCGCCGCCGTCGCGGTCTCCGCTTTACGTGTCAGAACCCTCTCTGCGGCCGCGCCTCCTGTCTGCTGTGCAATAAGGCGTGGAAGGATGTTCATGTATGCAATGAGTCCAGCCTTGTCGCTCTCCGAACGCAGGTGGAGCAGGCAATGAGCTTGGCCATCAAACGGGTGTGTCCCAAATGCAACACTGGGTTTGTCAAGACCTCGGGCTGCAACAAGCTGACCTGCCCGTGCGGGTACAAGATGTGCTACGTCTGCCGCAAGGACATTGGGAACGGCGCGTCGACGCAGGATGTCGGCTATCAACATTTTTGTCAGCATTTCCGGCCACAGGGCGATGGGACAAAATGCAAAGAATGCACAAAGTGTAATTTGTGGGAAAAGGAGGACGAGGAGGCGGTGCTGGACGCTGCGAGGAAGGAGGCAGAAAGGAAATGGATGGAAGCGGAGAAGAGGGAGCTCTCTGGACCAGAGCAGACATATTTGACCGGGGGGGTGGCGGTGAACTCAACGAGGACGGGGGCTGTGGTCTTGGGGGACTTGCTGAAACGTGGGAGATGGCCCACAATGGGGGAGGTTTGTGATGTTTTGGTTGAGCAGTTTTTGAACCCTTGAGTTGTGAGTAAACAAGACGGAAGGGCATTCCAATGTAAACTGGAGACCATGTCAAGACGCAGTGTGATAGCGGAATGAAGGCTCTATTGGATATCGTACCAAGTAAAATGATAATGACGGAAACAGTCCCGTTTTGTGTGCCCATCTCGCCGAGACCATCAACACCTGCAAAATATATATACCTGATTGTACTGTCCATCCCAACTAATTGCTCCATAGGAGTTCTTCTCACCAGTCAAAGCGCGTGCACACACACACACACACGCACGCACTGAGCCACACCAGTTTTTATTCCCACAAAGCCACGATCCACCGTTTGATTGCCACCAGCACTCAACCGAGCCAGAAGTTAAAATGCTAGAGTAAACCGCGAGTAGATCAGGACATCGCGAATCCTCTTTTCTTCTGGCCTCCTACTTTTTGACCAACCCGACACACTACTACTGCCCCCTAAACTCATGAAAATGAAGGAAACAAATGACGAGAGAAGAGGTATATTAAGAGACATAATGACCCGACACAGTTCGTGCTTCATAGTCGCCAACCACGCAAACCACCCAACCCAGCAAAGAAAACAAAAAGGTCGCTTCGCTTTGAATCACAGACAAAACCAATAACAATATCCTTCCCGTGCCCCGTTTCGTCCATCCGGGTTGCCGGCTACCCATTAGAAAAAAAAAGCCAGCCCGGTGCATTTCCCGTTTCCCCACGTGTCGCTAGTACTTTTTATCTCGAAAAGGACCACAGAACCAAGAGAAGCAAGAAGAGGAGACTGACGCCAAGATCGGGAATAACAAGAACGGAACCCAGGGCCTAAAGCTGTACGTTTTATGCCATCCCTCGAACCCATCTAAACCAAGCCGGAGAGCTAATAAAAATCAAGCCGAGCAGAGCCCGTGGGCCAGACGTTTTGCTATGGCGCGGTCACTTCGATCTTTGTATCCTCCTCCATTGACTCTGGTAACGTCTCGTTGGCTGTCTCAAGGGCAGTCTCCGCCGCGGGGTTGACAACCGGTTCGGGAATGGGAACGATTTGAATGGAAACGGGTTGGGGAAGAGTTTCTTCCTGCTGATGATCCTGCTGTTCAAAGACAATCGGTTGCTCTGGTTCTTCTACCCTTGGCTTCTTGGCAGCTCGGCCGTCCTCGAATGTGTGATCCCGGGAATCCCTGGCTTCCTTGAGCTCAACTTCGAGTTCATCTAGGCGCCGCTTAAGCATGTTTTCCCTGCGGTGGCTTTCCTCCAGCTCGTTTTGCAACTGCGCATGCGCAGCATTGAGGGCTTCGGCTTGAACAGTCGCGACCTCGAGTTGGGCGGTCAAGGTTTCGTTCTGGCTTCGAGCCTGGTTGAGGGCATCTGTCAGAGCATCCATTTGTGCGCGGAGCTGGGCATCCGAATCAGAGCCGCCATTCTCTGGCTGCTGTCGAGCTTGCGCTTGCAGCTGTTGCTGTTCTTGTTCGAGTTGTTGGATTCGTCCACGGTACAATTCTTGAATGACCTCGAGTTCGCTCACACGCGTCCTCAGCTGCGAATTCTCGTCATGTCCCTGAGGCATATCTGTGCGCTCGCCATTCAGGGGTGAAGCATGGCCACCAGGCCCGCTGGCGACTTGAAACCCGGACAGCTGTTGCGCCTGAAACTGTTCATCTTGATTTCCGTACATCGGCGCCATGTGCGGGTTATACATGTTCGGTGTTCCGGTGCGTGAAATGGGGGAGTTTGTGTCGTCCATGTGGCCATTGGTCGATTTTTGCGACGGTCCGCGGGCGCCATTCCCATTGGCAAGGTCAGCGCCGTTCACGTCGGCGCCAGCGGGGAGAGCTTGGTTTTGTTGCGCCTGGGTGGGGATGCGGTTAGTGATTTGGTGGCTGGACACCTCCTGCGCTTCAATTGCGTACCTTTTTCTGCTTTGCAAGATCAGGGCGCATAGTCTTGACGCGATTGCGGCTCTTGATAACGTCGGTCTTGAGGGAGCTAGGCCGAGGTCGGCCATGCAGTTTGAGAAAGAGACCGCAGGCATTGCAGAGGACGGCGCCGTGCTCGTCGCGTCTCCATAGCGGCGTGGTCGAGGTACCGCAGTTCTGGCATGTGGGCTGTGTTGATTCACGGTCATGGTTAGCCATGGTTGCCATGATGGCGGTGCGCTCCAAGGCGATTTGACGAAAGAAAGGGGCAGAGCGATTAGATCGTGACGATAAGGCGCCTTGATAAATGCGAGGGAGGGATAGATATGGGAGGTGGAGGAGGGATGATAAGAAGATGATAAGGAAATTTTTGAACGGATCCCAAGTGTGGGGCACCAGTGATAACACAATCGCTTTTTGGGCGACCGATCGATCTGCAGACAGCGCGGGAGCCAGTGTGGGTTGGGGGCTTAGATAAGCGCAACCCCACCAGATTTTTTCACCCTGATGACATCGTGAAGAGCCAATTGGAGGGGAAAAGGGCGGCCAACAATGGACATGGGTTCCGTCCGACTCTCCCTCTACCCCTGCGTCCTTGGATTGATTCGCAAACCCCTCTGCAAGCACTACAATCGGGCCTCGGTGATGGATTGTCGAGATCGTCTATGCCACATGGGTGGAGTTGACGAGCAAACAAAGTGTGAATCTGAACGTACCAAGTTACCACCCGGGCCAGGATGGGTGCTCGCAGGCGACGTTCTAGGAGGCATCGCAGGCGCGATCGCAACAGGCCTGAGCGAAGCAAACGCGTTAGTCAAGTTAGTTCCATAAACAAGCAAGCAAGCAGTGACAGCTACGGACTGGATGAACCGGAGTCACAATGGCCTGCAACGAATACAGTTCGAATGCGCGTCTCCAGCAGCTCCATGCGCCACAAAGAAAAATAACACTGACCTAGGCTGCTGTATCTGAGGGGTGCCCGTACCAGGGGCGAATGTAGAGACACCCGGGAGCGGGTTCAAGGGCGTACTGCCAGAGGCTGTACTAGGCGCATCCGGGTGCGTCGCTGCCAGGCTCGGAGAAGTAGGCCGCGCCTCGGGCTCAGGAGCTGAGGGCAATGGTGGCCCCGATGACAGGCCTTCGGTGGCCGCGCTTTCGTCCATCTTCCAGTCAGGATGGAAGGGGATTTGCTGATTGATATCCGGGGGTGGCGTCGGCTCCGGGTGCAAAGGGGAGAGATGGGGAGGCTGTAATTGCGCCAGTTTGATCGAGGTCGTGAGAAACACTGTGCGCCGTTGAGAGGTCGCGGTCGCGAAAGAAACTTGGAGGGGCGTCGACGGAAGACTGCGGAAGGAGACAGGTTTCCCGGGGCCGGGCGGTCGGGGGAGCCGGGAAAAGAAGCGGTGCCGCACAGCGATTCGATCGGCAGTCGTGCTAAGGGCAGTGCAATGGATCGGAGCATGCGAGATGGGGGGCGCGAGAGGCAGTGGTGAATTCGCCAAACACGCGTGACGGGTGCCAACAATTGCAAAGGGAAGCGGTAGGCGGCAAAAGCGGACAAAGACTGGAGAATTCCTCGTTCTCTCTCGATCTAAGACATTACAATACTAATCAGTCTTTTTGCGCAAGGCAAACGAGGGAAAAAGCCGACATGGGGAATAAACAGAACGAACAATACAAGAACAAATCCCCTTTTCCAGTGCAGGACGATCGAGCCTCGACTTGTAGGTTCCTGTGTTACGACACGGAATTACACAGTAGCGCTAATCCAAATCTTTTTGAGTGGCTAGGGACCGACCGCTATATTTGGACGCTTGGCACGCTGATTGGCTTGCTTTGCAGCTTATCGTCCAGCAGAGCCTCGAAATAACCTACACTGTAGGTAGTGATCAAATAGTATTTGGGAGTCACATCTGAAGGGATATCCAAATAACACTTGTGATCATGTCTATGCTTTCATCCCCCTTAGGAGCGCAAAACGAGATCCCATCTATAAGTCTATACATAATACTAAGGTGAGGCTTTTCTCCTGATCCTTCCTTCACTTGTCTACATGGCAGACCCTGGAAGCAAGGTGAGACCAAGTTTAGCAGATAAGATACGAGATAGGAGCTTGGCGATAAGAAGCAACCAGCGACCCCAATGTCCATGGTGGTTTGTACTGTGTGCCAGTATCCATTATAGCACGTCAAAAACACCATACTTGGCGCATGAAGAACCGCAAGCGTTATGGTTCCTGAGCTGAATTCAATGATTGATCAAGACAGTTCATGACCAGTCAAAAGCCGGCCGCCAAGTGGCAGGACAAGCCGTCAGCTGGTCGAGCTTTGACATGTGTGCCCCACTTTCTGGCCTGCAAGGTACTGTGCTCCAAAAATTTCCATCGAAGAAAAGACAAGCCAGGATATTTCCAACATCAACAAACCGCAAATCTCGAGTCGCAGCACGGCACGTTCTTTGACATTGGCAGTAATTGTTACCACCATAAATCAGTACTTCACCACGTCTGCCTTGAATTAAAAGGATTCGCCGAATTTCTTTGCGACAATATGCCATCGACACACAAGAAGGAGAAGCCATGGGATACCGACGACGTTGACAAATGGAAGGTCGACCCGTTCACCAAGGAGGATTCGTCTGGCGCATTCCTGGAGGAATCTTCATTCATGACACTATTTCCCAAGTACCGTGAGCGCTATCTGAAGGATTCTTGGCCGCTCGTCACCAAGTCCCTGGAGAAATACGGCATTGATGCAGTTCTGGATCTTATTGAGGGTTCCATGACTGTCAAGACGACCCGAAAGGTGAGCAACCACGTCTTCAATCAACTTTACTATTATACCAGACACTGACCAGTCACATCTAGACATACGACCCTGCTGCTATTCTTAACGCGAGAGACTTGATCAAACTTTTGGCGCGGTCGGTTCCAGCACCCCAGGCAATCAAGATTTTGGAGGACGGAATGGCGTGCGATATCATCAAAATTCGCAGCATGGTACGGAATAAGGAGCGGTTTGTCAAGAGGCGGCAACGTATTCTGGGACAGAATGGCACCAGTACGTTTTGTGCACGGTTTTTTTCACCTACGGCAGCCCACAGCTGACACACGTTACAGCATTGAAAGCGCTAGAACTTCTTACCCAGACCTATATCTTGGTCCATGGTAACACAGTATCAGTGATGGGTCCATTCAAAGGGCTCAAGGAAGTAAGAAGGGTCGTGGAGGATACCATGCAAAATGTGCATCCTATTTACCTGATCAAGGAACTAATGTAAGCTGGTCCTCTTCGCCCACACACTGAACAAATTCACTGACGGTGTCTAGGATCAAGAGAGAGCTGGCCAAGGATCCCGCCCTGGCACAGGAAGACTGGAGCCGGTACCTACCAAACTTCAAGAAGCGCACATTGTCCAAGAGACACAAGCCACATGTCGTCACGGACAAGTCCAAGAAAACATACACGCCATTCCCCCCTGCACCCGAGAAGAGCAAGGTCGACCTGCAGATCGAGAGTGGCGAGTACTTTTTGGGCAAGGAGGCGAAGCAACGGATGGCCGAGCAAGAGCGCGCGGAGAAGTCGAAGCAGAAGAAGGAGGAAAAGAAGCGAGAACGCGAGAAGGAGTATGTGCCGCCGGAGGAAAGTGCTTCCAAGTCCAAGAAGAGAAAAACATCGCGCGATTGAGGTTGAGTGGCGGAGGGAAAGGGAGTTGTAATGGAGACCTGTCAATCTGGATGTTCGAATCCAGAGCCCATGATACCCAAAGCAGGGCCTGATGCTGACTGAGTTGGCGCAAATCTTCTGCTTTTGTGACTTTTTTTTGCTTTGAGGACAGCGATCATCTTTTGGTTGGCGAGTTTGGAAAAGGAACCGAGGCACTGGCGTCATCGGTTTCCATATCCGTTGGTGCGGGGGAACGTGGGGAAGGCGGATCCGGGCCCGAACTCCTTAGCGCCGGGATTCGATTTCTTAAAGGGACGACACCCAGTGGCTCATCAAGGTTGACCCCTTTCGTTACTACTGACTGCATTTATGTACATTAATTGATATCTCGACTTAAGGTGATTCATCACATTCACCATGCCTCAAAATCAGAGCCTCACCATCAAGCCTATCGAAGGTGGAAAGCCGGGCAAGGTCTATTATCCGTGAGTTTTGGCGTTCCCATGCAACTCGCTCACCAAGTATTAATAAGCTTGAAGCCTTCACCTCAACACATCACCTGTTCCCACGCCCGGACCGGGCCAGGTGCTCGTCAAAGTGCAGGCCAGCGCTCTCAACCACCGCGACCTCTTCATCCGCCAGCACCTCTACCCCGGCATCTCCTTTTCTGCCCCTTTGCTAGCCGATGGTTATGGAACTGTGGTTTCACCAAGCTCATCACCGTTGTACAACAAGCCCGTCTTGGTCACACCCTCGCGCGGCTGGATTTCATCCCCTGACGGCCCGGAACCCATTCCTGCGACGGAAACCAACAGGGAGGAAAAGGAATGGAGTGTAATCGGCGGGTCGGCTCGTTATTCTGATCAAGGAACGGCTCAAAGCTTCATCGTGGTGCCCGAGGAGGAGGTATTTCCTGCTCCGGGCCACTTGACATCCGCGGAAGGGGCTGCGCTGCCTTTGGCTGGGCTGACGGCGTGGAGAGCGCTGATCACAAAGGGGGAGGCCGAAAGAGGTCAGAATGTGTTGGTCACGGGGATTGGCGGAGGTGTCGCGCTCGCGGCTTTGCAGTTTGCGGTGAAGAAGGGGTGCAATGTTTATGTTACTTCGTCGTCGCAGGAAAAGATCAACAAGGCGTTGGAAATGGGCGCCAAGGGTGGGGTGTTGTATACTGAGGCGACTTGGGAAAAGACACTGCTGAAGCAGCTGCCCAAGACAAGGCCGTTTATCGATGTCATTGTCGACGGGTCGGGAGGAGATATTGTTGCCAAAGGAATCAAGATGCTAAAGCAGGGAGGCAAGATTGTGGTGTATGGGATGACAGTGGGACCGAAGATGGAGTGGAACATGAATGCCGTGTTAAAAAATATTGAGTTGAGAGGCACGAGCATGGGCAGCAGGGCTGAGTTTGGGGACATGGTCAAGTTTGTGGACGAGAACAAAATCAAGCCGGTTGTCAGCCGGGTTGTGAGCGGTGGGTTGGAGAACATCCAGGGCATCGATGGGCTGTTTGAGGATCTCAAGGGTGGCAAGCAGTTTGGCAAATTGGTCATCCTGGTAGACGGAGAGGAAGAAGGGGCGAGGTCACCCAAGTTGTAGGGATGTGTGCAACTTTTCTGTATCAATCTCTAGCCTTTTTGCTGATGATTTATGCTGAGCTCAGCTCTTGAAACGCTCGCGACTTTTGTTTCCCTAATGTTCAGGCAACCTTCCTTCAAATCGTCCCACTACTTACTATCCCCATTATCAAGAGAATGAATCGCCGCGGCGACACCCACCCACTCCTCCAGACTCCTTACATACCCATCCGCGGCTGCGTCAGCTAAGCTTTCATGACCCCAGACCACTACCTCGTCAAACTCAGCTTGCACCTCCAGTTTCCCGTGGCTATCTTTCTCGAGATCTATCACATCTGCCTTTCCGTTCTGATCTGGTAATGATGAGATGGCAACAACACCTTTGTATCCTTCTGGCAATGCGACGGGCTTGCCTCTTAGCTTGCGGCCGCGGAAATAGGCTTCTTTGATGCCTGCAGAGAATGTTAGTCATGGATGAATAAGACCTGGAAAATGCTAGAGGGCATACCTGTTGATGATGTTGATGTTTGTGGGTCCCAGAAGGACTGTGTTGGTTCGACTGGCCCGGTATGATGGATTTTGCAAGGGAGAAGGTGGACCGTCGTTCTCTTTGGCGAAGAGGAGGCAGAGCCAATGTCAAGAATTGGTTGCGATGTTCCCATTTTGTAGATTCGATCAAAGAAGGATGAGATGGATATCCTTTCTGGTGTCTTTGAGTGGGATGAGTTGAAAGGAGCGCGTCAACAACGGAGAGTTTAATTGAAACGCGATTGGAGACGCGTCGCATGTCCACCAAGGTTCTCAGGTGGGGCGCCCTGACCCTAACCCGGCCGCGCATTTGATGCCCCTGACACAGTTCCGCCATCAACGTGAAAGACAAACTGGTTCCAACACAGGAGATTAAATATTTTGATTGATCTCAGTTACATATGAGTAAACTCTGTCTTGCACTCACACAGGACACTGAATATTGGCGGGCTTGCGGCAGTGAAGAACGACAGGGGTGATGTGATGATGTGATATAGCCCTCAACAGATATGAGACGAGCAGTTCATACTGAGAAGTGGCCCTTCCAATTATTTTACAAGATGGGCTTGAAAAGCTATCCTTCCATTTGCCTCCTGTGACAGTATATCGACCCGCCACCTTAGCAAAACCCCTTCTCCGCCGACACGAACCCCATTTAATATGTTTGGTGGTGACACGTTCGATATATCGTGCATGTTTCTCCAAGAGCGGGCAAGGTCTCGCTTTGTGTCGGTATTCTTCAAGTGATCGCATTCCTCTGCTGTTCATGGCGGCCACATGCGGTTCGCGATGAGTGTCTTCGGAAGAATAATACCATAATATCAGTGGCCTTAACAGACTGGGTCATTTCCTGTCAATCGTCAAAGGCGGTCCAGATAAGTTAGGACACTCCTGTCAGGCTGGGGACAGCCTTACATTCTGTTTCCAGCATTGACACTTCCAACAGCCAGCGTCAACTGGTGATCTACAGATGATGTCTTTCATATTCCGTGGCCATTCACTTTCTCTTCGACTTTTTGCCCTTCCCTGCTTTGTTCGGCTTCTGTTTGGTCTTGACATCTTCCGGATATCGGTTCGCGTGCTCCATGTCGAAGGCCGGCTTGTGTTTTCGAAACAACAGCATGGCCACCCTTGCGTCTTCGATACTGCTGTGCTGGCCCGTTTGGATCTCCAACCCCAGAATTTCCTTCGCCAGTGCTTTCAAAGCAGGCTTGGGTCCGTTCCCGTACTTCTTGAACCCCGAAAACTTGGCTGTATCCCGTATCATCTTCATTGGATGATCAAGGTCAAGACACTTGAGATCATGCTTGACATCGTGACCGACAACTATCCTGCCTTTTAAAAGCTCGGCTACTTCAGCCTGAACTTCAGAAAACGGCCGGGCATCCCTCATGTGTTTTGGCGCGATGCCAGACACGGCAGTTCGCCAATCCGTGACCTTTTCGCGCTGGAGAACGTAGGAGTCGTAGATTTGGGTGCCATGGAAATCAGTTATTGAGACACGGGCGAGGGAAGAGTCAACGCCACCGGGACCGAATCCGACCATTTCGCAGTCTATCGCCAGGTATTTCGTCCTATCCAATGAAGCTGTTGGGGAGAGGCCCTGGTTGGGGTGGCTGGGCAAAGAGGACAGGAGGGTGGGGGAAATAGTGAGGTTGTAAGCTTCCGACAGTGACTCCTGGGAGATGCCATGGTTTTGCCTCAGAAACTGAATAGATGGTTGGTTCGTGAGAGGGGCCGTCGAGGTGACTGGTTGAGAAGAGACAGCGCCCATTTTTTCCGTTGAACTGGTTGCCGAGGTCGTATTTGTTGGTTGTTTCTTCGGGAAGGAGGATGTTCTGGTCCTTTTATTTTTCGGCTTTGAGTCTTGATCATCAGATGCTGACTTCCTCTTCTTATTGTTGGCAGGGGCTGAGGGACTGGCTGAGGCTGATGAAGAGGATGCTGGTTTTGAAGCAGATCCAGCTTTGAGGCGTGCTTGCAGAATCTTCCAATTCGATGAGAGTTCTGGGGCCATGATGGCGGATTCGAGAGTTGGTAATGTTATTTCAGGAGCATCCAGTCGGGATTTATGAACCTCGACAGTATTGATGATGTTCTAGGTGTTGGAGTTAAGTGAGGATAAATACATTGAGATTTGCACCATGAACGAAAGTGGACCAGTGAGGTGAAGTTTCGAAGGGGTTAGGGTTGGCACCGCGCCTGCTTGAGATTTAAGCCAGGGACTTTTTGAGCAACAGCCGCAGCCATCAAGGTGCCTGACATGGATTGTTCTGGGCCACTGGCGTGGCGCCAGAAATTGTGGACCGTGCCCCAGAAGTCCATCTTTTGGAGGGGCAATTAATTCACTGCAACAGCTCTCAAATCCTAAGCTGAACTGCAATCGAGTACTTCGTAGCCGAGTCGCATCACGACGCCCATTAACTTCCCATCAATCTCCGACAGCGCGCATCGAAATTCATCATGAGTCCTAGCGGAGAAGCAACCGCCGGCCGCGATGAGCCACGGAAAAAGGGTATCGCGACAGCAGACACTCTTGTGTAGGGATTGCTCCTTGTTCATATGTGTGTCGCATTCGTGGCTGGCTGTACTGACATCTTTCGACAGCGCTGGATGTGTCGCTTATGTTACAAAAGATGGCGAACCGCGTCGCGCAACCATTCTGGGCATCAGGGAGACAAAAAGTGGGCGCCAATGGTATGCAAACTTCGACAGCTTTAACAAACGTCTCGACGAGTGGGTGCCGCAAGCAAGGATAAACTTCGACAAGGAGGTCGAGTGGCCGAACCCCGAAAAGGATAAACCAAAGGACCCAAAGAGCAAGAAGACAACTGCCGCAACATCCAAGAAGTCACAACCGTCGAAGAAGAACCAGAAACGAGTCAGTAAAAGGGAACAGTCGGTTGCATCCGAAGGCCAGACGCCACACCCCTGGACGGAATATGTCGAGAATGGGCAACACAAGGATAAGAATCAGGAGACGGAGGAGAAATCCATGGGGAGTTTGGAAGTGGGAGGAACACCTGGCGTTCTTGGACCAGACGAAATGGAAATCGACGAAGACGAGACACCAGCCGGCGCAGCCAAAAAGGACAGCCTCGGCCCTTTTAGTCGTCAGCAAGAGATTGAAAAACTCCGGACGTCAGGGTCCATGACTCAAAATCCAGCTGAAGTATCACGGATCCGAAATATCTCACAAGTCGAGTTTGGACGGTACGTGTTGTTTCCATGGTACTTTTCGCCATACCCCGAAGTGTTCAGCCAGGAGGAGTCCATTTTCATCTGCGAGTTCTGCCTGAGCTACTACGCGGACATGAAATCTTTCTCAAGACATCGGCAGAAGTGCACACTTCAACACCCCCCGGGAAACGAGATCTATCGGGACGACTTTGTGTCATTCTTTGAGATAGATGGCAGGAGGCAGCGAACGTGGTGTCGGAACCTGTGTTTGTTGTCAAAGATGTTTCTTGATCACAAGACACTTTACTATGATGTCGACCCATTCTTGTTCTACGTCATGACGACGAGAGACGAGCGAGGGTGTCATCTTATTGGATATTTTTCCAAGGAAAAGGAAAGTACGGACGGTTACAACGTTGCGTGTATTTTGACGCTCCCACAGTATCAGCGGAAAGGCTATGGTCGTCTTCTGATCCAGTTCTCGTACGAACTTTCCAAGATTGAGGGCAAACTTGGATCACCGGAAAAGCCGCTCTCAGATTTGGGTTTGCTGAGTTACCGCCAGTACTGGTCAGAAAACATCATCGACCTGCTGCTTGGCTTTAGCGAGAGAGATGAGAAGTGCACCATCGAAACCATTGCACAGCACCTTGCCATGACGGCGACCGACGTTGAGCATACCCTTCAGGCACTAAAGATGCAGGTCTACCATAAGGGTGAGCACAAGATCGTGCTGTCGGACAAGCTGGTGGAACAGCGGGCCAAGAGCAGAGCGAAACAAAAGAGACTGATTGATCCTGAACGGATCCAGTGGAAGCCACCCGTGTTTACAGCATCATCAAGAACTTGGGGTTGGTAGGATGATCCCAAACTTAGACTTATGTGGTTAGGGGTAGGCTCAATGGGAAACGAGGGCTTGCCAGTTCAACTTATTCTTGAGAGCGTACCAGCTGCAACTTTGGAAATACTTTTGGCACCCTCTCGACAGGAAAAACAGTCAGTCTACGCGACTCGACTTTCTGAACGCGAGGAAATGGACTGGTCAGAGTAGTAGAGAGGACACGCTGTGTAAAATAGGTAATGTAGATGATTATACGACAACCAATGATGACGGTATACGCATGTATTGAGTACCGTGTGCAGATTATATGCATATCTTCATAACGGGGCAATTAAACAGGCCCCCACACTCGCGCTACCCCTTTTTTACTAAATCGCGTGTCTCGCGTTTTCTCGCGTTTCTATTGACTCGGTGGATCTTCCGTCTCTATCCCTGACAACGCAACTTCTTTGCGACAATCTTTCATCCCAGTCAATTTTCCCCGCCTGGTTTTGGTCGCATTTACAACCAAACAACCCAACGAGCCACTACTTCAGCTGTGTCTCTTACACCGGCTGTAAAGAGACGATAGACGATTCCACTTGTACGAGAAACGAATTCAATAATAACGAAAAATGGCAACACCATCAGCCTCCAGTGATGCTGGGTTCATGATGTCGGATGGTCTTTCGAGGACACCCCGCGCCGGCGGGAGACAACAGTTCCCTTCCAGCGGGAGACCTCTTCCTTCGGAAAGTCTGGGTGCGCCCAGCGACGATGAAGGTGGTGGCGGTGGTGATGGCTTTGCAGACGATCAGGTTCCAGTGAGAGCCAGACCGACAGATCCCGCCAATATTCCCCGGGTAGAAGATAGCATTGGACGCATGGTGCAGGATCACTTTGAGAATTTTATCGAAGGGTATGTTGCCTTGTCCCTTGCAGAAGCGACCAGCACTGACAATTCAAGGATAGATTCGTCGAGACACCGACTTCCTCTGGCCAGCCTACCTCCTCAGCTGTGACCACAGACCGCTATTATGTCGCCCAAATCCATGGCATGCGTACCTATCAGTTGTCAACCCTATATGTCGACTACAAGCACCTTTTGAGCTGGAGCAACGGCGCCCTGGCCGACGGTATCATGAACAACTACTATCGTTTCCTGCCCTTCCTGACAGCGGCGCTCCACAACCAGATCGCGAAGCACGAGCCTCAATACTTCAGGGAACACAGACAACCAACCGCCTCAAGCCAGCACCACGGCACTGGTAGCAGCACCCTGGGTGGAACTGGTACGCAGTCCGAGATGAGCAGCAAGACCGCCAACCAGCAAACTGACAAGCTGTTCGCCATCGCCTTCTACAATCTCCCCCTTGTTTCCCGAGTCCGGTCAATGCGAGCCAGGAATGTTGGCCAACTATTGAGCATCAGCGGTACCGTTACCCGCACATCTGAAGTCAGGCCCGAACTGGCCCTCGCGACGTTTGTTTGCGAAGGCTGCAGAGCTGTTGTTCCAGACGTCGAGCAGACCTTCCGGTATACGGAACCCACCCAGTGCCCCAATGCTACTTGCCAAAATAGAACCGCGTGGAGGCTAGACATCCGGCAGAGCACCTTCGTTGATTGGCAGAAGGTCAGGGTGCAGGAAAACAGCAGCGAAATCCCTACAGGGAGCATGCCAAGAACGATGGATGTGATCCTCAGAGGAGAAATTGTGGACAGAGCAAAGGCAGGTGAAAAATGCATCTTTACAGGCGCCTTGATTGTGGTTCCAGACGTCAGTCAGCTCGGGCTTCCGGGTCTCAGGAAAACGGCGGTGAGGGATGATAGGGGTGCTGATGCTGGCGGGAGTGGTGTTGGTGGTTTAAAGGCGCTTGGTGTCAGAGATCTGACCTACAGACTGGCCTTCCTGGCGTGCATGGTCACGCCGGATGTGTCTTCTCTTGGTGCCTCTGGTGAGGCCCAGATTGTGGACATGATCGGCAGCCTGAACGGTAATGTGGCGGTCGAGACGGCGGATAGCTTGAAGGAGATGCAGGATGCCACGCTGAGCTCCTATACACAGGCTGAGGTGGACGATCTCCGTGCCATGGTACACAGTGATCACATCTATTCCAGACTGGTGCAGTCGATTGCGCCAATGGTGTACGGCCACGAGATTGTGAAGAAGGGTATCCTCCTGCAAATGTTGTCTGGAGTGAGCAAAAGCACGGCAGAGGGGATGCAGCTTCGTGGAGACATCAACATCTGCATCGTCGGTGACCCATCAACCTCCAAGTCTCAGTTCTTGAAATACGTCTGTAACTTTGCTCCACGGGCAATCTACACTTCTGGCAAGGCCTCCTCCGCCGCCGGTCTCACGGCCGCAGTGGTCAAGGATGAAGAGACTGGAGAGTTCACCATCGAAGCCGGCGCTCTGATGCTTGCGGACAACGGCGTCTGCTGCATTGACGAGTTTGACAAGATGGATATTGCCGACCAGGTCGCCATCCACGAAGCGATGGAACAGCAGACAATTTCCATCGCCAAGGCCGGTATCCAGGCCACCCTCAATGCTCGCACCTCTATTCTCGCTGCCGCCAACCCTGTTGGAGGTCGGTACAACCGCAAGACATCTCTCCGCGCCAACATCAACATGTCCGCTCCTATCATGTCTCGCTTTGATCTTTTCTTCGTTATTCTCGACGAGTGCAATGAGCAGGTTGATCGTCACCTGGCCTCTCACATCGTCGGCATCCATCAACTCCGTGACGAGGCCGTCGTCCCAGAGTTTTCGACCGAACAACTCCAAAGATACATCCGTTTTGCCCGAACTTACAGGCCAGAGTTTACCGACGAGGCCAAAGAGGTGCTCGTGCAAAGGTACAAGGATCTCAGAGCCGATGACGCGCAGGGCGGCATAGGCAAGAACAGCTATCGCATCACGGTCAGACAATTGGAAAGTATGATCAGATTGTCAGAGGCCATCGCCAAGGCGAACTGCGTTGAGGATATCACGCCAGATTTTGTCAATGAGGCCTACAACCTGTTGAGGCAAAGTATTATCTCTGTGGAACACGATGATGTCGAGGTTGATGAGGAGGATGAGCAGCCTGTTGAGGACGGGGCTGCCTTGAGAGCGGCTGCTGACGCAGCTTCGGGATCTGTTCCTCCTGAAGCTGATGGCGAGGGTGATACAGCCATGGGAGATGCATCCGCTGCCGCTGTGCACAAGGAGAAGCAAACGGTTTCGTATGACAAGTACATCTCCATCGTGAACTTGCTTGTCAGCAAGGTTGCCGAGGAGGAGACATCTGGAAGCGGCGAGGGCATCGAGGGCGAGGAACTTGTTCAGTGGTATCTGGAGCAGAAGGAGGAGGAACTGACTGGCGAGGAGGACTACGAGCAGGAGTTGGCACTGGCTAAGAAGGTGCTCAAAAAGATGGTCAAGGTGTGTACCTTTCAATATCACACGGTTGTGAATCGATTTGCTGACATGGGCGTAACAGGACAACATCCTCATGGCTATTCGTGGCGAAGGCATGCAAGAAGATACGGAGAATGGCCAGGCCGGACCCTCGGCCGCGGCGCAGAAGACTGTCTATGTCCTGCACCCCAACTGCGCGGTTGAGGATGTATGAGCTGGTCTACCGCATGGCGAGACACCTAGAAATCTGGAGAACGGATAAGCGCGTAAGCATGGCAGGGAAGGAAAAGCGAATTGGCTGGGAGCATGGAGTTGTATATCGCCTGGTTTTCAATGATACCTACTTTTGAGACTGTGATTCAACCGTTCCACACAGGTGTAGATGCTAACTGACCAGCGTTTGTCCCAGCTAGTTTGAGCGGGGGCGTCAAAGCATCAGATCATTGTTGCTTTTTCCCGCAACTTTTTGCGTGTACTATTTACAACCATACCTATCACCAGTAAAAACAATCTTGCCAAAACTTTTCATCAAGTCAGAGCCGGCGCCTTCGGGTCCTCCAAGCACTGATCCACCCTCATCAGCCTCTTCCCGCTCGCTTTGGCCAGTTTGATAAACTCGGGCAACAAGTCCACCGTGCTTTGGTGCAGGTAATGCATCACCATCAAGTTCCCGCCCTTGGCCAGATCGCGCTTGAACGCATCGAGCTGCTTGTTGGGAGTGGATGATTCAGCCCAAAGCCAGTCCTCCACGTCGATGCTCCACCCAACAATATACGGCTCTGGATCGTTCAGGTTTGCCGCCAGGCGCTGTCTCATTCTCGCACCTTCTGTTCCGAACGGAGGGCGAAAGTAGGACGACCGTAGGTTTGGAAACACCTGGCGGACGGCACCAATGTCGTTTTGGATCTCCCAGTCGATGGCTTGCTCGGTGGCGAGGCCTTCCATCTTGGGGTGCGTGTAACTGTGCAGGGCGATCTGGTGGCCGCGAGAGGCCATGTCTTTGTACGCTGCTGCCAGGCCGTTGCTCTGGTCTAGGAGGGGCAGGCCAACGGTGAAGAAGGTGAGGGGGATGTTGGCTTCTTTGAGGATCTTCATGACCTGGGGGATGTACTCTGGGTTTCCGTCGTCAATGGCAAAGGCGAAGGAGTTGGGGCGGGTGCAGGCGAACACTAGCCTGCCCGAGGCTAGCTTGGGCGGGATCTTGAAGTTGGACGGGATGGAGGTGACGATTTCGATCTTGGTGATTGTTGTCGGCTCTGAAGTGTAGAAGCCGCGGAGGTTGAAACCAATGACGCGCTGGAGGTTGATGCTGAAGTGGGTGATGGGGACGTAGATGTCGGAGGTGGTTGCGTAGCGAGAGGCTTCCACGGAATCCCAGGTCTCGGGGTAGGGAGCCATCGTCTCGTTGCACTTGGAGTTGTGTTGTTGGAGGGCGATACTAAACTTGTTGCTACCCGAGTACGCGATATGGAGATAGCCTCCTGTCAGGTTGCGGAGGTCGGCGCACTTGTTGGCCAACTGAGTGTTCCAGCTTTGATCAGAGTCGTTGGTACGGATTGTAATGGCGTTGTTGCCAAATGTGACCGCCATGCCCTCATCCGGACCGTGCCATTCGCCCAGCGAGTTGGTATTTTCGTTGGAGAATGTGTCAATAACATAACCCTTGGCACTTGGGGTTGCCACCTGGGTTGTTGTGCGCGTGAGGGCAGAGGGAGCTGGTGACGATGCTGGCGCGACGTACTCGGTAGCTGTCGATCCGCAGTAGAAGGATATGGGGCCGAGGATGACGCCCGCATTGAGGCCGGAAAAATAAATCATATCCAGCTTTGTCGTATCGACGCCACTGAACGCTGAAAAGGGGAAGGAGTACAGCTTCTCGGTGCCATCGAATGTCCACTTTAACTGCGCTGTTGTCAAACTAACCGTCTTGACGTTGTTTGAGCCGCAACTATCGGACCATCCCAGAGCCACTGAAAAGCTTGTGCCTCGTGCCGCCCTGACCCTGAACGAGATGCCTCCGTATCTGTTGTTGGCATTCAAACAACCAAACTGACTGTAAAAGTACGAGTTGGCATCTTTGGGGTAAAGGAGGACCCTGTTGTTGCTGACAACGACACTTGACATTGTTCCATCATCGCTCGTTGCTTGCCCCATAGCGTTGTAGCCCAAGAATGTAAGACGGGACTGAGAAGCCCAGTCATCAATCAATAAGTTGGAGCACGTTGCGGGCTGGCTGGTGGTGACTGGCGGTGCTATTGTGGATCGAGTTGCGGTAGGGACGATGGTTGATCTTGTCGGTACACCTGAAAACAATTAGATGCCTAAACAATTCACTCCAACGAGTGGGATCATACTTGTTGAACCAGGGGACGTTGGCTGAGCCACATTCCCGCATATCCATGTGATATTGCCAATCGACCATTGAACATTTGACTGTGAAAATACAGCCCAAACCCAACCGACAACAGCATCGTAGTTGGGTTCGTTGTCAAAGCCGACCAAGGGAACATTAATTGTCTGGCGGCTTCCGGTCAGGTTCTCGATGATGGTGTAGTGACTCTTGTATGTCCCGTCGTTGGCGCTACAAGACGAAGTTGTCTGAAGCTCTAGAGCAAACGAAGCACCGGCAGGGCCCTCGACAGTGAATTGCAATCCTCCATATCCGTTTGTAACGGCAGGTTGGCATTCGAATGATTCATAAAAATACGAGGTGGTATCCTTGGGGGTGAAGACAACTTGACCTGTCCCAGCCGCAATGAATTCCATTGAACCGTCATCTGTTCTCAGTTAGACACCAGAAGACAGCAATACGAAAACTAACCCACCGCCGTTTGGGGATTCAAGGTTATTGACACCGCTGGTCCATTTGGTGAAGTTGTCGATAAGAAGATTAGATGTGCAGGCTTGTGCGTTTACTCCAGAGGCAGCCAGCATGCCAGCCAGCCCGGCGGCGAACCAACGCTCGAAGAACATGTCGGGTGTGTCAGACAGTTCTGTAAATATGAAGGAGCAGGGTGTTTATCATGGGCCAAACTTCGAGGAACATTGCTTGTATATGTATTCTCCGCTTCGCCTCTGAGATGCAACAACTACGGCTAGGGATTTCGGTTGGCGACATGCCCGATCGATCCATGGAGAAAGAGGAGTTTGGAAGCTGCCCCTAAAAACGAATGTAACAAAGTCGATGGTTCAAGGACCACAGTGAAACGTCGAGTGGGTTCAGCTTATAGGGCTTACGCCATGAACACCCATTTCCTGGCAAGAAAAATAGAGTGAGGCGGCATGGATGAAGGGGTAAATTCGCAGCTGGCGAGCCAACCTTGCAGCCACCCTCGCTTACCTCCGCGGATTGCAACTTCGGATTTCTTGGTGAGCTTGTGCGTTCTTGTGAAAGCTTGTCCCAACATTGCCGCTCAGGGCCATGAACCATGATGTGGAGCGAATATCGAGCTGACCTAGCAGCATCAAGAGATGGCGTATTCGAGCATACATAGCCTGGCCATCTCGTGTACACACAGCAAAATCGCCAGTGTGTAGCAACAAGAGTCATCGTTCCGCTTTCCGGCTTTTTCGGGCGTCCTCAAAGGAACAACACCAAATGTGCTCCAAATGAATGCTGGCAGCTGTGAGCAAGTTTGCCAGTTTGCCATCCATTCTCGCTCTCAGCGCCTGATGAAGATGTTGGTGGACGTTTAATTTAGCAGTGCGGAGACTTCTCGGCACTCGCATCGTGGCAGCCAAGAGCTTGGCACGCAGATCCCGTACTGCCAAGGTCCTGGGGTCGAGCTTGGATCCAGGGGTGAGGCCCAGGTCCCTTACAGATGGTGTGATGGCGAGGATGGTTAATCAAGAGAGCATCAAATGGGTCGGTTCGTCGGCACGATTACCTGGAGCTTCTTTGCGATGGATCCTTTTTCTGTTTGAACGTTACTTCGAATTTTTATATGGTTTCACGCCAGCGAGATGGGTATTCAGCCGAGTGGCTATTTTCTGCACCTCAGCTCGTTCCAGTCGGCAATCGAGAACTTCAAGGCTGGCGGCGGGGTTTGATTGGAATACATGAGCAGTTCTGTCGATAATTCACGCACATGGAACAATCCATGGCGTGTTTGCCGAGCATAGGTAGGCTGCCATGCCTAAAGCCTTGATCCAACAACATACATCAATACATGTCAAGCAACACAAGAAATGGCATTCATATCCTGATTATCGCCGTGGTAAGATGTCGATGCATTTCGGGGCCTTGTGTCTTTGAGTGAGCGTTTCTCTTCCGAGCATAGAAAAGGAGCCCCCTCTTCACAAGACCCCAATGCCGCACCTGCTCAATGCTACATATAGTTCTCAGTTTGTATTTATATGCAGTAGAAGGCTCATGTTGGCATACCTGGTAGATACCAAGCTGTGGTTCAAAGTTGCGTCATCTTGAACTGAGCAATTGACATCGTTGACAAGGGCCCGCTGTGGAGTGTGTTATCTCCACGTGATGATACCCGCCCCGCTGAAATGCCACCCAATTGGCCCAAACACACTTGGAACCCCACTGCAGCAGTCACCACCAATTGCTCCGCCGACAACTGAACCCACTGCACTGAGGAAGTCCCAGTCTCCAGATTCGATACGCATCCCGTGTTTGCGACAGAGCCGTACTTGTCATCTAGCAAACATTTGACATTACCCGAGTTGTGTCCGTTCTCAACAGTTGTTCCCAATCTCAACTCCATGCAACCTCACGAAGATGCGGTCCAAACGCCTTCGCCGGTCCAGTCCCCCCCTCTTGCGGCCTCCTCCATAATGCGATCTCTCTCCGGGTCCCAAAAGCCACGCCCCGGTGCCTCCTCCATTCTTTTTTCGCCCACGACAGACCCTCTTTCACAGTCGGAACTCTCTTTGCCAATACGCACAAGCAGTACGAGCCGTCGTCCCCAGTCCGCCTCGCTCTTTCGGTCTACCATTCTCAACAACACCCCACCTGGCTCGCCGCGAGATGCCTCCCCAGCTTCCACCGTACGGTCCACCCGATCACCAGCCCGCACGATGACAGGGTCAATATTCGCCGGAACAGCAGGGTTCAAAGCTTCGCTCCTCGATACAGGGGCTGCTGATTCTCCCGGAGACCCCCTGAACCTGGTGTTGAAGAGCTTCGTACCCCATGTCGCAATACACGCCAGTGAGGATGTTGATGATCTGGTCAACGCAAAGGGATTTGAGAAAGGGCTGTGGGAACTTCTTCGTCCATTTGGGGAGCGGGTCATGGGAAAGGTCAATGTCAGGGATAGCAACGGGGTATCGAGAGCATGGGAGGACTTCTCACTCAGATTCACCAAGTTCGGCGATCACTCCAACTTGCAAATTCCAGATGCGCTTGCTGGGTTGAATGGGTCAGAAAAGCAGAGCGGCAGGGCGAAAGAGAGCCTGACAACGGATGTAGAAAAAGTCGTGGAGCGACATCTCAGTTTTGCCGAGGAAGCCTTCAGAGGGACGATGGAGCCACAAACACCAACAAGGATGGGATTAGACGTGGAAGCAACGTCCCCGTACTATGCCCTGTACCTTCGACGACTACTATCTGGCATGCCACTTGCGCCACATGAATCTTTCGCCCACCCAGTTGCTTGTGTTATGGCCATCAGCTCTCGGAATCCAAACCCTATCGAGGCTTTACACCGGCTTTACACAGAAACGAGAGAAGGGGAGAAGCGGTACCCCGTGTGGGTGGATGGGGAATACTTGCGGTATTACATTTTGGTGCATGACGAAGAAAATAGCGACATCAGCAAATCCATGGCCCTTTTCGAGCAGATGAAGAGAAATTTCGGCTTACATTGTCACTTGCTGCGACTAAGAAGCTCTGAAAGCGCTGAAACGGACGACGACAGCATACCATTACCAAGGAGCGACTGGATGACGGCAGCTGAGGAACTGGCAGATATTGAGGAGAGCGAGACGAAAGAGGACTTTGAGGACCCGACGCGACACATTTTCGAGTCAGATGCTACAGCAATACGGACGTTTGTCAGGGAAATGGCAACACAATCTCTGATCCCAACCATGGAGCGCAATATTTCAGTATGGAACGATCAAGTGGCCTCAAAACGGAAAGGAATCAGCGGGCGATTCATGAGCTTGTCAAAAAGATGGGCATTCGGCGGCTCAAGTCGGTCATCTGGGATAGCAAGCTCATCAAGCAATTACGATGCGTCGGGATACTACAGACCAGACAGCCCGGAGGCTATCATGCGCCGATTGGCAGACTTTGCTTTCATGCTTAGGGACTGGAAGCTGGCCATGTCGACATATGACCTCTTGCGGACTGATTTCCAAAACGACAAGGCCTGGAAATACCATGCGGCCGCCAATGAAATGGCAGCTTTTGCTCTGCTTATCATGCCACAGAACATGTCATCCAAAACCCGCATCGAGACAATCAATCAGATGCTTGACAACGCGTTTTATTCCTACCTGACACGATGTAATTCATTGTATGGAGCCACACGCTGTATAGTACTCGCTCTAGAATTGTTGCGGCTCAGAGGTGGGTCGGGGATAGACGAGGCTGTCAGATGGGGTATCAAAGTGCTCGAGTCGAGGTTAATGGGCAAGATTGGCGACGCACTGCTCAAGGAACGTATGGCAATCTGCTACGCCTCCAAGTCAGGGGCTGGGTCTCAAGCATGGGGTAGCAGGCGGCGCAAGTCGGCCCTCTGGAGCGTGCTCGGTGCTGAAGCCTGGGTCGCTCAGGAAAAGTACATCCAGGCCCAAAAATGCTTGAACGAAGCCAGAAAGATGTATTCGCTGCTGCCAGGGGAAAACGGGATCCAGAGGTTCGAGGTGGCAAGCGACTTTTTGGCCATGTTGAATGATCAGGTCAAACAAGGGTTGCAGGTTGACTTATTAGGGCCCGAGGAGAGCTTGGTAGATGTGGAGGAAGAGACCTTTGATCATGACGATAGACGGACGAGGAGGACGAGCATGATCAATCCTCTTGGAGGGGCGACCGCTGCTGGAATGGAAACGGCGCCTTTGCAGAGTCAGGGAGATGTAAGCGGCCCAATTAAGGACGGGTTTGGTTAAGGTTACCAGAGGCTGGCTGACTGAAGGAATGTCTAGTTGTGCAAAGAAACAGAGAATAGAGCAGTGATATCCCCCGACAAGTGATTGCTCTTGAAAGCTTAAACTTGACCCCTGAGTCCTTGGCCCCACTGCTTGTTGATTGATGCCTGCCGGAGAGTGCTTGGCACCGCCCTTGTGACACGCTGATAAGATAAAGAGAACCAACAGAGTCCCCTGCACGTCATTGTCCACCACCTGCTATCAATTAAACTTATCGCTGAGCTCAGTTCGAGGGCTACGCCTTTTCTTTCGAGACTGCATCTTGTCGCAACAGTTGCCTGAATTCTGGTTGCCAGGGTTGATTCGGCGCAGCCCCTCTTTGGCGCGGTTCATTTTCTCTAAACACGGGCAAGTGTTTACACCGCTCGTTGCCCTCCTTCCTGTCAACTACGACAAGCCGGTCGAGTCTCAAAACTAGATACCAATCGAGCCACACCAATCAATACATCCAGCCAACATGTCGCAAAAGTCCCAGTCCCTACTCGATTATCTAGTGCAAAATGAGCCTTCCTTCCGCAAGTATGTCTCGCGTGTTTTGTGGCCTAGGTTATCCTCGTCTGCTAACAAAATATGCCAAAGAGCCCGCCTGCCAGCCCTCTACTCCTCCTTTGCAGCCCAGCGAACTCTGAATCCCGACGGCTATGCTGCCAACCTCTTCGCCTGGCGGCGCGCCCTCGCCAAAGTTGCGAAATCCGGACTCGCACCTCCACCCACGTCATCCAGCAAACCTTCCCTGCTCGTATTAAACACAGACGAGAGGCTAGTAAGTGCCTTCGAGACGAAACAGTACGGCCGCCCACTATCACTGGGGCTGGTGATCAAAGAGGCGGTGGAAAACAAGGAGTTGGTGCCACTGAGGCAGTTCCTCGAGCAGAAGGAGAGCATCTACTCCCGCTCTTGGTCGGTATGGGGATTAGCGGGGTGGGTCCTCAAGACGGCGGGTGTGACTGATTTCCTGAAGGGTAGCGGGGATAAAGTACCAAAGGGGCAATTTGTCGTAGTGGAAAATGTCGAGGGGGCAGGCAAGGCTTTTGGCGAGGGGATCAAGGACAAGGAGGGGCGGTTCGAGAGGACGTTTACCAGGGCGCATTTTGCCAAGGTTTTCAATGATCAGCTTGTCGAAGGGGGCAGGGAGTTGTCAGATACTGATATGGATGTTTTGCTGGTTTTCTTGGCGAGGGATAAGCAAATGATAGACTATGATGGGAAGACGGTCAAGATCAGGGATGGGGAGGGAGAGCCAGAGGGCTTGACGGACGAGGACGCGTCGATTGCTCAGCTCAAGGAGTTGCTGGCTTCTTTGACGCATCAAACGCTCCTTTTGTCCAAGCGGGTCGAGGAACTGGGCGCACAGGCCAAGGAGGCGGTCACGAAACAAAACAGAGTGGCGGCGTTGGCGGCGCTCAAGAGCAAGAAGCTGGCCGAGCAAACGCTGGAAAAGCGGTATGCCACTGTCAACCAACTGGAGCAGGTACAGACTCAACTCGAACAAGCGAGCGACAATGTCCAGATTGTCAAGGTCATGGAGTCGTCATCAGACGCTCTCAAGAGCACTCAACGGCCCAAGGTGGGCGGCGTCTGAGGGGGTGGAAGAGGTTGTCGATCAGGCTCCTGGGATGCAGATGGCTGATGCCGATGAGTGTCGTGCAAGATCCTTGTTCCGAGGCCAGTGGATACAACCTGTGCTGGATGAGGGCGGAGATTGACGATGAACTCGCCGAGATGGAGAGACAGGAGAAGGAGAAGGAGAGGAAGAAGGTGGAGGAGAAGCAGCAGAGGGAAGCCGAGGAGAGGGCGAAGGAGGAACAGAAGGAGGCGGAAAGACCTGCGGAAGAAGCTGGAGGCCATTGGCGAAGTGCCTGGCAGTGCTCCTGTCAAAGATAAGGAGACGGACGAGGCGGAGGCCATGATGGGTAGGCTTACTCTCGGTTAATGATGTGATCGAACACGAGGTTTCATGGCAATCCATGTATGCTAATTCGAATCTGCGTATACTAGTTCATGCTTAATGAGAGTTGTTATGTGACAGCATGTCGCCATGACTCACTATTACACACGATTTATACAACCATTCAACTTCCCCACAATTGGGGGTTGGATTCTTTGAGTAGGGATTTTCACAGATGGCATAGGAGTTCGGTAGCATGGCGTTGTTTTGTGTAGGTATCTCATCATGTATTACCCTGAATATGATTGTTTGGAATCACGGGTGTCAGGATATCATGATGTTGTGAGAAGAGCTGGAGTCCCTATCAAATACCAACAGGATCAGGAAATGACAATTGTGTTTTTTATTCCTTTTTTGGGGGGTTTTTTCTTGGTTTTTTTTTTTTTTTTT